CTGGACCAGAGTGTGCATTGGGAACAATTGGTTGGAAGAAATTGCTTATCAATACAACAATTCTTGTTTTTAAATATTTCTTCGACAAAACATTTGTATCTACAGTCAGATCGCGTCCTTTCTTTATTATAGACATTATCCAAATCATAGTCTCTACACATTGTCTCATATGGTTCCGGAAGTCTCTTAGTTTTGATGGTCGAGAATAAGATCTCGTATTCATGATTTGTCTTTAAATTAATGAAATTTTCAGATCGCAGATCATATGGTGTTATATTTGCTGAATGAAGTGAGAAATGAATTTTATTTTTAGTCAATGGTATGTCCAATAAATTTGGTGGAAACCAATACTTGTTATGATATATTCTAATAAGTATTTCATTTAAGTTGACCTCAAATCTTCGCCATTTGGGATTGAGTTCACTATAAAATGTCAAACATTTGCGAATTTGACCGAACTCTTGAGCCACGATTGACACAATGGGTTGAGTGTCCCGGTGCTCAAGTAACTGCTTGTCTTTAATACCAACCAATGCTATAATAATGAGAAAGTCGGGATCACCAGGAATTCCCATAGAATCGGAATTTTTCCATAAGTCAAACGGTATGCTTATATCACTTTCAAACAAATACTCTAAACCCATGTTTTGCTTTTCATAAAATTCAGTAAAATTGTAATACATTTCACTTAAATATTGTTTTAAAGTTTCATTTTGATAGTCTTTTTCAGTTACTGTGTCTATAATACGCTTATATTCGTTATATTTTGGTTGCAATTTTGGGAACCGTTTGGCCATACCGTCCATACGTAAGACAAAAGGATAGCATATAGTGATGGACGGCATAGCATCGGGTCGTATGCGTTCCATACGCACACTGACCACTGTTTTGCCACTAAAATACTGAGCAAATAATAGGTATGAGTGATAAATGAGAAGAAATACACACAAAATAAATAGCAATGATTTCGTAAATAGTTGTCTCTTCTTCTTAAGCGTCAGTTTTCGCCATTTCCTTAATATATGAAATCTAATAGAGTTTTCATATAATTTGCTATTTTCTTCAATTTCCACCATTTCTTGCATTTCAATCTAATTAGTTAATTATTATTATTATTATAATATATTGTTTATAGACTAGTTTGTTATACTTTTGTATTATGGTATTAAATTATTAATGTTATTTTATTTCTTAAACTATAATTTAGAACTATTTAAAAATTTATTTAATATATTTGAAATATTTATAATTTTAATGTACTTATTAGATAACACAATAATTGAATGAGTCATTAAAATTTTAATAAAAATATTTTTATTTTTAAATGATATATAGACTATATATTTGTTTTATAAAATAAAAATACATAAATACAATATTCTATTATTTTTCGTCAAAATTTAAAATCAATATTTTATTTTCAATTAATTTAACTTATGAAATTATATATGAATATTTTTATTAGAAATTTGTCTAAAATTATGATTAATTTCTAATATCCTAATTAATATAACTTAATGTCATTTTTAATATAGCATTTATAAAATAAAAAGTAAAAAAGTTAATGACATTTTTTCTAATAAATTTTAAATAAATATATACTTACCCACTAATAATAATGTTTAAATGAAAATTAAGTTTAATTTCATTATATTTAATTATATATTAATACTACTAATTATTATATTTAATTTAAAACTAATAACTATGATAAATCATTTTACGTTTAAGTCATTAATGTATGCTAATAACTATATTTCACATTAACCAATTGAAAACTTTAATCACACTTAATTTTAAAAAATTTAAATACCTGTATTAATTACAATTTTATAGAATAACCTTCATTACTACACTGTATAGAGTTCCCCTTAAATTCAATGTTTTAAATAGTTTTATTGAAATTAAAATAATTAATCAATTTATATGTTATGTACATTAATATTATTGAGTATAATATTGAAGCAAATTAAGGACATTTAATTTTTTCTTATAATTTATTTTTTAAAAGTAGAATATTATTTATACATTAAAAACTGTTTTGTTAATTATTCTGTTATTTGTTAGTAAATAATTAATTAAAAAATATTGTTATAAAAGTACTTTTTTTTATTAAATTAGTATATTAAAAATACGTAATAAATTTAGTTTTGTTAATCACAATTATATTACGAATGCTAATTCATTAATACAAAAGATGTTTATTATGTTATTTAAAGTAAACAATATCTTAAAATTAAGATAATATTATATATTTTAATTAGCAACCATCCTATCAATGAAAAATTCGTACTTAAATATTAATGTTAATTTTAAATACATTATAAATGATAAATTATCGTAAATAATGCAAATTTTTATTTAAATAAGTATTTATTAAAAGTTGTAAATAACAATCTGATAAATATCAAGAAATACAAACATATTTATTCTATTTATTTACGGATTAAAATATTATATATAAATGTAAACAAATTAAATAATAGTAAAATAAATATTATTTCTTATTAATAAAATAAAATTATATAACTTTTTATATGAGTTTGTTCTATATTAGCCAAGTATTTCAATAATTGCAAATAATTGTCATTTAATATACTGTATACTTTCATAACATATTTATAAGTTATAATAATTAGATAATTAAGTCTAAATAAAATAATTTTGATTCAAATCCATTAACTATTTAAATTATAGCTAATTTTAATACAATTTGTAATATAAAAATAATTATGTTTTAGTAATTTACTAAAATTATTAAAATTAATCTTTGATTATAATTACTTTGAATTTAATACTAAATATCAGAATGTATAGACAATACAGTATACTTGTATGGCATTACAGTATAAATATTATAATAATAATAAATGACTTAACAATATTTCATTATAAAGAATGTTATGTTAATTAAAAATCATTAACTATTTTATAAATATAATAGAGAGATCTCTATGTGTAATAAAGTGTAATTCAATAGTTAGCTTCGCACGTGTAATAAATAATCTATACTACTATATAATTTGGAAATATGTTAAACAGGGAATATAACTAGTAATTAAACAAATAAAACTTTAATACAATAATGAATTTTATTTGACCCTTAATTTTAATTTTTATATTTGCGCGAAAATTAATTGTTTGCGTGACCAACATATAAACATTTCCAATTTATATAGTTGTATAGATATGCTCTTAAAAGTTTATTTGATTATACAATTGATATTTGAAAAAAATAATCAACATGTTAATAGTTATTCAATTTATCTACCATGATAATCATTAATAGTAGATGTATGATAAAAAAGTTAATCATTTTAAACTATCATAAAAACCATTTATTTTTAAAGTATATATCTATGAAAAGCTAATTTTATATATAGAATTTAGTCGTATAATCAGGACTTTTACTACTATTAATATATTAATAAACATTTATAATTATTATTAATAATTGCTATTTTATATACACTTTAAGCACTTTTCCGTCATCTATCATTTTTTAGTGGCAATTGTTGTAAAAGTTATCTATGATTTGATGCAATATTAAGTGTAAAACAGATTATAATTAACAGATAGAAAACCCGTTTTCATTCAATGGACATAACTATTGTTTCAGACATTATATATCAACAAATGTGAACAAAATATCGAAATATCAATCATATTTGGTTCCAAATTATGTCCTATTAATTAAAATATTCAAACATATAATTGAGAATAAAAATAATTTTTTAGTTCTTAAAAAATATTTTATTTATTAATAATTTTTGTTTAGAGATTCAGTCAAATGAATATATTAGAATATTGTTAGGTTTTATTTATTATTTGTCAGGATATTATTATGTGAACTAGGTACTTTATTGAAGTCACTTAATAATTAACTATATTTTAGTTTTAATAAAATATGTTTATTGGTTGGATATATTGAAAAGTAATAGTCAATAGATTTGTCATCTATTGATACAAATGGTATACAACTATACAGTTTGGTCGACAATCCAAGAGTGACTGTGCTCTCCAACTGTACTATCGGTGCCCATAAACTCACAACAGTTTCTCACTGTTGACAGTCGGGTCATAAAAACTTAAAACTATTTTTGTTGCCCATTGGCTACTCAAAGATATCTCTTTCAGCCAATACATCAAATACATGTATATTCAACACAATATACTTAAATACAATTCAAACATATAGTTTCAAACAAAATATAATAATAATAAATCAAATCATGACAATATGACCTAGATTAAATTGATTGCACTATAAATAAATATACAATATTATATAAACCTATTTAGATAAACATATTACCTAGCTAACTTTAAATTAATTGTAATAAGTATGATATTTTACAATTTGTTCAATTGATGCTAAAATTCTAAATTATATTATATTTCATAAGTATTTATAAGTTAAAACTTAATCAACACATAATATAAAGTAGAGTTAATTTAATTATAAAAATTTTGAACCTTTTTTAGTGGTAATACAAACTTTTAATTTTATAAAATTTTCTGAATTATACGATATATTATTAATACAAGTAAATAGCAAAATGTATAATATTTGTATAATAAAGTATAATATTTTCTCATTTGATATCAACAACAAAAAAATCAAATTTATTTTATGACTTAACTATGAAGTATTGTCTAAATTATAGATAAAGTTTATGCAATCAATTGATGGGATATTCTGTAATAAATATTATTAATATAAAGAATACAATGTTTGTCATAAATAACGTAACAAATTGATTGATGACATAATATATGTATAGTAATGGCATTGACTGAGTTGAGGGTCAGTTCAATGTTTGTGTGTTTCCACTGTTTTGACGTATGTTTCAACAAAAATCACGTGTTTTGTTGATTGCGCTTCAATTTAGTGCGTCTACTCCTATATACTGTATATACTGTATATACAGTACTATATTAATACTATTAATACTATAGCTATAGCTATGGGTTTTCAACTATAATATTAGTGCTATAGCTTTGAATGACTGCAATACTGTTGTAGTATTGGTTTATATGTATTATTGTTAACAAACAACAAAATGCCCGCCACTACTGACAACACCAATAATTGCAATCATATTATTAATTGTGTTAATAATAATAATAATAATAATATTAACAATATTGTCAACAATTCACAATCAAACACCACTTCTCCAAACAATAAACATAACCAACAATCACAACAACAACTTCAACAACAACAACAACAATCACCGCAACAGTTGACAACACAGACTGAGAAACCATTGCATTATCAGTAAGTGTTGTGTTGTTATTGTTTGTCACTTATATATAGCATCACATGATATGACAAACAATGCATTACATTATTAATAATAATCGTGACATTTATATTGTTGTTGTTGTTGTAGTAGACGTTAACTACATTGTCAACTATAACAACAATTATAATATCAGTCAATATCATGATTGAACAATATTGGCCTTAATATCATACATACACACTCACACATACACACACACWCACACACACATGCTTTTAATGATACATTTGATAACATATACTTTATAATAACATATACTATAATAGTAACACATATACAGTAATATAAATGAATGAATGACTAACTTATCTAACATAATGTGTGATTCAATGGACAGGTATTTAAAGGAGTTTCGTTGTGAACAATGTCCACTATTCCTACAACACAAATGTACACAACATAAGCCATTCACGTGTTTTTATTGGCATTTCTGTAACCAACGGCGCCGTCGACCCATACGGAAACGTGACGGCACTTTCAACTACTCGCCCGATGTTTACTGTACTAAATATGATGAAACAACTGGTGTCTGTCCAGAGGGTGACGAGTAAGTCATACATTCAATTCATTTGTCATTATAACAGATCATATATATCGTGACACTGTATAACAAATCAATTTCTTATCATAAATTAATTTTTGTTTTTTAACAAATAGATAAATAATTTCCAAATAATATATAACTATAATTTTTAATTGAGAATTAAATTAATAGATTGATTACATTTTAGCTGTATTTATAACTGCAAACTAAAGTTATTAGATAAAAATCAATAGTATTTTTGTTTCTAATTTATTATAATGTTATTACATCACATTTGACTACAGTATATAGTTATTATGCAATGTTATTGTTTTTATATACTTTTTTAAACAACAAAATATGTAATTTTTTAATAGTAAAGTTTTTACTAAAATTACATCAACTAATTATGTAATATGAGATATATTATATATCTGGTAAACGATATTATTATTATTATGTTAATTATATCGTTTTTAATTAAACAACTTTCAGTGTAGAAGTTTGCATAAAATTTCTATTTATCACTTGTTATGATAGCATCTCATTATGATATATCATATATGTTGTGTGCAATGACTTATCAATATATTAATATAAAAACATGATTACAGACAGACCAATGAGTTCATTCCCTTTATAGATATATTTATACATATTATAAGCCTAATATCACACCCCTTACCAAATAAACTATTATCACTGTCTGGCCATAACTTTTTGAGACAATGGACTCACTGTCCATTGCTATGTATCAGTTATAATAGGATATATTATATAGCATTGGATTTAAAGTATATAAAAGATTGGAAACCAAAGAGAATATATAGTTTGTATGCTTTGATTGTTAGACATAGAGAGCAAACCCAGACCTCCTAACCATTGCGTTCAGTGAACTCTTTTTATGTCCTGTTTTGTTGAGAGTTGTTATATAAGAGAGAGAGAGAGAGAGAGAGAGAGTCATCCCATACAAGAAAGACAAACAAATCAATTTGTCGATAATTTTTATAAAGATTAAAATAAAATCATATTTTATATTCAGTAATACAATTAATTATTATAATATAAATTGTTGCACAAATAATTTATTATAATAATATGTTATACTTGTATTTAATATTATATACAATTGTATTTTTAATTTAATTAAACTAGCATGGTAATATTGTTTAGATTCTCTTAAGTAAACACTAGGATTACATAACAATAGAAATATATAAATTAAAAAAAATATATCAAACAATTTATAATATATTGATTATTTATATAATTATTATAAGTACGAGTCTTTGAATTGAATTACTATAGTATAGATTGTGTGATAATTGTGTTTAAACTGTTTATATATAATTGTAATAATTGTTAATAAAATATAATTATAATTGCAAACTATATAAATGATTTAATAGAATATTCTGTTGAGATTTCATTGATAATACATTTTTACTTATATAACCCATAGTATTGACTGACTTTGTGTTATGTCGATATTGAAACTAAAACACATATATAATAATTATTACTTTTTATTAAATTTTATTTTAAAATGTTTTTAAGCTTTGATTAAAGGCATTTTTGGCAGTATTTTATTTTTTTAAAGTTTTAGATGTATTAAATTTAAAACATTATTATAGTGTCAGTAATGGATAAATTTTTAGACATTAAATTGAATTCTGTTAAAATAAATTTATTTAAAAATAAAATAAGTTATGATCATTTAATTAATACTAGTTTATAAATCATTTTTATTGTAATAAATTTATATATTGTTACAGTTTTAACAATGCAATGTTATAAAATGTTTTATTAAATTTCTACAAATTATTAATTTACAAAATTAAGTTTCATCTAATTTCTTAGATCTTAATATCTATTTTGTTGTAAAATTTAATTGCTTTTAATAGTTCATTAAAAATATTTTATAATAATTAATTTATAACAAATAAAACGTAAAGTCTAGAAAATTTATGAAAACAATTATAATTTAAACATCAAATGTTATATTACTTGTAAAAGAAATAAAAATTAACTCTAAGATAATTAACAAAATAATAACAAATATATGGTTAGTAATAAGCAATGATAATAAAATTAATATTTTTCAAACTATTGAAGTTTTAAATTATAGTGTTTTGTTTAATAACCCATTATTTTGTTTTTTTAAAATATTTTTTTTGTATAATTTGATTAAATATAAATGAAGCAAAAAATACAAAATACTGAGATTTTGTTGATTACATAATAAAATTTGAGTAATTGACGGATGATTTAAATTTTGAATTCAATTCTAGTCTATAGTCTTAAAATGATTGTCATCTACAGTACAGTACAAACTTATTTTGAAACATTGTATTAACAAAGTTATCACACAATAAATACTATTATTCAATCTACTCGTGCATTCACTTAATTATTCATATGCTGTCTACCATATCGACGATATGTGTATACTATACACTTAACATCAACTATTAGTCCACTGATTACATACATTAATACTTTAAGTATATTATAGTTAGTTATGTTAAAAATTTTCTGAGAATTTCAAATAATTATAAATAATTTTTTTTATATTATAAATCAGGTATTTATTTCAACATTCATTTAAATTTTGATTTGAAATAACATTTACAGATTATTATTTCATAATCTTTACTATAATTAGCCATACATTTCATTAAATTATATTTCTATATAAATCTATTTTGTATTTAATTTAGACAATTAATTATATTGAATATTTGTATGTCTTGAAGATTTCTAGAATCTATTAAGTATTAATAAATTACAAGTAATTCTTAGATTAATTATTTGGATAATTAGTTTAGCGTATTATATATTGTTATTAATTAATCTGAAATACTCATAAATACTTTATACATTTTTATCAATAATAATATTGAATATTATTTGAATTATTATTTGAATAATAGTTTGGAAAATATTTAATAATTAGTAAAAACATAACTACACAACTCATACAACAATATTTTATAAATTCATATAAATTTAGCTATAGATATACCAATAATTACAGCATATGTATAGTAATTAGTTTTTATAATTTCAACTCTAGTGTAGTATATATCATGTTTCACATAATTTTCTATATAATATTCAATATTTTATTATTTAAGAAATGAATGCCTGAATTATGTAAATTTGTTGAAATGATTTGTTTACAAAGTAAATATATATTAATATATACTGTAATATAAGTTATTTAATCTATTTTAAGTTATTTAATTTAGATTATATACAGTATATATATATATATATATATATATATATATATATATATATATAGATTTTATTTAAATATATTTGATTTAAAATAATTAAATGAATAAAATGGATTCAAATAATTCACTCGACAACAGGTGTCCATACCTTCATAGGACTGCTGGTGACACTGAACGCCGCTATCATTTGAGATACTATAAGACTGGTATTTGTGTGTACGATACGGACACTCGGGGTTATTGTGTAAAAAATGGTCCGCACTGTGCGTTCGCACACGGATTACATGACTTGCGAAACCCAGTGTATGACATTCGGGAACTACAGGCCATGGAAAGCGGTCAAAATATTTTATGCGACGGGGAAAACGGTTTTAATAACAATGCGATACCCAATAATCTGGACAAAGAGCGGAACGCCCTAAATGAAGACCCGAGATGGCAGGACACGGCCTATGTATTGGCTAATTATAAGACAGAAATCTGCAAACGACCGCCAAGACTGTGCCGACAGGGGTTTGTCAACATATTTATATAAATGTGTTTACTTTAGACAACTAACTTATCACTGAAATTGTTTTATTACGATAATAGCTATGCCTGTCCTCAGTTTCACAACAACAAAGACAGACGTCGATCACCCAAAAAATATAAATATCGATCGACTCCCTGTCCTAATGTTAAACAGGGAGATGAATGGGGAGATCCAACTAATTGTGAGAGTCTGGACGGTTGTCCCTATTGTCATACAAGAACTGAGCAACAGTTTCATCCGGAAATCTATAAATCAACCAAATGTAATGATATCCAACAGACCGGTTACTGTCCGCGCGGACCTTTCTGTGCATTTGCACACGTGGAGACCAATGGTAAGCACGTGATTGTTTTATTTTATTACAGTTTCATTCAATTATTTGTCTTTTATCTATTTATTTAGTCTATAATTCATTTTTAAATGTCAAATATTATTGTATTTATATAAAATAGCATGTATTTCAATATTGAATGATATAATTTTTGTTTATATTTGTATAAATGTTAGTTTTAAAATATACAGTATATCCCAAATTGATAATATAATATTGTGTTAATCGCATAAAAAATTATGTAAAAGTGATGATAATTTCGTAATATTTGTTAGCATTTATACTTACATAAGTAGTTTAATTTAGAATCTAATAATTTGTATTTTTATATTTAGAAGAGATATCCGCTGCCCGAGAGTTATCTATGGAAGGAACTACCGATTTATCTCAATTAGTGTCTAATGTATTGCCACCTAATAATTGTAACACTAGTCCTGTGCCGATCAGTCGAACCGGTTCTATATCAAACCCGCAACAAACAGGTACGACCCCGCAGTCCATTATCAATAGGACATCTAATAATCAATCAGTGGCCTCATCACTACCCGAACACTATCAAAGCGGTTTTGATCTGTCAGCCCCACAGCCACCACCACAAATGGTTTGTTATAAATTTTAAAAATTATTAAATAATTATTGAACAAATATTTTGTAATTGAAATTTAGGCGCTCAGAGATATGACAGTATCTGGATGTTTAGGACCCATTGCCCGCCCCCGTAGTTACAGTACTTCTACAGCCACCACCAGAAGTGATAGTTTATTTGCATCAATATATGAAAAGAATGGTCCCCTCAATAACAACGCTTCGTCATTGTTTGCGGGAAACAGTTCACCTCTTTTCTCAAATTTTGCTATATCTCCGTCAACCGGTACCGACTCTATTGGCAATCAATACACCAGTAATTTCAATCCAATAGACGCCGCTTTTAATCATTTAGATGATCTCAATTTAGATGACTTGCAAATCGATAGTTTTGATAAAGAGTTTCAACAGCATCATAGAGAAAGTATTGGCGCCAATAGTGATGTTTCCAATCATATGGATAGTGTTGTCAATAGTGTTCTCACTAGAAATAGCATATTGGGGTCAACACAACCCGTTAACATACCGGGTACTGCTTTACTATTTACCTAATTTTTATTGATTTGCTTACCGGTAATTAAATTATTGTATTAGGTGCTCGACTAAATAATACAAGCAATAGTTTGTCATCACCTCCAGTGAGTGCTTCTCCAATAGCATCATCATTGACCAGTGGTAATCAAACATCTGGTTTATCGCACGGAACCAATACTGGCACTGGTTTTGGTATGTCGTCATCATTTATACAGCGGACAAATTCTGTGGGACAGTCGTCACTATACGACTTTGGCTCTAATAACATGTCTCCGGGAAGTTCTTCAAACAATAATCATTCAATTATGGCTTCAATGATGGAAGTGCAGAGACTTCGCGAAGAAAACTCATTACATAAGGCGACGTTAGCTAATTATGAAGAAAAGTTAGCTCAAGCCATGAATGTAAGCATTGATTAATTAAATGTTATGTTTTGTCAATTTATGTCTTGTTTACCAACAGTTATGGAAATTAGAAGTGGAAGAAGTGACACGAAAAGAAAAGTTAGCCGAATCACAGAGGGATGAGGTATGGCTGACATTATCTTATAATATACTTTATTTGATTGTTATTATTATACAATACAATTTAATTAGCAGTTTAAAGCAGTTTAAAAGTTTATTTATATTACTTTACTTATGATTAGACATTAATAATTATAATGAGTATGTGTTTCATATTTATCTATTTATTCGTCTAATTTTGATTCATGAAAGGCATTGAATAAGTTGTCGTCAATTCAAAGGGAATTAGAGCTCTTGAAGTGCTCGGAAAACACATTACAGACCAAACGTATGGGAGATTTGAGTTCAATGACTGCCAACCAATTAATCCAATTACAGAATCAGACACGAAATGAGTTAAAGTGTATCGAAGAGGTATGCAATTTATACTCAAACTTTTCGCTATAATATCACTACAAAGACACTACACAAACATATACCGATACTACTGTATCATTAAACTGTTACAATTGAAACAATGTGTGTATGGCATGAGGTGGGGATCCCCTTACCTTCAAATCTCATACTCACATCAATTATAGATTATTATGACTATTATAACTGAATTTGAATATACGGTACATATAAAGCAATATCTATCAACAATTTAATTCTACATAATTTTAGTCAATGTTAATAATATTAAAAAATTAAAATTTGCATTCAATTAATATTTTAATATATCTTTAGCTATAGTTTAATATAAATATATTTAATAATGAATATATTTTATATTTATTAGACATATCCCCAATATCTGACTCCCACCTCTATATTTGGCCAAACATTTTTATATTAGTTTTTAATTAATAGTAATTTTAGGTTTTTAATTATTAAATAATTTAGAAAATAATTGAAATGAATTTTTAAGATAGTATTTGTTTGTTTTTGTGAAATGACTCAAATAATACACACATTTTCAATACTACAGTTTTAATCTTAATTTACACAAAATAATTATTAATTTTATGATTTGATTTTTATTGATTTATATTAAGTTTGTTTTGTCTTTACATATCTTTTTGTAGGCTTTATTAAGACAACACAAAACTGCATGACTTGTAAGAGTTATATAAACATAAATTAAGAAATTGAATCAAATTATTATAAAAGTATTTTTAATTTAAATTATATTATTATATACTGTTTATACTTATTATAATATTACAAATTATTGATAAATCATTGGTTGATATAAATAAAAACACTATATGTTAATAATTTAAATGTATTTATGTAGATATTAATTTTTTAATTATATTATACATTGATTTTTTGAGGCACACAAGCAAAATAAATTTCCAAAAATTCCTTTAAAAATGATACTGATAATTTTTATATTAACATATATTTTTAAATATTCTCTGAATTTAATGAAACAGTAATTCCACGTAAAATGCATTCAAAATGATTGCAACAAATTTTGTTAATATTTTTCGCTTGTTTTCATATCTATAGAGAAAACTATGTTTTTGTTATTAAATTATAAATATAAAAGTCACATATTTTTGTTTTTATGACATTAATCTTTATATAAAAGTGTATAAATTATTTATATTTTTTGCATCAAAGTGTAGTGTCTTATGTATAGAGAAATAAAAAAAGAAAATACATTATTATTTTATATGGCGCTAAAGATTATTGATAATAATAATGACATTAATATAATAAATTAGTCACTAAAATATATATAATTTAAAATAATACTATTATAATACTAATAAAGTCGAAAACAATCGAAAAATGTCTTATTTCTAAAAATCAATGCCTCGAATAGTAAAAGTAATGATAATTGAAAATAATTAGTATATGATATATGTTAGACATAATAATTATAAATATTTTATTGGAATTTTTGGACAACTTTAGTATATATATATAGTATATATAAACATTTAGTTTATAAACAATTATAATATAATAAATTACAAGACATTATATTTGTGTAATTAAGATCATTCATATAATTATATATAATATAGAATTAGACAAAATTAAATTTAGTAATTTTCAATTTTAATAATCAATAAATTTATTAAAAAAAAATTATTGTTATTAAGGATATTTATTTACTATGAATGAATGATTGAATAATAACAATAATTTTGAATTATATAATGATTAGGATATTTTTTAAGGTCTTGTATACTACAAAATAAAAATTTACAAATTAAACAATATTTTTAATTATACGAAATTTATTATTAATAACTAATTGTCTCACGTATTATATTGTATAATAATCTTTTTATTTTTACATTTTGTTTTTTATTTTTTATTATTATATTATAATATTATAATCTTAATTCAAAAAATTGTCTCTTATTATATATTTTCATATTCAAATTGTTATATTTAATAAGTATATACTTATATAAAGAGCACATATGTTGCCAAATAGTTTGAACAATAAAAATTTGTTAATTTATGTTAAAAAATTAAGATAAATGTTATTTTTTTAATAATTTGAAATGTCGTTCCTTACCTGTCTATGCTGATCTAATAAATAACTATATAATATAGTCTATATTAATTAATTAAGGCCTATATATATATAGTTGCAAATATTGTTTTATATGATCTAGGTTCGTTTCGTAACATATAATTGATTTTAGAAATAATAGTTTATAATTGATTAATTTTTTAGTTATATTTACAATTATTTAGTTCTATATTAATATTTTAATCACATTATATACAATTTGCACTTAAAATAGTATTTATTAATTCAATTATTTTTTGCTATAATATTTTTAATGCTCACATCTCAACATTTATGTTATTTTTTTAAAGTAAATTTGATAATTCTTACTAAATATAATACAATATATAATTCTTTATAATTGATATGTTGTTTATTATTTAAAATTTATTATTATTATTATTAATATCATTACAAAAATTTATTATTATGATTATTATATTGATATTATTTTATTCATTGAATGTATAGTACTGTATGATATATTATATTCAATTAGATATACAGTGTATACTAATATACCGTAGTTTACATATACATTAATATCATTATAATAATATATAATAATTATATAATATAAACAATTTAGGATTTTTCAATTAAACAATGAATGAATGAATTAAATATCTGTATTATATTAATAATTCAATTTTAAATTTTATTTCTAAATGTTTATTTTAAATTGTATGTAAATTTTGTTATACGAGATTAAAAACAAAATTTGAAACTGATTTTAATAATAGTTTATACTAATTTAATATGAACACTGAATTATTTAATTGATTAATATATCTTGATAATTTTTCAATTAAATTTTATGACTAAATATTAATTTGATAATATTATTAGAGGGCAAATTAACTTATGAGTTATCGCTTTAAAATTAAAAATATTAGTTTATAATTAAAAAGTTACTTTAATAGCATCAACTTTTCAATTAAATTAAATTAAAGTTTGTACATTTATATTTTTATAAATATATTAATTATAATATGAAAAGTATGAATATAATATTCAATTTAAATTTTCAAATAATTGTCTAATAATGCAATAGTAAAACTTGACAAAAAAGTTTGTTTGAAGTAAAAAGAAATGAAATAAAACAGATAATAATTAACTTAAAAATATAGTTATAAATTAATTGTTTAGCCTTTTAACTAATGACCAACAAAATAAATTAGATTTTTCAGATTGATAATTAATTTTGAATTATTTTGTTTATTTTATTTTTTGATTTGTTCAAAACAATATTCAATAAATTTTAGTATTTTAAAAAATAATTGTTTAAAAAATTATTAATTTGTGAATTTACAAAATTCAATTAATATTTATTTGATTTAATGTCAGTTCTTATATAATATCTAATTATAAGTTATTATGTACAGTATTATATGTTTTATTATTAATTGAAAATTTTGAAATTTTAGAAAATAACAAAATTATATAAATATTTAAAATATTATGATAAAAAATATTTATAGCCAAAATTATATAAATGATAAAAAGTGTATATATTAATATTTTTACACTAAAAATTTATACTATTTATTATATTTTGTCCTAAATTGTATTAAATGTATAAATATTTATATTTTCACAGAATATTTGCGATTCATATTCATTATTCATTATAACATATAAAAACACTTCAAAATTTTCAATTAAGGGTTATTTTAATAGAAATAAAAATTATAGGGATATATCTGTCAGTAAAATAACTTTTATTTAAACATAAATATAAAAATTTAACTATTTTTGAATTAATGTTTGAAATTATGATATATTGTAATATGATTTATAAAAATAATCATTCATTCATTCATTACCATTATTTCAGTAAATATAAGATTCACATTATTATGAATTGTTAATCTAATTATAAATAAATTATTGTAAATTTAGTAAGTTTAAATAATTAAAAATATTTCAATTTTAATTTTTCATAATTAAAATTAAAAATTCAAATAATAAATTTTAATATTGCTGTTAAATTGTAAATTTAATTGATTAAAGCTTGTTTAGTATTATAATTATTATTATTATTATCACTTATATAATTATCATAAATATTTGTTTGTGTTGGTGTATTAGTTGTTATTTAAAATAATAAAGTCATATATAGTATATATCTGAGAGCTTAATATCCTGGTCTATGAAGCAATTATTGACAGAAAATATTTAATTATTTAGGAAAACATACTTTTCACTAAAAATGTAATAAATAATACTAAGCTTAGTATTTACCAAGTACAAATTATTAGTTATCTTAATTAGTAAATTTAAAATTTTTGAACAAAAAAATTAATTAATTATTAAATAATATTTAACCTCTCGTGTGAATTAAATTTTAATATTAATAAGATATAAACGCATTAATATTTATTTTTTCAAATTTATGACTACATTAGCTCTCAGATATATAATGAGTTTTATTGAATGAATGACCGGTTAATTGAATGTTGAGAGACAATTAGTTTATATATTTGTATAATTAAATAATTATATTATATGTGCATTGCATTCATTCCTTAATTATTATTATATATAGTTATTATAAATAGTAATTATTTAGTATTTCAATTATAATTAAAACTTAAAACTATAACAAATAATTTATTATAAATTATAAGCAAATAATTATTAAATTATTTCCATTTATAATAATTTTTAAAACACTTCTTTGACTTTATAAAAATAATTAGTGTCTTAAAATTTTTGTATTAATTTATATATAAAAATGTGTGTCTTATTATTTGAAATAATTTATTATAAATTGAGTAAACATTGTGTTATAGTTTTTCAATTGATGAGACTTATTGTAACTATATATAAATAATTATATAATAGTACTTTATAATAATAATAATTTATAATTAAATTATGTATTTATATATTGTGCTATAACAAGTGTTCACTGTAAAAATATTAAAATTATCAAAATTGTATCTATATATTTAAAATAATTATCTAGCAACATGTTTCAATTATAACAGTGAATACTCATATTAATTCCAATTACATAAATACTATATATTTTAATTACAATTAAGGAATTTATATACAAATAATATTTTACTTACTATTTTCTAAAATAGTTTCAATAAAAATAATGAAAGTATTTAAATTTATATTTTTAATTAATAATTGTTATTTTAAATAATACCAAAAATAACTATTGTCTTATTAGCATTTAAGTTAATTAATGACACATTATTTATATTGCATTTTCTAAGAAAAATGTTCTGGATTATGTTATTTAAACTATTTTTAAAAATTATCACATTCATGTAACATTTTAATTGTTTATTAATTAATTATTGTATTCAATACTAGGGTAGTTATTGTATATTTAAATTGATAAATAATAAATTTTTAATTCTTTAATAAATTGTGTATCATTTAATTTAATTGTCATATTTTTTAATGGTATAAATAATATAATAATTAATGATAACTAATTGGTTGTGAGCATTAAAATCTATGATTCAAGTCAGCTGGTCCTGGAAAAACGGTAATAATATATATATAAATTTATATATATATATATATATAGGTTTATATAGAGTAAAGTATATTATATTATGTCTAATGAAAAGTATAATGATTGTAAATTAGATTGTGGACAATGGCATATTGACCTAATGTTGATTATCACATTAAATACAATGACATAAATAGTCATATTAAAAGTATTGGTTCAATTGAAAAGTTAGTCGATTGGATATTATCGATGTCAACATTGAACAGGTATTATAGTAGATATATATTACCAAATTCTATGAGTAGACTGTTTTCCAAACTATACAATCAATTATAATTGAATAATAAATTTAATACTTACTATATTTAAACAAATATTTATTATTGTATTGAAATTTGTAAATTTAAATTATTCTCATCTAATAGTAAATAGAAAAATATTTATAATTTCAACAAAACAACTCGTTTTTTAGTAATTTGGAAATATATGATGATTTGACAATCAATTGGTGTGCTATGATATTTGATGTCAGATAATACAAATTGATACCCAAACAAGTATTATCATAATATCATATAACTATATAATTATTAATAACAAAATATAGATTAATATTAATCAATTAAATCAACTAATTCGTAATCTGTGGACAGTTAGCAATCAAACTATTTCTTTAATGTATAGCATTTAGTGAACAAAATTATAACCAAATGTTTGTCACAATTTGTTATAGAGTTGCAAATAGGGTTAACCTAAAGCATAATAATTAACGTCTAATTATTTTATTCATACAATATTACAATTTTTATTTTATTGATAAAATTATCTGTTTTATACTATTATTAAAATTAAATTTTATTATAAAGTAGTTTAATAAATATAATTTTATTAATACAAAAATTCATAATATTGTATATTATTTCGATATATTAATTGAGTGCATACTATGCAATAATGCCGTTATTATATTAAATCAACTTTTGTATATACTTTTGTTTTGATTTGATTAATATTATTATTTTCAATTGGATTTCTAACATATAAAATCAATGCAATGATAACAAAAACAATTGCAATTATAGTATAAAAATCAATGACAATATTTAACAAAATACGGGACAATATGACTGAAAATATAATCTGAAAGACGGCTCCATAGGTACGGAAAACTGAGTTCAGTTTTTTCAAATATAAAGCAGTCATTAGACCCATAAATACATTGTTTAATAATACAAACAGTAGTTTTGGTTCATTAAATAAAACAAAAGTTAAAAATGTTTGAAAATCACTACATTTGCTTACTATAAGGACAACAATAATGTTAAATATTATTGAATTTAAATATAGAAACATATTTTGTATCATAAGATGCAATGTTTGTCCTTTTAATAAGTATTCGTTATAAACGCCGGCAAAACATGAACACAGAATTTGTAAGAAAACAGGTATTAATAAGATTCCGGTGCTCTTTAGGTCATTATTTTTATCAATTTGTTTTTGTCCACTACTTGTCCAATACTCGGCCAACTGTTTAGTCAAACATCCAATTGTTAGTATTATAAGTGATAACCATTGCATTGGACTTAATAAACGATTAAATAACTTTTGGTATACAATAGCCGTCAATACTATACGGAACTGCCATAACATACTGATAGTATGGTATATCATATATAAATAATAATTGTTTGTTTAAATTAATTAATTATGATATTTTATTTTATAAATATAATAATAAATTATTATTTACCTATATTCTATAGGATTCATATGTGATAAATTAAAATACCATAAAATATCGCTAAATAAATACAAAATTGATGGCACAGAATAAAGTAACAATAATTTATAATTATCTATAAATTGATAAAACAATTGTTTTGTCATTTGGCTTAAAGTTTGAACATTTAGTTTATTAGTTTGTTTATTAAATTGATTGATAATATATATACTATAAGAAAATATAAATTTAAGACACAAACAGTAAAATACAATAATGAATGGATTATATGCTTTCAGTTTAGTTGACGACACTATAATTGATGACAAACTGTCAAATAATATACTTATTATATATCCGTAAACAACAAGTGATTCCGTAGACAAACCAATCATTTTTTGTTAATTTTAACAAAAATGTTATCAAAATTTCAGTTTTGTTTCAATTTTTTAAACATATTTTTATTTAAGTTTACTGTTTGAATGTATTTCTTGTTTAACACCATATCATAAAACCATATGGATTTTAGTCGACCCATACATTCAAATATTATTTTATTAATAGTATTTGATTTGTAAAACAATACTTAGAGTTGTAATTAACTTAAGAATTATAGAAAAACTGTAAATAATATTAATTACAATAAAATATAACTAATATTATACTAAAACTGTTTGTTTATTAATGATTTACCAATTGTTTAGTTTATAATTTAATATTTGTATTACAGTAAAAATTGTATATAATTATCATTTTTATTCAATTTTAATAAATAATTATTATAATAATGATTTGAAATCTTTGAAATTAAATAATTAACTTTTAATTTTACTTAATTAAGTATTATTATTATTATTTAATAATAAATTCTATAATTATCAACATTATTGATGTATTTACACATTAATTATATAATTTTAAATTAAAAAATTATTTATGACTTAATTTGTGCGTATAATTCAGTAAATAATTCAATTAATATTAAAAATTATGAATAAATAAATAATAAATAAATTAAAAATAATGCAAAATATAAAAAATACAAAAAATACCCCTGGCGGGACTCGAACCCGCAATCCCCGGTTTAGGAGACCGATGCCTTATCCATTAGGCCACAGGGGCTAACATTATGACACACTTTTTAAAATAGTCATACTATATGTTAGTGATGTTACATGTATTTTGTCATTCAATAACATGGGATCCAAATCACAAAATAATACAAAACTGTCTAATTTTATCACAAGTTTTCTCATTTAATATAACTTTATTTATTATGAAATTGTTTTGTCAGACATTTATTTAATCAATACTTTAATTGTTTATTTCATATTTTCAAATAATTATTGGCAATATTTTTTTAGATAATCTTCATATGAAATGATATATTTTATATATAAAATAATAATGTTTTATAACTATGTCTACTTGTATTACATATATGTGTAATAGTGATACAATGTATGCATTACTACTGTATTATCAATGCCTATACATTGTGTAGTAGTAGTAATATGAGTCAAGTGATAGTGTATTACAACCAATAGAAATGGTTGTTTAAAAGGCCAATCAGAGACCGGCATTTAGGGCCGCGTCTAGTGTTATGGCAAATGGCGGCCATTTATTACCCACTGATTGAACAGCCATTGAGTTTTCACACAATGAGTTTGAGTGACTGAGTGAGTGAGTGATATATATTATAGAGAGTATAGAGTGAGTGTAGTGTTGATGGCTATTGAGGTCATTGTTTGTTCGCCCGATTCGTCAGTGAAATACCAGTGACTTTGTGTGTGTGTTGTGTTGTGTATTGAGTTTTGTATTGAGTTTTAACATAACTATTGAGTTATCTATTGATTGCCTTTTCTATCACTAATTGTTGTCAAACTAACCATTTGTCCCATTGTTTTGATTGGTCACCACTTTGGCCGACGATATATATAAACAAAAACTGTAAGTATTGGCCATTAGTTTGGTCGCCGAAAATGTGTTGTTTTTATTGACAAACAGTGAGAGTGACTGACAAACGGTTGACTCAATTGTTATAATAATTGTGTTATTAATGAAATGTTTTTCATTTGTTTGTTCATTCAATAGATAACTCTTTGACTGACAATATAATCAACAAAACTGTTGAAGTAATCAATGGCCCGAACTAAACAAACTGCCCGTAAGTCAACCGGTGGTAAAGCGCCGCGTAAACAATTGGCCACCAAAGCCGCCCGCAAGTCGGCGCCATCAACGGGAGGCGTGAAGAAACCTCATCGTTACCGACCGGGAACTGTAGCTCTTCGTGAGATTCGTCGATACCAGAAGTCAACTGAATTATTGATTCGCAAACTGCCGTTTCAGCGATTAGTTCGTGAGATCGCACAGGACTTCAAAACTGACCTTCGCTTCCAATCGGCCGCAATCGGAGCCCTTCAGGTACGACAACACAACGTTGGCCTTAATCTCACATTTTTTAGTGCAATTTCCTGTCGTTTTAGTCACGTATGCGTTGTGTACTCCTTTGTCTCAACACATACGGCTAACCTCTATCCCTGTCCTCTCTCTCCCACCCCTTAGTGCTCATCACTTGATATAATAGTGTTACCCATATTAGTGAATATTGTTTTCAAATGACTACTAATTCAATGTTTGATTAATAATTATTTTTAGTTGATTTTGTATTTAGTTTTAATCAATTAAGTTATATTTTATAATTAGATTTAATCTAAAGATTAATTTTTTATCTATTAATTAATAATTAATTAATTTTAAATATTTTTATATTTTTGGACATCTTATGAAATGGTTGGCCATTTGGATACATTAGGAGGCATCGGAGGCATACTTAGTGGGACTGTTTGAAGACACCAATCTGTGTGCTATTCACGCCAAACGTGTGACTATTATGCCTAAAGACATCCAACTGGCCCGTCGTATTAGAGGAGAGAGGGCTTAACACCGACAACCACTCCATAAAGTTTCCTCAATTAATGTCGTCACACATTATAAACCACAAAACGACAGCAGACACCACATACTAAACATAATTATATATATTTACCGATTTTATTATATATATTATATATAATCATTAAACACTTTCCTTTCGTCTCCCTATTCCTTAACTATCAACTAATATACTTTTTATTGATATATCGATACATTATTTGAAGTGAAATTTTAATTATAAAAAAATGTAATAATTATTATATACACATATTATATATTCATTATTATGTATTCAATACATCATTTACTTTCATTTGTTTTTTCATTATCTTTCAAACTAAGCATTTGTCGTGTGTTTACTGATATGTCCCGCGTGTCTACCGATTAGTTGTTATGTTACCGATTGAATTGTTTTTGTATATAAATAATACCACACTATTCAGTATATTATATGATTCATAAAATGATTCATTTATAAACAAATTGACAAAAATCTATGAAAAAATATTTGATAGTTTAAAATAATTTTTTGTATTTAATTCTTTAAAATTAGCGATAAATTAGCGCTGATTTTTAATTATTATTTATTCATTTGAATTTATTATTAAACATATTTTTTCTTATTGTATGTTATTAAAGTTAATTTTATATTTTTTTGCGAATTATAAAATTGAATTTATTTTATATCGAAATAAGTTGAGTATTGAATACAAATGAATGAATATTTGGATCAAAATTAGAAATTGAAAAATGTATTAAACATAATGAAAATCTGATTTAACTAAACATTAATAGATTTTAAAACATTTATAGTTTACATTTAATATCTATTTTATACTTATTATTATATTTAGTAATCAATTATATTTGTGTAATAATTTTAAATGTATTTAATTATAAATTTTATGATTAATATTTTCGGGTGTGTTGTGTCTCCGGTATTTTTGGATATATTTTATATTATTTAATAATTATTTTAAATATTTTATGTTTATTTAGTTTTATCATAAAATGATTTAATCAAAATGTTTATAAAAAAAACATTTATTATAAAGAAATAAGTTTTATTTGTCCAAACAATGTGTTTTTTGCATTAAATTCACACATTAAAAATTTAATATTAATACTAATAATTATTAAAAACAAAATGAAAATTTAGAAAATTTTGTGTTTTTATATTTCATATTATCATAAATGATAATAAAAATATTTCAAATAACAAAAAGTAGACAAATTTATTCATCATTTACTTAAACTTAAACAAAATTGATATTAGCTTTAGAAATAAATATCAAATAAAAAGCAATTAAAAGTACTTTACAATAATTTTGATTATATTTAATGTTATAAATAAATTTTTACAAAGGATTATCTAAAATGCTTTTATCAGTATTAAGAAAATTATTAAAACAATATTTTATACCAATTTATTAATATTACCGTAATATCAAATATATATATATATTTATTTATAAATAACATTAAATTAATATTATTAGTTTATTATATAAACGATACCCAAAATTAAAGGATTTAGTTAATTTAAAATATTCACTGCATATATTAAATGTGCATTTTATATAATAATATATTAGCATTGAAAATAAGTTGCATTTTGTTAAATTATATTTAATTTTACAATTTGCATTATATAAATATTTACTTAAATTTAATATTAAATGTATTTATAAATTTATTTTGTATAACTATTTTTTATTTTACTTTTTAATATAATATTTACTATTATGAATCAAATTATGTTAATTTACAATAAATCATTAATAATTTATGTATTTATGATTATTACAACATATACTTTGGCTGTTATTTGGGAACAACTTGAATGAAATATTTTTAATTATTTATATATACAGTATATATCATAATTGTATTTCATTTATTATACTAAAAATTATTTATGTGTCTAAAGTTTGGAATAAAGTTTGTAATTAAAATCAATTTCATAATTATCTGATTTATATTATAGTAATTCATTATATTAAGTAATATTATTAACAAAATAATTGTTTAATTACACTAAATATAATTTAAAAGCACATTAATATAAAAACTTAAAATAATGATTTAATGTAATTTATTTATTTAAACTAATTATTTTAATAATATAGTTTAGATCCAATACATTTTTGGATATATTAAATCGTATTTTAATTAACAAAAATTTATGCAAAAGGATAAAAATAATTATTAAATATGAAATAAAAATAATAATAGAAAAGCAAATTATATAGTTATCAAATAATTATCTATTTATATTTATCTATTTACTAATAATTCACACATATATTGATAACATTTAATATATAATATAATATAAAATTAATAATTTTCAATACATTTATACATTTATTTCCTACGATTCCAATACAAGTGTTTTTTAGACGCCCTCTTGAATTCAAACTCTGGTCGATCTCTGAGAACTGAATTCAATGTTATCTTCATTGGTATGTATTGAGACATTTGAGTGCCACGACGTCCTTCAAGACATGTCTGTAATAATTTGTAGTCCAATAAAACACCTCTTGAGTTGTTATTTGGATCCAATTTAGCTGATCTGGTATACCAAAGGTCAGCATAAACGGGATATATTTGACTAAACTTATATTTATCACTTAATGGCATTATTGATGATTGATACCAACAATTTAAACTTATAGTATTTATTTGTATAGAAAAAACTATTACTAATTATAAATTTTATAACAAACTTACTCATCACACACTTGACAATTAAATAATACAAAATAAAACAAATGAATATTAAACAATATATGCGCTAAAGGATTAAATAGTTATTATATAATCACTCATTAATTTAATTTTAACATAAAATCTATTTTAAAATATAAAAAATTTTAACTGTTATTTTCAAGTAAACTATAAACATTTACAAAAACATTTTCATTAAAACATTTATAAAAACAAAAAATTTAGTAATTCAATTTTGGCAAATTTTAGATAAATATTATTTATTTAGTATATATCTTTATATATTTAGTATATATTTAATTTATTAAATAGATAATTAATTAAGATATTAAAAACAATATAACGCAATAATCACTTTATTTTAGTGAGTCTATACTGTATTTGATAATTTATTATGTTTTTATGTATTTCAATGGAAACAAATTTTAAAATAGTGCCATAAAAACAATTTGGTTTATTTATGAGAAAACAGATAAAAATTTTAACTCATTGCACTTTTCACGTTATAATTAGATAATGATTATCTATGTTGTTAAAACCCTAACATAATTGGCAGCATTTCAATGATTAACAATTTTAGATCACTATCAAACTAATAGTTTTAATTTGTTTTAATAAATAAATAATTATCTATTATAAGTATTATAAATAAATATAAAGAATAATAGAATATTCTTTATATTTTCATATGCAGATTAAATAAATTACAACAATTAGTACAATATAATGTATATATTAATATTTACTTTAATCAAAAATATTTATTTAAAATTATAGTCTAAATTAAAAAATTAATTTGAAATATTTATTGATTTAGTAAACATGTAAACAATACAATCAAATTTAAAATAAAATTGTTATTTTATAATAGTTTGAAATCAATAACTGTTGAGTCCTTTATATTGAATACATTTACGAAAATAATTACTTTCTATACAAATGTTTTTTGCATTTGTGTTTCTTTTCATATTCAGGTCTATCTTTAAGAACCGTACGCTCGACGGCTTTGAGCGGCAAATACATTGCCATTTCGGTGCCTCTCTTGCCTTCCAAACAGGTTTGAAGGTATTTATAGTCGAGATATGTTCCGGTCTTATTGTGGTTTGGATCCAATTTTGATGATCTTAAGTACCAGCCGTCAGCGTATTCCGGATATATGCGAACATATCCATGGGTTGGCATTTTGTTCATCAATAATGGATTATTCATCTGTCATATCAAATAAATTTAGTTTTTTTAATTACAGTACATCTAATTATTTTAAATTACATATATTTCAATATTATAATTTTGCTTCAATTATTTCCTTCAATTTTAGCGCATTGATAGGATTTTATTGTAAAAGTATAACAATTGAAAACAAGCAGACATACCGATGTTGAATATTTTTCACATTTGTTTAAATAAATTATCGTGTGTTGCAATTGGCTCATTGTGTCGACCGATTAAAGTAATAATAAGCGTTAATTTAGTAGCAATTTAACTGTTGGCGAATAAATTTATAATATATATATATATATTATTCTGTATACAGTATATATAATTATTAAATTATTAATGTTAACATATTAGCTTTCTTAGATTTTTATTATTTTCATCATTTACCACATAATTAAATGTATTTAATTTCATACTTAGGCTATAAATTACTTTTATCTTGTCTGATACTACAAATTGCTTTAATTACATATTAAAGTTGCCATAAAATTTGCTTAAAAATATTATTAGTTTTAATAGCAATTATTAAAAATAATTATCATACATATTTTATTATTGTAACAAACAATTACTACAAACAAGTATATTACACTATTATGTACAAAAACTATTTAAATATTATTATAATTATAAGTTAATATATTAAATTTATATATGTTACAATTTTATTAGTATTTAAATTAAAAAAAAATTATATTTACTTGTGATTGTAAAATATACATTTTTAAATTATGATTATGAAAAAAACTATAAACTACAAATTAAACAACCAATAAATGATACAATATATTTAATATTATGGTTTAATGCACTAATAACACAAAATAATTGAATATAACTGATATTATGATAGTGACAGACCTTTTTAATAATTGCACTTTCAGTTAGTCATCCAATTGTCAACCTCTTCACTGGTGATAAAACTATGTCAACAACAACAACAACCAAAATAAAATTTGAACAAATAATTTAGGGAAACCTTGAAATTAATTTCAAAAAAAATAAATAAAAAATATTTTTAAAATATAAATTTGTTAACTTTCTATCACTTTAAATGTGTTTTTTCATATACTAATTATATGAAACAGAATATTCTGTATACTATTTTAGTAATTTTTGGATTGCATTTATAGATGAAATTCTTAAAGTATTTATACACGCATTCACTGTCATTACTTATACAAAGCAACTGAATCTTAATGTGTAATACGATTTCCCGGTGCTCTTTGACGTAATATTTTAAGCAAAATTTGATGTCAACCTTAAAAAGTAGTTAACTATTTATAACTACTATTAAGTCAAATATATAATGAGCTAACAATGTTATAATTTAAATACAGTATATAGTTATGTTTGCTTAACTTTCGATTAATTTAAATAACATATGTCTTAATTTTTAATGTCTTCAAATCACATCTAATGTATTAAATAAAATTCATATTATAATAAATAAATTAGAAAAACTATCAAAATTTGTAAATTAATTAATAAAATTGATTACATAAAATTTTTAAAAATAAGTTTAATAATAATTATTTTTAAAATCAATTATTATTTAAAATCAAAATGACATCTATAAAAATAAATAATCAAATTTATTAAAATATATTGTTTACTTTAATAAAGACATTATATTTAAAAATTCAGTATTTTGAATTTTTTAAAATTATTTTTATAAATTTATAAATTATAATTTACAATAACCTTTAGTTTAATTGAGTTATATTATATTGCTAATTTTTTATTTGTTTTACAATTTTATTTATAATTTATAACTAAAATGAATTATATTATATATTTGTTTGTAAAATTTATTTGTATTTAAATAATTAGAACAAATTCATAAAAATTTATTTCATTTATAATTAAGTATTAAATAAAAGAAAAATTATTTACAAATAACTAAAAATAAATTTATTAAATTGAATTTAAAATAATATAATCAATATAAAGGTAATTAATTGTTATTATTTTGTCAATTTAATAAAATATAAAAATATAAGTAAATATTTTAATTTAAAACACCTGTCATCTAAAAATAAAGTTCTCATTAAAAAAAAATAAAATGTTAATGTGTAAGTTAACAACAAAAATTAACAAATTGTATTTAAAAAGTTAAAATAAATTACATTTATTGATAAGCATTTATCACATATCCTATTACATGAATAATAGCAAGTGTTTTGAAGGTTCCGATAAATATATCACATATAATAACTAAAGCTTTTCATTTACATTGATTTGTTTGAAAGTTAGTTGAATTAATTGTTTAACAATTCGTAACAATTAATTCATAATAATTATGCGACACTTAATTCATATGTTTATAATTTGCGTTTCTTTACTGTTTACAGTAGTTTACGGCAAATGTGGATACGATTCCTGTCCTGCTTTAGACAACAATAAACTAAATATACATTTTATACCTCACAGTCACGATGATGTCGGTTGGATGACCACACCTGATGGTTATTACGATGGATCCACTCGAGCTATCATTACAAATGTTGTGAAGGCATTGGATGCCAACCCAGAGCGTCGGTTCACTCAAGTGGAGATCTATTTCTTCAACAGATGGTGGAGGGAACAGACACAACAAGTCAGAGATTTGACTCAAAAATTGGTGAATGAGGGAAGGCTGGTATTTACCAATGGTGGCTGGACTGTCAATGATGAGGGTGCCGCTCATTATAATAATATTATTGATCAAATGACTTTAGGTATATAATATAATACGATATATATATATATTTATAGTGAGTTTTAACTCTGTCCTATATTATTAAAATTTCTATATTTGATTATTAATAGATTAAATATTTATATAAATTTATAATATAATATATAAATTTTTATACAGTATATGTTAACGATATAAAACTAATGACATTAAAAATATTTAATATTATTATAAATATAGGATTAAAATTTTTGAATACTACATTTGGGTTATGTGGTCATCCTAAAGTATCCTGGCAAATTGATCCATTTGGGGCATCACTTGAAATGCCCTCTCTTTACGCACAAATGGGTTTCGACGCTCACGTCTACAACAGAGGTCCCACTCATGGAGAATATGTATGGCACGCATCCAAAGACTTGGATCAGCGTATATTCACTACAATATTGCACAGCCATTACTCAGCACCCAATGGATTCAACTTTGAAAACGGCAATAACCCAGTGACTGACCAAAATGTCGGCACCAAATTGAATCAATTGATTGGAGTGGCTAAACAGTGGAATCAAGATTATGGCAGTGCTAACCATGTTTTAGTCACAATGGGTGATGACTTCCAGTACAAAACAGCTGACAATTGGTTCAATAGTATGGATAGACTTATACGTGAAGCCAAAGAACATCACCCGGAGATTAATCTACACTATTCAACACCCAATTGTTATATCAAAGCTATAAATTCATTGAATAAAACTTTTGAAGAAAGAGATGTCGATTACTTGTCCTATTGGGTCGGATATTATTCAAACAGACCATCACTTAAATATCAGGATAGACTCACTAATAATATGCTACAGGTATTTGTATTAATTAATTAATTAATTAATTAATTAAAATAACAATTATATTATTTAAATTTGTTTTAGGCGAGCAAACAGTTGGAAGTGACCACACGATTAGATTATAAAAGAAATGATGTTTACTTAGATGAGGCACGTAATGAAGTGGCAGTTATGACACATCACGACGCTATCACCGGTACTTCACCGCAGGCCACGGCTGATGACTATACCAGTCGATTGCAAAGCGGTTACACCGCCGGTAAAGCTATTATTGAAAAAGCTTACAGTTATGTTAAACATAATACAAAAGATGCTTCAAATGATGTATTTTGTGATGTATTAAATATAACGGACTGTAAACTAACCGAAACTAATGACAAGATCGCTGTCACCGCTTATAATCCAATCGCCAGAACAATAGAAAAGAAAATAAGAGTTCCCATCACTGATGGAAACTATAATGTCTTTGAATCTAACGGTCAAAAGGTATCAAATGTGGCTTTACTTCCCGTATCAGAAGCGGTCAAACAATTGCCCGAACGTAAGGGTAGTCTTAGTACACATGAGTTGGTATTTTCGGCTCAATTACCTGGACTTGGATTTAATACATATTTCATAGAAAAAGTTAATACATATAAAAGTAAGGTTTTTAATGTGAATTACAATTATTTAACTTTAATTAACCAACAATTTAAATAAACTTAATATTATATTAATAATTTTAATTTAAAATAAATATAAAGATAAAAGATTACTAAAAACATTAATAAGAGACAAGACTAATGTTGATATGAAGGGAAAGTCATTTACATTACAAGTCGATGAAACCACTGGTCAACTGAAATCAATTACAATGAATGGCAAGACTTACAAACTTAATCAGTCATTTAAATGGTATAAATCCATTGGCGGACAAAAAGGTCTCGAAGATTCCGGTAGTTATCAATTCTGTCCGGACGGTATGGCCAGGGATTATCCACAACAGAGTCTCATATCAAGACATACTGATAATGGTGTACATGAACTCAATCAACAGTTTTCTGATTATATTCACCAAACTGTTCGCACTTATGAAGACAGAGATTACATTGAGTTTGATTGGACTGTCGGAGGAATACCTATTAGTGACAATTGGGGTAAAGAAATTATTACACGTTTTGAGTCCGATCTCATGACTGAAGGAGTATTTTATACGGACGCAAATGGCAGACAAACTATACGTCGAAAGTATGACCCAAACCACAAGGGATGTGTCAATGATGTTATCACTGGAAACTGGTTTCCTATTTATAGTCATATTTCAGTTAAAGATGAAAATAATGGTATGTTTTATAAATTGTGAAAATGAAAAGTAACTTATAGTAAGTTTTTAATATATTAAATATACAATTATTTGTTTAAGGACTTCAAATGAGTGTTCTTAACGATCGAACACAAGGAGGTTCATCACTGAATAACGGATCCATTGAATTGATGGTTCATAGAAGACTCACTTATAAAGGCCGGGGAGGAGACTTCAAAGTAGATGAACCGGGAGTCGATGGCAAAGGATTAGAAGTCAGAGGAAAACATTATTTGTTTTTCAATACTATTCAAAAGTCACCGCAATTAGTAAGAAGTTTAGCGGAGAAACTTTTATTGCCACCGATTATCACATTCAATACATACTCGACTATTAATGACTACAAAATCAAATATCAGACCCAATGGTCACCAATGGGTCAATCACTTCCCGAAAACATTCATTTATTAAGTCTTGAAAATTGGTCACAAAATCAAGTGTTGCTTCGTTTGGAACACATATACGAGTCTTCAGACAATAATTTGTTATCAAAACCAATAGATTTGAGTTTAGATAATATATTCAAATCATTCAATATTTTATCGGCAAATGAAATGAATTTAGCGGCGAATCAGTTGTTGTCACAAACAAAACGAATGAATTGGAACTCAAAACACACTTATTATGACAATCGACATAACAGTGCCATCGATGACACTAACAATCTAACGGTGCGATTGACTCCACAACAGATCCGTACTTTTATTCTTACAATTGATAATAATTATCATAAAGAAGGTATTAATTATAAATAATTTGTTTTTTTTTGTGTATTTACTGTATTTTAACAATTAATTAATTAATTTATTTATTTAGATGAATGTACTTACCATTGGGTAAATGCTAAACAGTCATCAATTCCTACCGATGCTTATGTCGCCGGTTATGATGTCGACAAAACACCACTTAATGTGTGTCGTTATAAATATAAAGACGATATGATTGCTGGAAAAGCCGATAAAAATCTGGGATGTGTTTTGACTTATGGAGGAAAAGAAGTTTACATTGAAAATGATCAAACATTTGAAGTATTAATAGCTAATAATGTCCAATGGGTTCCCCGACATGGAGAGGACCCGATACCCGAAGGAGCTCTAATTGTTGGCACTAAAGGTGATCCAAATGCCAAAACATATATCGGTCGGTGTTTTACACATAACGCAGAAATACCCGGAAAAGTTGACTATAATTTCTATTATGGTTTCAGTGGTTACGAACACAAGGAATGCTCTAATCATGATATCCTTGTCTGTCATTAATTCGTCTTTTATTCAATTAAATAGTTTTTAATATTTTGTATTTGAATAAAAATTTCTAAAAATATTGTGTATTTTTACATAAAATATAACAATTGTTTTTTAATTTTATTTCTTAAATTTTCTCTATAAAATATAAATATAAGTAATTACAGCAATAAGAAATAATTAATTAATTTTGTAATTATACTGTAAATATTAAAATAAAGTATAACTCCAAATATCTATGAAATTAATTAAAAAGTAAATTATTTATTAATTTAATCGTATATTCTTTTATTTTTTTTTATTATATTTTAAAATAATAAAAAATTGTATTGTAGATAATTTATATTTTAATACCGATATTTAAATATTATACTGTAAAGTTATATATATGATTATATTTTTAAATACATGATTTTTGTATATTTGTATTGTTTTATAATTATAAATTAATAAATTGTGAAATATATTTTTGTAAAAAATCTTTAATTTTAAAAATTTATTAATATCACTTATTTAAAAAAAATAATTTAGATTATTTAATTTAGTTAAATCATATGTCATTTTTTTTATTAAACAATGCAAAATATCTTAAATGACCTTAAAATTTAAAATACTATACAAGTCTGGAATAGATAGACATATAGTTTTGTATTTCTTGTATTTGTTGTACAATAATATGTTGTATAACTTTACTGTATTTTATTAGATAATTATTACTTATATTTTTAAAAATTAACCTTTATTTGTATTACTTTTATTTATATGTTATTTATGTTAATTTTAATTTATTTGAATTAAATATTCTTGTATTAATTTTCTTTATCATTACAATAACTAAACAAAACAAACAAAATAGTAAATTTAAATAATGCATTGCATATAATAGTCTATTTCCGATAGGATTAGTAACATCTATATAATGATATATAACTAAAATATCATATATTTTAATTTGTATAAATATTAAAAATTATAATTTTTATTTGAATAATTTATACTATAATGTGTGTACATTTCTTATTAGATATTTTTTATTATAAGTATAGTATATTTCAATTTCTATAATTAGCCCAAAAATGGTGATCTATTCTTAATATACATGTCATCTAAATTTAAATATAGATTGCATTTTAAATTTTGAGCCAATACATTAGTAACACATCATTATAACTATTATATAACTTTATTACAAATTTCGATTAATAATTGTATTATAATTTTGATATGTAATTAAATCATTATGTTAAAAGGTTTGTAAAATTAATTTATTAAGTATAAGCCTAAAAATTAAATTACTAATATAACTTATGATGTTTTAACATAAAATTATTAAAAACAATAACAGTAATAAAAATTCTCGTATTCAGAGAAATACTCCCAAATAAATTAAATTATCATTAAATAAGATAATTAATATAATTTTGTCGTATTTTGTAATTAATCTAAAAATTTGTATTTTATGTAAATAGGATTAAAAGTCTTATTTGGCATAATATCCACAATATTTGTAATATTAACGTCTGTTTGGATTGAAGTTAAAGATCTGAAGGCAGAGTCTCCTCATTCAAGCGATGCTTTCTATCCGATGGCCAGAGACTCGCAGAAGTTTGTCCAACGCCTTCGTCGGGCAACTAAACTGTTGATATATAAGTCAGATGGAGATGACTATAGGAAACACCATAAAAATGATATTAATGAAGAAAAAGTGATGAAAGCAGTAAAAACAGTTAGCAAAGAGATTGAAGCACTCAATAAGCAACATAAACATATGAAATGGCACCTGGGTCGATGGGGTCGATGGGGTCAATCGGGTCAATCGGATCAAAATAGTTACTGGGGTCACTGGAGTCACTGTGCCAAACAAGTCTGTATCACTTTTGATATTGCATCTATCTCATTTACTTTAACATTTAATATACCAAAATTATTATGCCGTTATTTTTAATAATTAGTTATATACTTGTATTAGTTTAATGTATAAAATCTAATGTATAGTAAGTAGTATTATTAAATTATTAATAGAAAGTTAATTTGTAATAATAAATTTTGTAATTTTTTGTTTTAATTATATAAATATTGTAAAATATTGTATAAATTTTTATTAATTAAAAACTAGAAATATAAAATTAAAAGGAAATTTATAATTAGTAGTTATTTGTGTCACTAATCAATAAATATTGAAAGTAATTGGACTAATAGAAGATTTATGTTATTTACAAAAAAAGTATATTTATTAAATGTTATATTAATATAATACCGTAACTATAATAGCGTATAAATATGAATTATATAATATTATTGTAAATTTATAGTTAAGTACAGTTAGTCTATAATAATGAACTGGAAATACAACAGTCTGTATGTCTATATATTTATCTATTCCAGACTTGTCTAGTATTTTAAATTTTAAGGTCATTTAAGATATTACTTATTGAGTGAAAGTTATTAAATAATATTAAATATATTTTTTTAAAATTAAAGATTATTGTCTTACAATTTATTAATTTATAATTACAATACAATACAAATGTCTAAAAATCGTGTATTAAAAATATTTATATAACATTATTTTAATAAAAATTCAAAATAAATTATAATAAGCGATTTCACATTAAGATTTATTAAATTTAATTTTGTTTTTGTTTGAAAGCAAACTTTAAGTGACCTACACTTTGACCATTAGATGAAATATTCAGCGAAAGTGAAAGTCCTATTTGTGACCTAAATTCACATATTGGTTGCCAACAACTTTTACTTTAACCTTAAGGGCAATTGTTAGACAAAAATTAGGTGAAATTTGTTTCCTTAATAATACAGTGCTTTATCTTTAAAGTAAATTGCCCTAAAAGAAGACCTACTGGTAATAAATATGCGAACAAAAGTATAATTGTTAAAAAAGTATGTGAGTGTGTGTGTGTGTTAAAGAGAGAGAGAGAGAGAGAGAGAGAGAGAGAGAGAGAGAGAGAGAGAGAGCTAAATTGAGATAAAATATCAAAGTTGAAAGATGTAAGCAATTTTCATCTACATTTCCTATGACCCCTCCCTATATCATCTCATAAATTAGTCGTTCACAACACCGGTCTATCAACAAAACTAATGCAATGAATGTCTGCAAAAAATGAGTATAAAAGTCAGCGAATGTTTGACAAATAATTACAAATAAGTTTGCATTTGAAGTATTTCTCAAATCAATTCAAACTATTTTAAAAGTTTTATAAACTTTAAATTCAAAACAAAATGTTTAGAGTAAGACTTTAATAACTAATAATTCATAAACTTTTATATACTTATAATATGTTTTTTCAGTTTATTGTATTAGCCCTTACCATAAGCTATGTCTGTGCCGGTGGATATGGCGGTGACTTCGGTGGTCTACGTGGCGGTTACAGTGGCGGTCTCGCTCTCGGCAATGGTTATGGTGCTGCCCGTGCCGTCCATCATACTGGACCAATTACTGCTGCCATCCAATCGACCCGATCATATGAAGTGGTTCCCGTTGCACTTGTCCAAGAGGCCCCGATTCCTCAGACCATTGATGTCGGAGCAAACTTCCAGCCCGTAAACATGATCTTCCGAACCGCGTCGAGTCCATTGAATCTGGAACAGGTTCACACACCATTCGCTCCCCAATTCCACAGCTCTAAGTCCGAAGACGAGGCATCAGTTGTGACACATGAAAACTATAAGCCAATCATTCAAGAGTACCGCGAAGTCATCCAACCCTACCGTAAGATTGAACAGAGAGTACAACCGGTCATTGAGAACGTGCACACCGTTGTGTCAAAGGGTGAGGAATATAGAGCACCCCTAGCTTTGGCCGCTCCCACTCCTTATTCGGCTCCATTACTCAAGGCTGCCCCAGCTTTGCCATTGTTTGCCAAACCCAACTACAAATAAACAATTACTTATTGAACATCTCTAACATCCCTTTCCTTAAAATAGACTATATTTTGATTTATAGATTTTATTATATAAACCATTCCATCAAAAGATTTTTATGTCACCAATCATTTTACAAATTTATGAAAATTGATATAAATAAAGACTATTTTTTAAATTAAATTAATTTTTTATTTATATTAAATATAATTTGCATTAAATAAATTAATTTTAATTTAGACTTTATTTTTAACATTATAATTGATAAAAATTAAAAAATATAAATATAATTTAAAAAATAAAACGAATAAATTAAATAAATTAGTATATTTAATATAGTAATACAATATATAAATATAAATTTATTTTAATACAGTCGTTATCACATAGAATTTAATAAACATACAACCCCTAATTATAATGCAACAAAAATGTTACATTTATTTAGTTATTTAAAAAATATTTGATAATAATTTTATTATATTAATCAGTTATAATTATTAAAAATTTTATTAGAGGTATTAAACCTAAATTGTATTATTGGTATATTTAGGGATATCCCTAAAAGTATCAAAATTAGTCTTTTTTCGTCTATTAGATTTCCAGTGCTCTCGTATTTATAAATTTTAATTAAGTTTAATAAATTTTTGTTAAGTATTTATTAGAAATTTTAAATATATATATTATAAAAACGTATAATAAAGACTATTAATTTAAATTAATTATACTTTATCTTCAATTTACTAAAAATTTAGTTTTTATTAGTGAATCATTGCTTAAACTAATTGACTGATATAATAGGCAAAGACATTGCTTTCATTACAATAAAACCGTTCGTCGAGTCGATCCATATGTGGCTACATATTAATGTAAATTCATTGATAAAAGTGGTAATTAATTTAATGATTACAAATCGTAATCGTTATTATAATTTATAAATAAATAATATTAATTGTTAACCATCTATCATAAACAAAACCATCGATATAGAAAAAACTGTCCCATCAATCTAATGTTGTTTATGCTCTAATCCTATAGTTATTATTTTTAATTAATTGCTAAATGGTGTTTGTATAAGCACTTGGATTATTGTCAACAAATATATTATATTATTATATATCACATTTTAGATAGATATCATTAAAAACAGCAATAATTGAGTGCATATAATGAATAATAAATAAAAGCACCGGTAGTAATATTAATAAGTCATCCATTTGACCGAAAGAGAGAAATAGAGCTAAAATATTTAGAAGTTGAAAGTTGTTAGCAATTTTCATCTACATTTCCTATGACCCCTCCCTATATCATCTCATAAATTAGTCGTTCACAACACCGGTCTATCAACAAAACTAATATAATGAATGGAAACCGAAATGAGTATAAAAATGAGCGAATGTTTGACAAATAATTACAAATAAGTTTGCATTTGAAGTATTTCTCAAATCAATTCAAACTATTATTTAAAAAGTTTTATAAACTTTAAACTAAAATCAAAATGTTTAGAGTAAGACTTTAATAACTTATAATTCATAAACTTTTATATACTTATAATATGTTTTTTCAGTTTATTGTATTAGCCCTTACCATAAGCTATGTTTGTGCCGGTGGATATGGCGGTGACTTCGGTGGTCTACGTGGCGGTGACTTCGGTGGTCTACGTGGCGGTTACAGTGGCGGTCTCGCTCTCGGCAATGGTTATGGTGCTGCCCGTGCCGTCCATCAGACTGGACCAATTACTGCTGCTATCCAATCGACCCGATCATATGAAGTGGTTCCCGTTGCACTTGTCCAAGAGGCCCCGATTCCCCAGACCATTGATGTCGGAGCAAACTTCCAGCCCGTAAACATGATCTTCCGAACCGCGTCGAGTCCATTGAATCTGGAACAGGTTCACACACCATTCGCTCCCCAATTCCACAGCTCTAAGTCCGAAGACGAGGCATCAGTTGTGACACATGAAAACTATAAGCCAATCATTCAAGAGTACCGCGAAGTCATCCAACCCTACCGTAAGATTGAACAGAGAGTACAACCGGTCATTGAGAACGTGCACACCGTTGTGTCAAAAGGCGAGGAATTCAGAGCACCCCTAGCATTGGCCGCCCCTTATTCGGCTCCATTACTCAAGGCTGCCCCAGCTTTGCCATTGTTTGCCAAACCCAACTACAAATAAACGATTACTTATTGAACATCTCTAACATCCATTTCCTTAGAATATACTATATCTTGATTTATAAATTTTATTATATAAACCATTCCATCAAAAGATTTTATGTCACCAATCATTTTACAAATCTTAAAATTATTATATATATATAAAATTTATGAAAATTAATATAAATAAAGACTATTTTTTAAATTAAATTAATTTTATTATTAATATTATATATATAATTTTCACTAAATTAATAAATATGAATATAAATATTCGTAAATATTGAACATAATTATTGATAAAAATAAAAATATAATTTTAAAAATTGATTATTTATTTTTTTAAAGTATGTTTTAAAAAAATTTTGTTAATAGTTAATTTGTTTTGGCATAAAATATAATTTAAAAATTATAAGAATATAACTTTACATTTATATATACAGTATATATATTTTTAAATAATTTAATATAACATTGTTATTAATCTATAAATAATCAAAATCATGGATAACTCTCTCGGATAATACTTACTATCTCTACAGTAGTAAAAGCACTTTAAAATGTTTGATTTAAATATGATATTAATTTTTTGATACAATATGTATATATTATATATTAATTAGTGAATAATGTGATAATAGAAATTTTTATATTACAAAAATAATTAGTAATATTTATTAGTTTTTTGTTTTATATTATTTTTTATAATTATATAATTTATACCGTAAATATTTACAAAATAAATCTTACTTTATTGTAATAAATATAATTTATATACATAATAGTCATAAAACATGTTTTAGACCTATAATACCGTATGTATTGATATATGTTATAGACAAAGGAACCACCAAAATGTTTGACCTAATTATAATATATTTTTTTTAATAATCTTTTATATTAAAATCAAGGGCATATCAGTAATTATATAATATTCAAAAGTTTACGTAATTATACTAATAAATAAAATATTTAAAAAGTAAGATATGATTTTCACTAAAAACTTCCCCAACAAAGCATTTGTAAAGTTATTATCTTTTGTGTTGATATACTTTATGACATATCATCTAAATTTTAACTCACAGTTATGTCGATCACAAAATTATTTCAATGACAAACACTCCCATTAAAAACTATTTTGCATTTTTGACCAAATTTTGTCAGTATATAAATGGTATACAATTACTGGTCATTTCAATCACAAACATTCATTGCTATTGAATGTAATATAACTTTGCATTTAGTAAATTGTAATATCATTTTAAAAATTCTACTAAAAATCATTTGAAAATGTTGAGAGTATGTATAAAAATGTTTAATTTATTATAATAACAAAATTGTTTTTAATAGTTGACTGTATTAGCCCTAACCGTTTGCTACGTGTGTGCCTATGGAGGCACTCCTTTATTAGCAAGAGCTGGATATGGAGCACCAGTTGGTCGTGTGCTTAACAACTTTGGTCCGATCAATGCTGCCGTGCACTCCACCCGTACCTATGAAGTAGTACCGGTTCCCGTTCACTTTGAGGCTGCCATTCCCCAAACCATTGAAGTGCCTGCAAATGTTCAACCAGTAAACATGATCTTCCGAACCCAGTCGAGTCCATTGAATCTACAACAGGTACACACACCGTCCGCCCCGATCTACCAGAGCAGTCGATCAGAGGACGCACCGTCGGTATTGACTCACGAAAACTATAAACCAGTGATTCAGGAATACAGAGAAATCATTCAACCGTTCCGTCGCATTGAACAACGCATACAACCGGTCATTGAGAACGTGCACACAGTTGTGGCCAAAGGTGACAATTACAGAGCACCCGAAGTGTTGACAGCACCTGAAGTATTGACAGCACCCGCTTCACTCCCATTCGCACCATTCGCCAGAAATGAGTACAAAAAATAAGTTTTTAAACAATTTTATTTTCCACTAAATTTTACCCTAAATTTGTTTTTACCTTTTATCAAAATATATAAAATACAAGTTATATCTATATATATATATATATATATATTAAAATTTAATCAAAAATTATTTTATGTATTATAAAATATAAAAGAAAAAAATAAAATATATTGATTTAAATAATCATATTGTATCAGTAATTTACTTATTATTAATGAATTATTGATTAAACCAATTGACTGATATTACTGTCAAAGTTTGTCTTACAAATTGGTATAATAGTAAAAGTCATTGCTTTAATCGCAGCATAAACTTCATTACCGATCGGTATTATTTGGGACTCGGGTAACAAAAAATTGATATTTTCCAAAATCACGTAATTCTAAACACTAATCATATGGTATTATTGCCACACAATGTGTTCAGTTTTCAAGTATTTAATAGTATAATAGTTATAAAGTTATAAAAGATTTTTTATTATTACCATCACATGCTTGTGATATATCTAAATAAATTAATTAATTGTTAAATAAATTATTTAAAAACATTGAGTTATAAAGCGTACACTAAAATTGTTTTATACATTGAATACAATGTTTTAGACCCAATATCTATATTAATTTTTTTGATTAATACTTTGCTATAGAATCAAAAATAAAATATACAAAAATAATATTCAATAAATATTGTATTATATATCATGTATAATATTATAATGTTCTGCTAATAATTTCAATATTAATAAAAAATTTTATAGATATAATAAAGATTAGTTGACATATACTAAAGTTATAGTATTCAAAATTATTAAAATGCAGATTATATAAATAATTAAAATCAAAAGTTAAAATATTGTTAATAATATTTAATATCTAAACACATTTGTTATAACAATTATGATAAGTTATTAATCAAGTTATTGTTAAGTATTGATGTTAAGTTAATAATAAAAATGATTATAATATTTAATAACTTAATGAAAACTTGAATCCTTTTCATAACCATATTTCCATATATCACTCAAACAAACAGATGAGTGAAATCTATAAAATAGCATAAGTGGTAGATTAGCATTTGATAAAATCATCCATGTCAATTTTCCAAAATAATTTTCTAATCCATTTAGTCTATCCATATATCTCAACTCAAATGTATTGAGTATCCAAAGAGAAACATTCAAAATGATGGCAAACATAATCAACTCTCGGCCTGGCTTTTGGTATCGGAGTTGTTTAGTGTTAGAGCACCGGCGTATACCGTCCACTATAAATGGTGTTTGTATAAGCACTTGGATTATTGTAAACAAATATATTATTATAAGAAACACATTTTCGATGGATATGTTTACAAAAGCCACAATAATTGAGTGCATATAATGAATAATAAAGAAAGGCACCGGTAGTAACACCAATAAGTCGTCCATTGATGTGTTAGCGTTATCAAAGTGTTCGTACTTGACTACATCCAAGTGCCGGATCTTTACGTAAGCAAACGGCACAACAACACAACATATAAGTGTTAATATAGCGATTTGTCCCGAATATATTGAAACACCAAATCGGTTGATACTTAGGGTCGCAAAAAATATGATAATTGTAACAACAGTTGCCATAAGTGTTGTTATTCCTCCAAATAAGCCGCGATTACTTGAATGGCAGTCAGCGTTAATCAATATTGAGGTCCGGTAGCTGTTGGCCTGTTGTTCATCTAAATCGTCTTCAGATGTGATCGACACTTGCCTTTTGTTGGGTGCACTCAAGTGTTCTTTACCTATAGTTTTAATTTTATTAAAAACTAGTTATTTACATAAAAATAATTGAATTATCTTAATATGAAACCTATATTAGTCCATATGATGTACCAAATTGAAGCCATTATTATATTAAATTCAACAGTAAATGGATATAAATAGGGCAGTGCTTCCATTGATTTTTTGTTGATCACTGCGGCCTCTAAACAATGTAATTCATGATCAATCACTTCATTGAATAAATGTTCGCTAATAGTATTCGTCTCATTAATTGAATCGATATTTTCCACGTAATCTTCTATGGCTTCACTAATAATAGTACGAACCCATAGAGACAGAGATGTGGTCAACAAATGCATTAATGCAAATCTGGCTATTGTTTGATGACGACTAATAAGTATCTAAAATAAAATTTATATTTTTTAAAAATAATAATAAATTACTCAATTTAAAAAAAACAAAAAATTATAATTACATTTGTATATTTGTAAGTTATAAATAACTGATAAAATGATACAATTATTTTAATGATAAAACTAATTATTGAAAGAAAATCTTGACATTCTTGGTGACCATTAATATAATAATATATATTAGTAAACAATTGAACGCCCATATGAACTATACTCCCAAAACAAAACACTAACCAAACAAAAGAAATGATAACTAATTATTGACTATTTATTCAATAAATTATTAATAATTTGGTTTTACCAGTGGTTCCACAGGTCAGGTAGAAATTGGCTGAATGTTTGCCGTGAAAAAACTTATATCCCGTCACCAGTTTGCCGTCGGATATGACCGACTCTGACACATGAGTTGGCTCTTCGTTGTTAACAGTGTTGACTGAATCAAATATAATTGCTGTCGCAATACTTATATTGTCATCAAAATTATTATATTGATTATCATTATAATTATTATTAGTTGTTGTGGATTGAGATTTGAGAAATTGAAGCGCCTGTTGCTTATACTTATTGATATCCCGGTGCAAGAATATAAGCCACGAAACGCCAATTAAGTTCATTATTATGAGATATACATGAGATAGAGTATTGCCTTTCGTGTTAAGATTATATATAAATATCATAACACCAATAACTAACATCACAATTGCATACATTATTGATAAAAACTGTGCTATTCTTGTGCCAATATCTTTATATTCAATGGGATAGTTGTGTGAATTGTCATCATCGATATGCCGTTGAATTTGGTTTGGGCCGTCATATTCATTAGAAATTGAACGATTCACAGATCTATCTTTAAAATTAAATTTTGTTTTAATTAAAAAATATTAAAATTAAATTTATTAAAAGTAATTTTTATATTTATTTTATTAAACACTTACTACTTTTAAGACTACAATTTCTTGATAATGAGTTGCCCTCCAATTTTACACGTCTTGATTGTTGCGGTGATGCTATAGTTTGTATAGATTGTATAGTTTGTCTATTTATAACATTTGTTATGTCATTTCTATTGAAACCATTGAATATTGGATTATTACTATTATAATCATTTTCTGCAATCCTATCAATAACTATAATTGGTGTCTCTTTTTGGTTTTCATTAAAAGAAATTTCAATGTTTTTCTCTTTCTATACAAACAACAATTCAATTAATAATTGTATATAATTAAGATTATTATTAAAAATAACCTCTTCTAGTGATGTAATGGTCACTAATGACAATGATCTCGACCGGCATATTATGGGAGATGTCGGCAGTTGTAATAATTCACTCATTTGGTGCTAACTATTGTTTTATTAAATTTTTCAAAATATAAATATTGTATAAAACAAATAATAATTTAATGTTTATATAAAACTGCATTTCACTTCAAAATGAGATATAATTTTCAAGTTTACTAACTTATATATACCTATAAATAATATTAAGGATAATATTGCATTAACATTATTTTGTATCTAACTTAATAAATACTAGTAATTTGCTTACATAACCATCGGGTAAATATTATATATCATTATTTGTATTAATTATACTAAACATTTGTTTCCGATATCATATGTTAATAAAAATTATATCAAACATTATACTATCATATTATTAATACTATGATCTTATTGTACCTAAGTATAATAGCAATGACATACTGTATATACAGTATTTAATTTATAAACCTTTTAAAAAATAATATTTTTATTAAGTAGAGAAATCAGTTTTTAATTTTTTTAATTATTAATTTTTTATTGTTTATTAAAAATAGTGTAATTTTTTAAAATATTAACATTACATATAAATCAAATAATATGATTGAAAATTAAGTATTTATAAAGAATTACATAAATATTATGTAATAAACTATTATATGATAGAAACTTATTAGAAACTTGTCTATAAAATTATTAGTCAATATAAGTGCAATTTATATTATATTATTTGTCAATATTTATTACTTTGATAGTAACTTTGAATGATTTATTGGTTTTATAGATTTTAATAAATTGTTATTAGAGTTGTTTTATTATAATATATCTATTGTTTTTATTTTTATAAATGCAAAACTAATGATAAGTGTTATATTGGTTAGTGCTATGAATTGAAATTAAATGAGAACATCTATTTAGAAAATTATTACAAATTAATTGAAAATAGTAAACTTAAATCAATTATTTGTTTTAATTGATGTTAATTTTTGAAAATTAAGATAAATAGTATAAAAAATATTATTATTAAATTTATTAAAGTTTCCATTTTTCTATTTAGATTCTAATTTTGCATAATTTAATATAATATGTATTTTGCTATTTAATTGATTAATAATTATTATAAAAATATTTGTTAAATTAGTTTAAATATTATTTAATAAAACAAAATTTAAAAATGTTTACATATATTTAGTTAATTACACGATGACTGACATTGTTGTCTACTAACATATGGACAAAAAAAATCAGGATTTAAAGTGACTTCACATTTGTGTACACTTTTATGAGACTCTTTCACCTTTTTTTCTATTATTGTCTAATAACTAGAGTTGTGTATCTTCGGAAATTCCTAAAACTTTATTATTTATTAAATCGTCGGGAATTTAATATTTATATAAATATGGCAACATTTTCAATGAAGTTAATGCCTATTGTTTTTACCGATTTTTGTTGTTTTTTTGAGAAAATCCTGAAAAACATTGAAAAACAGTATTTAAGTGTTTTTCCCGAAATTCGCTAAATATTGATTGACATAATACTTAAATACATATTGAATAAAATATTAGCGGTACATCTAATACAATATTAAATCAATAGCAATGAATGAGACGATATGTATCAGAGGAAAGCAAACTTTAAACAAAATATTGCTATAAAAGCTAGTTTTGTATGTATTGTAAAAATATGTACTGTAATACTTAATTAATATATTTTTTCTTTACAATGAGTAATACAAAGTGTAGGTTTTAAACTAAAACTAAACGCATTTTTATAATCAATTAATAACTGAAAATAAATTATTTTTAGTAAATATAACCGAATTTGTGACATAAACTATATATTATTAGTACTATAAGAAAAAAATTAATTTCTCGATTTATATCCCGATTTTGTCATTTAAACTCCGAAAATGCATAACTCTATCAATAACTTTGTAACAACTGTTAGTAACTGTAGTTAAATGAGTAATCACTAACAATAAGTCAGTCTTTGTACCAAACATTAAGTTTGAGTGAAAATTATGACGTCATATAGTATTGTTTGAATTCAAAATAATAATATATATATATACAGGGGTCCTCAAAACTTTTTCTCTAAAATTAGATAAATTTAATATAAATACATATATTTTATTTAATGTAAAAATTTTATATAAATACATATATTTTATTTAATGTAAAAATTTTATATAAATAAATAAACAAAAGTGTTATAAATATTTTAATTATTAATCGTGTTAATAAAATAACAATATATCATAAATAAAATACATAATATTTTAAAACGAAAAATAATTAAACGCATCATTATCATTATTAATTTCCTCAGTTTCTTCAATATTGTCATCAAGTTTAGCTTTTTTGTTTTTATCTAAAAAATTAAAATTGTTAAAATCAGTAAAAAATAAAAAAAATACCGAAATTTCTATCAATTTCTGTGTTTGGATGTAATAAAGCAAATTGTTTTTTAAAAAAGTATATTTAATGCATACAGATTATAACAATAATCGCAATTTTGTTTTTATTTAAATTCATTTCTAAAAATAAATATAAATTAGTAAAAAAAAGATAATTTATTTTTTTATACTTATTGTTATTAGTGATATAGTAACTTATAGTGATTTAGTATATAATGATATTTATAAAATGGTTTTTTAATTAACAAAATTAATTAATTGTGTTAATTATTTTTTTATTAATTTTTTCCAGATGTTTTTTAAGATTATTTATTTATATAAAATTTTTACATAAAAAATTAAATATATATATTTATATTAAATTTATCTAATTTTGGAGAAAAAGTTTTGAGGACCCCTGTATATATATATATTATTATTTTGAATTCAAACAATACTATATGACGTCATAATTTTCACTCAAACTTAATGCTTGCTTTGTACCCAAACTGGCTGTTACTTAGGGTTTGAATGCATAATAAACAACTGTTGAATATCAAGGAATCGAAGCCCAGGCATCGTATAGGATGTTGTTTCCAAACAACACATGAAAACAGTCAACATCTTAACCTATCGGCCACTACACCGCCGACAAACACACTGACAATCAGTATATCTGCTATAAGTGATGTTTTTACACTGACAAACATCATATACACATAAGTTTAAATATATAAAGTTCAGGATCGGGTTGATTGGGACAGATAGGGACAGATAGGGACAGATAGGGACAGATAGGGACAGATAGGGACAGATAGGGACAGATAGGGACAGATAGGGACAGGTAGGTAAAGACTGTACGACAAGTCGTATAATTATCATTTTTATCGCCTAAACAAACTTTACTATCACTTCCCAAACGTTTTTCGCATTCTTTTATATTATCAACAGTTTATCAAATGTATGAATAAATGTATTAAATATAATATAAATACTATAATAATATTTGAAACATTCACATACTGTATGTATCTATAAAAACCCGATATAATGCTTGCAATACAACATAACTCACACTTTTGTTTTGTGTTAAAGTTATTAAGATTGTCTCCACACTTAACACTTATAATCTTATGTTTAATGCCAAACACAGACCCAAATCATTAGATAATCTACAAATACTTGGCTTTCCTAATATAAAATTATATATATTACACATAATTTTAAAACATCAAACAATTGTCTTGATTTACCTAACAATGCATATCTCTCGTGACTTTTATTAATTAAAAAATATAACCCAATGCATCCAAAATATAACTCCATGTCCTCCATGTCCTCTATGTCCTCCATGTCCTCCATACTCTCCATACTCTCCATGCTCTCCATATTCTCCATTTCTTCCATTAATACCACTTACTATTATACATATTATCATTATATTTAAAATTAATAATAGATTTGACATTTTAAAGTACACAATTAATAAAAATAATAGTTGATATGCTTTTTTAAATTAGAAATTATTTTTAACATTTTATAAAATTGAGATCTTTTTATATAAAATGAAGACAATTTGAAACTTTTATATGTTGATGATGTAAATCGTAATACAATTGAATTTTATTATCAAAAATAACCCAATTTTAGATAATTTCATAATTTATGTCCTTTTAATTATAATGAGAACATCAATAAACTTTTAAATAGCTTTATTATATTGAAATGTAAAGTTATATATGTTTTAAAAAATTATATTTGTTATTATTAGTACAGTATTATTGTATAAAATATTTATTTAACAATTATATGTTTAAAACTATAAAAATCATAAATGTTCTGTAATATACTGTTTACAAATTATTGTAATGATTCATAAAAAATATTTGATATTTAGTTTGATATTAAGACTATATTATTCATTATCTACATTATAAAGTCCATTCGTTGTTACTAAAATTGCAAAATAATAATAAAAATCATTATTATGGTTAACAACAATATTAAATATTAAATAACATTATATATACTATTTATATCCATTATGTCAATAGTTAACATCAAACCCGAAGTCCAATCCATTGAAGAAACTGAAACCAAATCCATTGAACACTTCGATTGAAAATAATAATAATAATTTGTATATAACTGTACACTAGTGTATCAATTATTAAATACAAATGCAATAAAAAGCAATAAAGATGTATTAACATATTAAATAATCAATTGAAATAATAATTAAGTTTTATAATTTACAATTATTATATTAAATTATAAAGTGTATTAAATAGTGCCATTTGTTTACTAATTTTTTCTATATATAAATAAATAATATTATATACTTCATCGTTAGATATAATAGTAAAATATGTTAACGATATTATATTAATATTAGAAATATTATTATTTCTAAAACATATACAATATTTTTATTGTATTAATATAAATTCATAAAAACCAAAAACATGTCAAAATTTTTAAAGTTTATTAACAATTGAGAGTTTTACAATAATTTTATTTTATATATTAATTCAGTATATCTTACATATTATAAGAATTATAATTACATTTATATTAAATATTGTTAATTAATATTGTTTGTATGTTTGCTATTTATATACTAATTATACTAATTTTAATATTATTGTTAATACAAAGATTATTCTTTATAGAAATTACTTAAAAGATGTTACAAAACAATTTGTATATTAAAAAATAAAACTCACTAATATTATAAAACGTTTATTTATTTTTAATTAAATTTTAGTATATATAAAAAATATAAATTATATGACCTTAAAATTAAATTGTATCATATTATATTCAAAAACATATTAACTAAACAATAATATCTGGAAACTAATATTAGCAATTTGTATAATATGAGATAATACAGTATATTTTACAAAAAATATAAAAAATAAATAAAAAGATGTTTTACATTTGTTTCAAAACAATAGCATTAAGTATGATATTTAAAAAACAAAATAAATTGTTCTAATTTATTAAAAATTAAACAATTAACTATATAAATCAATTGTTTCTACTCATGGACAATTATTTTAATTAAAAATCAATACAAAATATTTATAAATTAACAATGACCTCATTATAAATATCTATTTAAGCGAACGATAATCAACTTTTAATAATTATAAAATTAATTAGTTTAAATATTTTAACATTTAGTCAATTTTTATAAAATTAATTCAAAATGTTTAAAGTGATCATAACTTTTATGTTTGTATTAAATTATATCTCATGTGTTTTTATACCGGAAGCATCCAATATATTTATAAATCGTAAGTATTATTATTTATAATCATTACATTGAAAAAATTAAATTAATTAATTATCCCAAAAATTATTAGATCCAACAGTTAGTCCCAAACCTATTCCTGAAATTTGTGTTAAAAAGGTGTCGGAAGACAAAAGTGATTGTTTGGGAGACTCTACTGTCGAGCGCTGGTATTTCGAACCCATTTCTAAAGCCTGTTATAAATTGCAAGCACTCTCTTGTTTGCCGCTAAATGTTAACAACAATTTTGAAAGTGAATCCATATGTGAGAAAAAGTGTCCGGTCAAATATGAGGGAGGATATATGCTTAACTAAATATATACTATATTTTGCATCAATTTATTTTTATATTTACTTATAATTTTAATAATAATTTTTTTATTCAAATTATTTTGCATAATACATTGTTTTTAACCATAACAGTAAAAAAGATTAATTTTATACAAATAACAACATTTACGTAATATAATTAAAAATGAATTTATATATAAATTAATATCTATAAACTTAGGAAAACTTCTGAAAATAATGCAATTAAACAAAATCTATAAATAAATATTACTTCATAAATATCATTGAAAATTAATTGATAGCAATCAAAATTGTAAACATATTTGCAAACGTGTTTTTGAATAAATTATATTTTTTTTAATCATTACTTTGTTGTTTGAAATGAATTTATAACGTATTTTAGTAATTTAAAAATTTTAACAATAATACCACAAATGTTGTATAAATAAACTGACTTAATATAATTATTTATGAAATCAACAAATGTTATATAAACTAACATTTAATATATTGTTAAGTACTGTGCATTTAGTTGAAAATTTATAGATTGTTATTAAAATCTGAGAAATGTCTAAGTATTCATTATTATTATTATTATTTGCAGTAATGTTAACATTTTCACTTAAATGTTTGGTTAATGGAAATGTAATTAACGGGTTGACCGTTGAAAATAAGCAAAATATCCCGCCGTGGGGTAAGTAATTTTCTTAAAATATTTTTAAATTTTACTTATATTAAAATTTTAGTATGAAATTGAATGTTTATATTAAAAATTTTAATGTTTTCTAGACTTATATTAATAGTTTCACTGGTATACTATATGTCACTTTCATATTTAATTATACTAAACTAATATCAGAATTAACTTAATATTTCAATATATTAATAGTTTTTAATTTTTATAACTAATATGGAAATCATTCAATTGTTCATTATTATTAAACTTAAAAAATGGAGATATAATATAACTGTCAATTTACAATACCAATCTTTAATTATTAATTATTAAGTTTTAATTAATTGAAATTATAGGAAATTTAATGAATATTTATTTAAACAGATTGTTATTCAGATGCAGATGTGGGTCCGTGTAAAGGATATTTTGAGCACCACTTCTGTAATAAGACATCCCATAAGTGCGAGACATTCATATACGGCGGCTGTTATGGCAATCAAAATAATTTCCAAACTATTGATAAATGTCGTCAATATTGTGGAGGAGTTTGTGACGAATAATAATTATACTGAAAACACATATCCTTTAATTTTATCTAATTTCTAGTTATATTATATAAATTGTATTTTATTTAATGTAAAAATTTATTTTACTGTAAATGATTATTTGCAATAATTTGATTTGTATTTTAACATATAAGTTATACATTTTAATGAAATTACTTACTTGCTTATTTATAATGAGCACACATTGTACTAATAATTAAAACTAAAATATCATTTAAAATTATTTGTCAATTATGGCAATAAAAATAGATATATATTTACTTTTATGTCTGTATATCCAAAAAATATATACAAAGAGTATATACAGTATATTATGTGTTGTTAATGGAAAAACAGTTAAGTTGGATAAAACTCACAAATTTATTATATAACCTTTCCGTCAGTCAAAAACACTTTTTGTAATTATCTGATGAATTCTGTTTGTGGTGTTATAGTCTGTATATTACTACAGTATATGAGTCTCATTTTTATAAATAAATTTCGATAAAATACTAATAATCAGTTTTTTAAAAGTTTTGAATCTGATCACAAATTTGTTTTAAAAAAGATACTTTACTCATATTTAATAATAATAATAACTTATATAAGAGTTTAAAACTATTAATGACTTTGAATCGTTCAAAGATACTAATGTATTAACACTACTATTATATAGAGACTTGTATTAAATTGAGATATTTTATTAATTACACCAGGTAAATTTTAATTATCATATCTTATTAATATAAGTTTTTATTAAATTTATTAATTGCATACAAGTATATAATGATTCAAACAATCAGTTTTTACTTCACCATTAATACTGTAATAGAAATTATAGTCAACTTTTCCGGGTATTTCTGCGTTATGTGTAAAACACCGACCGATATATGTTTTGGCATTTGGATCACCTTTAGTGCCAACAATTAGAGCTCCTTCGGGTATCGGGTCCTCTCCATGTCGGGGAACCCATTGGACATTATTAGCTATTAATACTTCAAATGTTTGATCATTTTCAATGTAAACTTCTTTTCCTCCATAAGTCAAAACACATCCCAGATTTTTATCGGCTTTTCCAGCAATCATATCGTCTTTATATTTATAACGACACACATTAAGTGGTGTTTTGTCGACATCATAACCGGCGACATAAGCATCGGTAGGAATTGACGACTGTTTAGCATTTACCCAACGGTAAGTACATTCATCTAAATAAATAAATAAATTAATTAATTGTTAAAATACAGTAAATACACAAAAAAAACAAATTATGTATAATTAATACCTTCTTTATGATAATTATTATCAATTGTAAGAATAAAAGTACGGATCTGTTGTGGAGTCAATCGCACCGTTAGATTGTTAGTGTCATCGATGGCACTGTTATGTCGATTGTCATAATAAGTATGTTTTGAGTTCCAATTCATTCGTTTTGTTTGTGACAACAACTGATTCGCCGCTAAATTCATTTCATTTGCCGATAAAATATTGAATGATTTGAATATATTATCTAAACTCAAATCTATTGGTTTTGATAACAAATTATTGTCTGAAGACTCGTATATGTGTTCCAAACGAAGCAACACTTGATTTTGTGACCAATTTTCAAGACTTAATAAATGAATGTTTTCGGGAAGTGATTGACCCATTGGTGACCATTGGGTCTGATATTTGATTTTGTAGTCATTAATAGTCGAGTATGTATTGAATGTGATAATCGGTGGCAATAAAAGTTTCTCCGCTAAACTTCTTACTAATTGCGGTGACTTTTGAATAGTATTGAAAAACAAATAATGTTTTCCTCTGACTTCTAATCCTTTGCCATCGACTCCCGGCTCATCTATTTTAAAGCTTCCTCCGACCCCTATATATAAGAGTCTTCTGTGAACCATTAGTTCAACTGTTCCCTCAATCAATGAAGATCCTCCTTGTGTTCTATCATTTAGTACAGACATTTGTATACCTATTGATTACATAATAAATTATATGGTGTTTGTACTGTAAAAGTAAATAATTTATACCTTGATTATCATTTTTGATATATATTTTGTTATAAATAGGATAATAATTTCCAGAAATATAATTATTATTACAAAGAGTTGAGTTTAAATTTAACTCTCTTTTCATGGTTTGTCTGCCATTTGAATCCGTATAAAATAATCCGTTAGTTATTAAGTCGGACTCAAAACGTGTAATAATTTCTTTTCCTAAATTATCATTGACTGGTATTGAACCTACAGTCCAATCAAACTCAATGTAATCTCTGTCTTCATAAGTGCGAACAGTTTGGTGAATATAATCAGAAAACTGTTGATTGAGTTCATGTACGCCATTATCCGTATGTCTTGATATGAGACTCTGTTGTGGATAATCCCTGGCCATACCGTCCGGACAAAAATTATAACTACCTGAGTCTTCTTTTCCTGGCTGACCACCAATTGATTTATACCATTTGAATGATTGATTTAATTTATATATCTTTCCATTAATTGTTATGGACTTCAAAGCACCGGTAGTTTCATTAATTTGTAGTATAAATGATTTTCCTTTCATATCAATAGATCTTTGCTTTATATGACTTAGTTTTTCTTTACAATTAATATAAAATAGTAAATAATTTATTTAAGTTTACTAATAAATTGATTTTTTAAAACTCTTGATAAAATTATTAATTAAAATTAGAACTTACTTTTAGAAAAATTATTATTAACTTTTTCTATGAAATATGTATTAAATCCAAGTCCAGGTAATTGAGCCGAAAATACCAACTCATGTGTACTAAGACTACCCTTACGTTCGGGCAATTGTTTGACCGCTTCTGATACGGGAAGTAAAGCCACATTTGATACCTTTTTACCGTTAGATTCAAAGACATTATATTTTCCATCAGTGATGGGAACTCTTATTTTCTTTTCTATTGTTCTGGCGATTGGATTATAAGCGGTGACAGCGATCTTGTCATTAGTTTCAGTTAGTTTACAGTCCGTTATATTTAATACATCACAAAATACATCATTTGATGCATCTTTTGTATTATGTTTAACATAACTGTAAGCTTTTTCAATAATAGCTTTACCGGCGGTGTAACCGCTTTGCAATCGACTGGTATAGTCATCAGCCGTGGCCTGCGGTGAAGTACCGGTGATAGCGTCGTGATGTGTCATAATTGACTGTTGATTGTTTGCTTCATTTAAAAACACATTGAATTTATTAATATCTAATCTTGATAATACAGATAATTGTTTACTAGCCTATATTAAATTAAAATTAATAAATAGTTTGATATTATTAATTTAATTTACTAAATAATATTATAATAATGGTATACCTGTAACATATTATTATTGACTCTATTGTAATATTTGAGTGCCGGTCGATTTGTATAATATCCGGTCCAATAATTCAAGTAATCAACGGCTCCTCTTTCTTCAAATGTTTTATTCAAATCATTCATAGCTTTTATATAGCAATCGGGCGATGAATAGAATATATCGATAGAATCGGAATATTTTTTATTGATTTCCTCAATAAGTATATCCATATTTGTGAACCAACTTTTGGCCTCTAAGTATTGAAAGTCGTCTCCCATTGTCATCAATACTTGATTTGTATTTCCATAATCTTTACTCCACTGTCGAGATATGTCCATAAATTCTTTAACTTTTGCTTCTTTATTGGATTCATTGAAAGCATTTTCTTTTAATTCAAATTTGAAACCTTTAGGCGCCGAATAATGATTGTGAAGAACAGTAGAAAATATAGTTGTATTTAAATCGTCGGAAGACTTCCATATGAAGTCACCCTTTGGATGGACACCACGATTAATGACATGTCCATCAAAGCCCATCTGTGCATACAGTGATGCCATTTCACGTGTGGCCCCAAACGGGTCGATTTGCCACGAGACAGTCGGACTACCACACGAGCCAAACTCGGAGCGCAAAAATTTTAAACCTATTAAATAATTTTAAAAAAATTGTAACAATTAATAATTGAATACTCTTAATATATTGCTATAATATTTACCCAGTGTCAATTGGTTAATTATATCTTTATAATGAGCAGTTCCTTCATCATTGACAGTCCATCCTCCATTAGTGAAGACCAATTGTCCACTATTGACCAATCGTTTAACTTTTTCCTTCATATTAGTTGTCTGTTCAGACCACCACCGATGAAAAAAATATATCTCAACGTAAGTGAATCTCCGGTCGGCATTCAACTCAAGCTCAGTCACAACATTTGTAATTAATTTTCGCACAAATATGTCATAATAGAGATCAACCGTCAACTCCCAGCCCACGTCATCGTGAGTGTGGGGTATGAGATGTATATTTAGTTTGTCAGCTTTGGTCTTATGACATGAATTATAACCACATTTACACTCAATATTAACTACAAATACAACGACTAATACGAATATAAAATATTTTTTCATTTTCATTTGTTATAATAATTGTATATCAAATTTATAAATTTATTTTAACATATATTTAAAAAAGTTATAGTTGTATTACATATTTACAATACAGTACTGCATAATTTTCTATGTCATCTTAATATAATATAGTTATTTAAAAATATTATATCTAGTACATCTGTTAAAATTAATTTTTTATGTGATTAAAGTTATTATTTTGAGATAAATTATATATAAATTTATATAAACTATATATATTTATCTATATATTAAATACTTAAGACAAGAATAAATATTTTTATTATAATGAATGTGAAAACACATATGTCTTGTTTTATAATTACAATTAAAATGTTATTAAATAAATATTAATTTATTATTATTTTTAAATTTTGATTTAGATATTTTAATTAACATTGATTAAACAATAATAAAGTATATATTGTATAATGTAATAACTTAATAGTGAAATTAATTAAATACTTTATTATTGATATTTTTAATATTAATAATTACTGAAAATTACCAATGAACATAGATAAAATATTGTTAATATTATTGTATAAATAATACTGTAAATAAATAAAATTTATATTTTAAAATCTACAAAATTAAAAAAAATATTGCAATACTATTGTACAGTATTTTTACTAAAATAAAACAATGTATAATGTTTTAGCATATGGTCTAAAAACTGAATTATTGATAAAATAATATACCGATATTAACCACATAAAAACAATAGATTTGTTTTCAATAAACTTAAATAAAAATGTGTTATTTATTTTGTCAAAATTTTATAGATATAATCATTTAAAACTAAAATTTATTGTTTATTTTTATGTATCGCGATTATTTTATAATAATTAAAAATGAAAAAATTAATATTATTTATTTTTATTGGTATTAAATTATATTTAATTTTTGACCATGCAAATTGCCAACAAGTGCTTCTAACCCAATATAGTATATTTACGAAACCTCCCTGTACTGAAAGTGAGATTTTATGTTATAATCTAAATTAGTTTAGTTTAAGCATAAATATATATTTATCATTATTATATTCATATACATCATTATATACTTATAGGATGTGGTCTAATATTGTGTCCAAATGGCACTCGATGTTGTTGTCGTGAGCCCTGTCCGGCCACTTGTTCAGATCCAAAGCCAACCTGTTGTCACCCACCCTTTTGTGAGGTTGATTGTCGTGTTGTTTGTCCTATAGGTTGGGTTTTTGAGACACTTAATGGCAAATGCATACCATACCAATGTTGTCCGCGTATGTATATCTAAAATATCATATTATATGGTTATATTAAAACATTAATTAAAATATTGTATCATTTAATTTATATTACAATAGATGTAAGATATGAAGCTTTAAACAAATGTCAGAAACCAACTGCTGATGGCAAGTGTAATACAGGAGAGATATTTATGAATAATACTCAAACTTGTGGTACACTTTTTCCCGACATCTGTGACTGTCCTGATATCACTATAAGACCCGATAACACGTGTGTCGCAAATATCTGTCAGTGTCCACCGGGTTATTGGCGTCGACTCGGAGATTGCAAATGTGTCAAACAAAATGAATGTAACAATTGTCCAGTTTATGGCCATAAATAAACATCTATTTAACTATTTTATTTTAGTGTAGTATCAAGGCTAATTTTAGAAAATACAATTTCCTGTATCAGTATAACATTGTAATTTATTTAGACAAATATCAAACATATCTGTTAAAATTGGATCATTTTACAAATTAACCTGCTTTAATTTTATTAAAATTATATTTTTTACTCTGTTCAGTTTAGGAAATAAACAAGTTAATAATGTTTGAATAGCAATTTACATTAAAGACATTATAATAAATTTTTAATAATAAACTATTTTAATAAAAATTTATGTATTTAAGCATTTCCGATAATATTGTGTAATAAATATAATTTTATAAAATGTTTAATACTATCAATTATTATATATTATTGATAAATATATTTTTTATAAATAAATATTTTTGTGAAAACGATACGAGTGTTATTCAAAATGAAATTTTTTCTTTAAGTAAGTGTATAAATTGCAACCAAAATATGACCATGCACAATATAATTAATTATATTTTATTATATAAATATATATTTATGTTAATTAAATGATTTAGATTTAACACCAGTCACAGAGACAACAATGCAGAAAACTACATGTTTTCACTGCGAACAGGGATCTAATGTGACCCAACTGTTTGCTATGAGTTCACAAACATTGAACATATCGTGCAATTCTGTACATTTCGAGCATAAGGTATTGAAATACCACATAACATACCTGGACTATCCGGAAACATTAAAAACTAACAATGCACCATCATACTTAATCAATCTAAATGGTTATTATATATATATATATATATATACTGTATATATTTGTTTATTGTAAATATATATTGAATTTAATTGTATAACAATTTAAGGTAATTCAATATTTATGATGAGAGGTAAAGTACCGAGAGGTGTGTGTTCCGGATCCACATTTCAATTGCTTGAGTTCTATACGGCAACCGATCATAACGGGTGTTCGTCGACCAACGGTCTCGACAAGAAAGTGTCCATTTATTCCTCACTGGAAATCAATGGATCCCATTGTACGGCACAGTGTCACGGATCAACTACTGTCACTTATGAACCGCCCATTAAAAATATCCCCTAATTCTAACTAATTGTATTGATTTATTAATAACTTAATACTAATGTATGTATTTTCTAAATATAATTTTCTAGTTATATTAATTTATATATTAATATACATCATAAAAAACATATTAAAATATTATCATTTATATTGCATTCAAATATTCAATCATAACTTATCGATATATTTAAACAATGCCAATACATTTAAATAAATTGAATTACTTTTATTTTTTTGTATTTTTTATAATTAGACATATATTTAGTATAGACGTATATTTAGACATACTGTAGTTCAATAGTGTACATAATGTTTATTATATTATATATATATTCATATTATTTAGTTATTATTTAGTAAAAATATAATATAAATGATATAATACTGTGTAATACTGTATAATACAGTACTGTATGTTAATATTGATTTATCATTAACTATAGACACACTGTTATATTGACTATAAATTTACAGAACATTAAACATACGGACAATCATTAAAACAATCAATTAGTATATAATATGAGAACACCTGCGAACCGGTTGCGCATGCGTTGAGTCGACGTAAACATTCAATAAAATTAAACTAAATATATATTTATTTAATTAATTGATTTATCTATTGGTTTGTCGTTTAAAATGATTTATTCAAATAAATCAAATACAATGTAATTGTCATTCAATAATATTGTCGATTGTCATCACTGTATGTATTATATCTATTGATGACATTTGACATACATATCAATTCAATTGACTGACTCTTATGTTATGACAAACAATACATTGAATATCCTGTGAATCAAATCAATGATCAATGTTTGGTATGTATGGTATAAATGATATAAATATTACAATTTAATATTAATTAGTTTTTTGCAATAAATATAATATAATATTTTAATAATACTATAGTTAAAAATAGAGTATAAATGTTGGCATTAAATTGACATATAATTATTATTTTGATTATATTATTTGATCAAATATTATATAATATTTTAATAATAATAAAATATTGAGTTGTGTTTACATAAATTAATTAATATGAAGGTTAGGTTAATTGACAATACATTTACAATTTATAATACGATATAATATTTATATAATGATAAATTTATAAACTAACTTATATTAGATCAACAATTTATTTTTATTATGATTAATCATAATTATAAACATGATATACTTTATAATACATAGTAATGATTAATAAAATTGTTATCTATTAATAATGCAATGATTAATAAATTTTTAATCAAATTATATAACACTTTGTCAACAATTTTTACAAACATATTATTAATGTGTATTTTATTTTTTAATTACAGATATTCAAATGTAACGATAATTATTAAATAAGATTTGAATATTTTGGTAGAAATTTTGAGCTTTAATTTGAGATCAATTAATGATAAATAATATAATTTTAATTATTGTGGAAATGTCTGATTTATCATTGTTTGGTTGGCAGTGTGTGTATGTGTTATCCATGTATTTGGGAACTTTTGTGTCATATCTCATACCTATAGTATTGATAACTCGACAACAAAAACAAGAGCAAAGCACCGGTAACTCAAAACATAGCGGACTGTCCAACAATGTTAAGACACAGCGTATACTATCGATCTGTAACTGTTTGAGTGCCGGTATTTTTATCGGCATTTGTTTCTTGAATCTCATACCATATGTTGACGAAGAGTTTCAAATGCTTTTCAATGAAGCCAAATATCAGGTGATGTTCCCAATAGGTATGTTCACCACTATATTAGGCCTATTCCTTGTTCTCGTTCTCGAGACACTCGTGATGGGCTGTCGGTCTAACTCAAGTAATCCAGTATTACATTTGGATGAAGAAGAAGAATTAAGTGTATGTTATTGTATATAAATTATTAATTTTTTGGTTAATTTATTAAATTTCTTACATATGATTAGCACGATTTCCATAATGATGAACAAACACAGGAACTCCTATCAGCCACACATAACATCAGCGATAAGGAGTCCAACAATGAGTTTATTGTCAGCAATAACTGTAATAACGGAAGTACTGTCCAAAGTCATAGTCATAGCCATTATCATTCACACTCTCATAATTCATTTCACTCGCATTCACACGATTTCAATATTGAAAACACTTCCAAATCAAGTATTTCTTTCTTTATATTGATGTTTGCGACGAGTGTTCACTCAGTTTTTGAAGGTTTGCTAAAAATATTAATTATTTGAATAATTTTTTTTATTAATAAATCCTATTATTTATGTTAATTGATAGGTCTGGCACTTGGTCTTCAAAAAGATGCCACGAAAGCCATGCATTTATTTATCGGTATTTTAATACACGAGTGTTTGGTTGCATTTGCTTTGGGTCTCAACTCTGCGCGAAACGAGTGTTCAGTCAAGACTAATGTTAAGTTTTCGGTTGTTTTTTCATTGACAATACCTATTGGAATAGTGATGGGTGTCGTGTTGGGCATCACACCTGGTCTTGTAGGCCGATCCATATCAGCTCTGTTTCAGGGGTTGGCTGCCGGCACTTTCATTCACGTAACCTTTCATGAGTTAATACCATCCGAGTTTTTAATGGACACTTCGGATGGAAGTGATAATAGTAATCACAAACAAAAACTATTTAAGATATTTCTACTTTTTATGGGTTTTATGTTTATGGCACTCATGACTTTGTTTACCAGTGATTCACATTAGTAGACACTTATATGTTGTAAAATACTGGAATATGATTTAATTAATGGTTATTTGAAACTATTTTAATTATAAATAGAAAATATCGATAAACTATTTGAATTGCATTTCATTGTCTTTAATTTATTGTAATATATTTTGAATTATTGTATTTTTCACAGTTTAAATTAAAAGTATAGTTTATTTATTTATAAATTTTGAATTACATTGTAGATTATAACTTAGTTTTATTTATTTATTTAACCTTAATTTATTATTATGTTAAAATTTTCTTACTACGTTAATTAATTTACATTACATTATGAATTGTTATAAAGATAAAGATTACCGTAAAATCGTGTTTTACCCCATATGGAAATAAAAAAATATGAAAAAATAACATTTTCATATAATAAAAAACTCGCATTTTTTACCACCCCTGGTAAATTAAACGAGTCTGGGGAAAAGCAAAATTGGGGGAATATAGAACTGTATTGACCGATAATTAACAGTAATTTATTAAAACCGGTATATTTAGATATTACCCGTAATTAATTTATTAATTATAACAGTGTTTAACAATAAATGGCATTTGTATACATTTACAGTTTTTTACATATTATATTCAAAGGGGTTGGAACAACTAGAGACGTCCAAATACAAGGGGTGGGAAATCTTGAAAATATATAAAAACGGGGAAATTATTATTCAAAGTAAAAAACTATATTTTTCATATATTACAAAACTCGCATTATTCCAGTGACTTACATATTTTCATATGGGGAAAATATAAGATTTAACGGTAATAATAAAACTAATATTTTATATTATAATGTTCACATTTTATTACAATTACCATAAATTATTGATAAATGTTATTATTAAGGCACTATTTTTCTAAAATAATTAACATTTATTATATTTTATATGTTTAACAAATATATTTTAATTATATTTTATGATTTTAGTTAAAAAATGTTTTAAATATATTATAAATTTGAAATTGTAAAATATTAAAATGAATTTTATTACATAATATTTGCAATTTTCCTGTAAGCTTTTATCATCAACTTATCAGTAAATATTTTTTTAATATTTTCAAAATCTAATATATTATTTTGTGAATCGTCTCATTTATATTATATTATATTAGTTTGTTGAAAATTTAGGTCATTTTAATTTTAATATTATAATTATTTTGTATATTTACTAAAGATACTGTATTTGATTACAAATTGATAATTTATGTTCAACCGTAAAGTCTTGTTAATAAAAAAAATTATTAAATTATTTTGTATTTGGATATGATTTAAATAAACAATTTTTTTAAAATTGTATAAAATTGATTAAAATTTAATTCATAAATACTAAAGTTTAAAAATATAAGTTTATTACCAAATTTTAAAGGTGAAATAAGTAATATTAATTCAAGTTATAGTAATTTAACTAAAAAATTGTATGCATGACACAGATGATTTTGGAAAAATACAATTTTGCAATATTATATCAGATATAAAATTATAGAAACATAAAACTACTTTGAATTATTTTATTTATCATTTATTCATCACTATTTTATACAGTATCTTAAAACAATTTGTTAAAATTGTTATCACAAAATACGCTATGATTTAATTTTAAAAATTAATTAAAATTTACGAAACATTTAAATTTGATTTTTTTTATATTTTTTATTAATTAAAATAAAACTATAAAAGAAAGTGATCTCAATGTTAGCCAAATTTTTAATTTTATTTTTAATTTTCTAGTAATATTTTTTGTATGGATATAATAGCATATAAATAATTAATCTTTAAAAATTTTCAAATCAATTTGCATGTATTTACAATAGTATTAATATCAAAATACTTTGTGTTCAAAATGATTAAGGTATATAGATTTTTAATAACTTTTTTTATTTCTTAAATAATATATCATTTTGATTGATTACATATTAAAAGTGTAATTTATAATAAAAATCACAAAATTATATAATATTTAAATAATTATACATTAATTGAATGAAGTTTTTTAATATTGTTTTATTTTAGGCAATCGTAATATTATTATTTGTATGTCAGTGTCGTTCTCAACAATCCATTCATAACTTATTCAAACCAATATCTCCATTGCCATCACTGAAACCTTTATCATTGTCTGTACCACAACCAGCAGCTATTGTTAAAGAAGTGGTTGAACCAGAGGCACATGTGGTGTATTCACAAGAAATACTTCCCGTTCAGAATGGAGAACCACAACAGATTGGTCTTCAAGCTCGAGCTGGTCCTCAAGTAATTCAATTGAAAGCAGACGATGTTCCCATTGTAGTCCACTTCCAGACTTCATCAGCACCTGTTCAGGTCCAACAATCACACCTTCCATCTCAACCTGAAGAAGTGACTATCACTCGTTCAGAGGAACAGCCACACCGTGTCATACATGAAGTGATCCGACCGGTCATTCAAGAGGTACGTGAAATCATTCAACCATACCGTCGCGTTACTCAAGAAGTGCGACCGGTTGAAGAAGCTGTACATACAAATGTTGCCGCAGGCGCTGCACCCGCATCTGCAGTAGAAGCAGATCCAGTATCGTCTGCTGTATCCATTCCTAATCCTTTACAAAACTTACAACCTTTGGCACCGGCATCTGTAACAGCACTGACTGACTCTTATATTCAACAGTTTATTGAAAAACTCAGAGCCAGAACTCAACTTCCAGTCGGGACGGCCGACGCACCGGCAGTTAATATTGCTCCTGTTGTTAACCAACCTATTGTCCAGACACTGACACATAAACCAATTCAATCGACATTGAATTTAAACAGAGGTGCCGTACAATTTAGCAGAAAATATCATAAGTAATAATTTCTATAACTTGTAATGTATTTTATTAAATACATTTTTATATACATTACCAGTAATTATAAGTTTAAGATTTATATAAATTTGATTTTATTCAAAGTTTATGTTACTATAAAATTAATAAATAATATTATTATAATAAATAAAGGAATGACAAAACAAATTATTATTTTATAAAATTTGATTTTTCTTTAGTAATACTCTAAATAAACGCTGCGATGAAATGAATATAATGAATGGCTTATCGAGTATTAAATTCTGAAAAAATTCATTCAAAAAAATAGATAAATTGATGAATTGTTGCAATAGTTTCAGTCAACCTTTCATTTACGATTAATATTGTAATGTTAAAGTATGACAACAATTAGTCAACTTAACTATATTTTTGAATGAATTTTATCAAAGTCTAATATATATCTATAGATTATAGTATATAATTTATATATATTTTTTGTCACAATGAAAATATATTAGTGATATAATATCACAAATTAATAAAATAATATTTGCTATATAAAAGTAAAATGATTCATAAAAAATAGATTATAAAATAATTATTTAAATATAATATAATTTTTTTTAATTTAAAACCCATAAAATTATTGATATTATTATTTTCACAATTCTTGAAAATTATTTTGTTATAATTAATTGCATTGTTTTAGTATTTTTCAATTCATTAATTAAGATTTGTTTAAATGTTTCTTAAATATACAGTATTATTATATATTTTAATTATTAAATATTATTAAATAATTTATGTAAACTGTAATAATATGTTAGTTTATAAAAGCATATCCAACACAATTGTCACATTCAGATTTGAAAACACATTTACAATCAGCTAATCGACGCCAATATCCCGGTGCGCACTGACACACGTCTCTGATACATGCTTTTGATGTATTGGAAACTGTGGGACAGCCGCACACATCAGGAGTTAATGTACCGCACTTTACGTTTGTATCTATTGGTCCGCCACGACATTTACCATTAAGTTGTGTTTGACAATTGACCAGGGCTAGATTTTTTACACCTATATTCATTATAATTCACATATAAAGTGCATTAAATACAATATTTATAATATATCGATGAAAAATAAATAAATTTTAATTAATGGCTTAATAACATATTGTAGCGCAAAATTGTTATATAAATATAATTTATAATAATTTAGTATATTTTTGTATTAACTATACTTACTGGGACAGCACTGCAATGGTATACAATTGCCTCCGTATTTGTCTAATACCGAGCCTTTAGGACAAACTTTGAAACAACCGATTTCACAATTTAATGACAAACAACACGATGGTATTGGATCAGCACATGTGGCCGGACAGGGATTACGACAACAACATTGCGTACCATTTGTACACTTGAATAAACCACAGGCTATTTCAAAGATTATCAATTGATTATATTAATAATTTTAAATTATGCAAACAACTAACCAGCAGTACATCCATTTTGAATATCAATTTGTGGGGTTACCTGTAATTGTATTAAATTTAATATATTTGCTATAATTAAAATAATTATTAAATGTTTTAACATTGTCATTTTTATATTCTGTTCTAAAATAAATAAATTTGTTTTTAGTATATAATTTATAATTAATAAAAATTTAGTAGTTTTTATGATAAAATGTATTGTTTTAAAACATATTTATCAAAATATGTTTTATTTTTTAATATCCTAATTGTATTTACTATTTTCATATACTAATATATCAAACACATGTACATGTACTGTAGTTAATGCAATATCAATAATTGTTTAAATTAAAATTATATAATCTAAATGATTTTGTTTAAATTATTTAATATAGTTAATACAAATAACTTCATAAAAATCTATGCATTTAATATAATTTTTATGGATAATTTAATATAAAAAAGATTTATTAAAAATTTTTAATGATAACTTTTCAATAAATTATCAAGATAAGATCAAATTATTAAAATAAATTAGTTAGAATTATATGAATTATTCTAATTTACGAATTTGGCAAATATTTTCTTAAAATTAATTATTATTATAAAATTATGATATAATTTATATTTAATATATTAGATATATAATATCACTGAGCATTTGCGGCTTCTCTATCAATTAAAATTATTAACATTAAAAATTATTTATTTTTTTTAAATTAGATATTACAAACTATTAAATTTATAAAAATAGTACTTATTATTGATATGTAAATTCTAATACTAAATATTATAGTAAAGTATAATTTTTATGACATCAATATTATAAATATTTAAAAAAAATTCATTATAAATAAAACTTAAACAATTAGATTATAATTAAAATGTTATAAAATCTATAAATAATTATAAAATATTATAGATTTGTATTAAAAATTTATTGTTGATTTCAATATCTATGTTACTTTATTTATATGTGTACATTGTACAGGTATTTAAACTATTTTAAATAATTATATCTTGTTTTTAGCAAACTAAAATTTTATTTCAATAAATAATTATCCAGTAATAATTTTTTACGATTAAAATACATTGTGATTAAGTACAGTATGTTACCTTGAGTATAGTATTTTATGACTTAATGTTTGCATTATATGATTTTGTTTTTATATTAATTTAGTTTATTTTAAAATTATATAAAAAATTGAGATGAAAAGAGATATTAGTGAAAATAACATAATAATTAAGGCCATCAATTATAAGTATGACATTTTTTATGATATTTTTAGTTAAATCATTTTTATATTTATAAAATACAAGTATTATATTTAGTAATAGTATAAAAATAATATAATATTACAATTTTTACAATTTAATTATAGCAATAAAAATTCTAAACATATCTTTATCTTATATAAACTGATTATTTATATTAAAAATATTATTAGTTATAGACTTATAGAATCTTAAGAATAAAGATTATAATTTTCAGTAACATTAAGTATAACTTATAGCCTATATATAAGTTATAGCCTATAACTTATAAGTAAATAAAATTAATAAAATAGATAATTTTTCATTGAAATACTATGCAATTACATTAAAATTGATTGCCATTTTGAACATGAAAATTGTACAGTACAAATTAAATTTCAATGTCACAAATAAATTATTGACAATAGCTTAAAGGTAATTAAGTAAATCATTAAATATAGTATTATAAATATATAAATATTATTAACAGATTTATTTATTCTGACTTTTTTCAAACTGTTTTTATGTTTACAATTTGTAAATTTCAAACACAAAAATATAATTTATATGTAATTATATACAGTTTAAATAAATCAAATATTTAATATGAACAATTATTATATATATTTTTTGATCTTATTTAATTTATTTATTAAACTTTTATCAAGTAAGTATAATTGTTTATTTATTAAATTTTGTATTATATTATAATTGATATTAAAATTGATATACAATGTATAGAGCAAACAACTGTACCTTTATTAAAATTAATTGACGGCCGGAGTATCCCAATGATAGGATTGGGAACATTCACGATAACCGATGAAAAATTAATTAAAAGTGTTATTAAAGATGGACTAGAAATTGGTTACAATCATATCGATACTTCATATTTTTATATGAATGAACAATATATTGGCCAACAATTGCGCCAAATATTTTCGCGACCTAACAGTCCTATTAAGAGACGGCATATATTTGTTACTAGTAAACTGTGGAATACATATCATAGCCGTAAAAAAGTGACGGAAGGCCTCATGTTATCATTGAAACGATTAAATATAAAATATTTGGATTTATTTTTAATACATTTTCCCTTTGGATTTGAAGAAGGGGGTGAAGACCTACCCCTCACACCTGAAAACACTTCACGTGACTCTAATATATCAGTAGTGGAAACCTGGAAGGGTATGGAAGATGTCTATAGAAAAGGATTAGTTAAGAGCATTGGTGTCTCTAATTTCAATGTGGATCAGTTGTGTCGACTCATCACTCAGTGTCAGATCAAACCTGTCGTAAATCAGGTACTGTATGATCAATGCTTTAATTTATTTTAAATATTATAAATCATACTAATATTGCCACACATTTTACTATTACTATTTTAAATGATATATAGTTTTGGCTTTAATTATACAAATATAAAACTACTATATTTTTAAGTAACAAAATTATAAAAATATTTTTAAAATTTAATTTGAAAAATTATCTTATTTTATACTTTAAAGCTCTAACATTATAAACATTATATTTTACTAAAATACAGTAAATAATATTTATGAAAGAATTTATATAAGTTTACTACAAAATGTTTTTAGTATAATATTTAGATAATTTTTGACATTTACAGTGTGTAAACAATTTTTTAATCAATAATTTATTTGTTTATAATTAAAGAGTATTTTACACATAAATACATACATTAATACTAAATTTTGTAATATTTATATTGTATTATCAATAGATTGAAATAAATCCTTATTTAACTGAAGAAGATTTGGTATCATTTTGTCAAAGTCGTGGCATTCAAGTGGTAGCGTATAGTCCGCTGTCAAAGGCTAACCAAACACTGCTAAACGAACCGATTTTAGTAAATATATCCAATAAATACAATAAAACAGTGGCTCAGGTAATCATGAGATGGCTTTTACAAAGAGATATAGTTGTCGTCCCGGGAACTACTAAAAGGTCACGACTGGTTGAAAACTTTAATATACTTGACTTCAAACTCACTAAAAATGAAATGAAATCTATTTCAGGACTTAATAAAAATTGGCGAAAAACTGATTTCAATATCGCGAGGTTTAATAGTGAATATCCTTATAATAATATGGGATTTTTATCATAACAATCTGATATTAATAATATTAATGTATTGTTCTTACAAATAATAATTAAATATAAGTATTAGTATTTTAATTATTTATTAAAGTAAAAAATTTATTTATTTAATTATATTAAACTATGATATAATATATATATACTGTATATTAGAATGATGAATAAAATTTTACAAAACTGATTATTATTAAATAATTATAATTAATTTATACATAGGTATCACATTTTGTATAATTGTGTACTATATAGTATAATAAATGTATAGTATTATGTCACATTAATATAGTATTACAATAGCTATAGTTTATAGATATGGGGATCCAATAGTATAATAATACAGTTAAATTTATATAGAAATTTATTCCTGAAAAATTTTCTAGAAACTTTCTCACAGAAATTTATTAGAAACTTGCTATTTGCCCATTTGATTTAAACATCTTAAATATATATTAGGCGTTATTCACATATTACGTTCGCACTTGAGGGGAGGGGGGTTAGCAAAAGCGAACTTTTGCGAACGAGGGGGAGGGGAGGGGTAGAGACTTTAAGAACGTTCGCGTTTAGATAATATCTTATTTCTTGTGATGGGGGGGGGGTAGCGGTTAGGGATAAGCGAACGTAATTTTTTTAAATGACTACATGCGAACAATTGCGAACATAGGGGAGGGAGGGGGTCTAGATTTCTTAAAAAGTGCAAACGTAATATGTGAACCACGCCTTATTGAATATATAATCTAATAAAATAACAACTTATTAATGCAATATAGTGTCAATAAATATGATTTAAGTAAAAAAATTAGTTTAACAAATAATTTTAATATAAATAGTTTGTTCATTTAATGTGTAAAATTTAATGACTCATTATGTTAAATGCAAAATAACATAATTATAATTTTTGTAAAAATATTTATTTTTATAATCATGTGAATAAAAATTTGTTTAACATTTTTCTTTGAGTTTTTTAAGAATGTTTATTAAAATTAAAAAATTTACTTGAAAAATTATTATCTTTATAATATCAGCTTATAAAATTTTTTATTATTTTTATAAAAATTGTTTTTACAATATATAAATATAGTGTTATAATTGTAATGTTTAAATTAATATTTTAATCATGATATTACTAAATGCATTATAAAGTGATAAATGCATAATGTAATAATAATTATATAATTTATACATCAATATACTATTCTGTATATTATAGATTTAATTTTTCCATCTATAAATACAAATTATTTATACTAGTATACAGTATATATATATATATAAAGTAAAAAAGTACTTACAGTACAATATATAAATAATATATAAATTAGATTTAATGATTAACATAAATAACATTTTATAATTGGTTTTGATGTTAATTCATGATTTTCCTATTATTTTTTTGTATTCCATTATTTCCGGGAATGCAAATCAAACATTAAAAACATATAAATCTCTTATAAATAAAAACTATAAAATTATTTTTTAATTGTATTGCATATAAATAAATGTTATACAAATGTCAAGCATTTTATTTTTACTTCTATGTTTTACAACAAAAAATTAGTTCACTATTTAAATGCATTTATTATAAATACGAATCGTGTCTAACATTAGTGAAAACTAAGTAAACTTTTATTGAAGATTTTTATTGCTTTTTAATATTTATTAAAAAACCATATAATTATTATGCATTAAACATAAATTATAAATGAGATCAAAATATACTGAATATCTTTAATTAAGTCACAAATATACAATTAGAAACAAATATATACAAACTGTTTATAGCATTTTATAACATTTAGTAAACTCATTGATTACTATATAAATTTTAAAATATAAACAGCTATTTTTAATTCATTCAATAGATTATATACAATATATTGTAGAAACGTGTCTAAAATATTTAGATAGATATTATTAAGTAATAAATATTGAATTATAATAACGTAAATATTATACTATGTTGTTAAGGGAATTGCCTGAACTTACTTTAATAAATCATAATACTAACAAAACTAATTTAGTATATTTTTATTACGTTATATTGTTGATTAAAAAATTAATAATTGATAATTTAGTTTAATCAATGTTTGTGCTACTAAATAATTACATATTATTCCTATTATAAATTCGTTATAACATTTATTTATTTAAATCATTATATCATATTTTATTTAAATGTTTTGGTTATTAAATAAAATAATTAATATAAGTTATAAAATACTATATAGTATAATCTAGTCTATATTTATATTTGTGACTAACTATATAATCTTACAATTAAATATTAAATTTATTTTAAAAATTATATATATATATATATATACCAAATTGATGTGAACTATAAATTAAAATTAATAGTTTTGAATAAAAGTTAGTGTTTTTTATTACAAGTTTTTTATTCAAGATTTCAATTTAAAAACTGTTTCAACATTAAGTTGTATCTTAAATATACATTTAAATGTATATAAAAAACAAATTATTATTCAATAGCCAACATTAATCTAAATAACTTTCAACATGTATTATATGAAATTATTTTGTTGTTGTTATTGTTGTTTAACATTAAGTTAAAAAAGTTTGTTGAGTTATGAAGTTGTCTATGTCCTGGAATTTTATTTACAATTTTTGTGAATAATTATTACAAACACTTATATTGTCTGACAATTTCATAATTTTCAAAAATATTTTTAAACATTAATATGCAATTCATATTATCATATATCATAAAATACTATGTTTTATGTTGCAAACAATTGGATTATTTTAATTTATTTTAATATAATAATTTGTTAAATATGCTTTAATATATGAAATATTATTTTAAAATAGTAGTATTAATTTAATCACATTTATTACTATTATGTATTACAAAGTAAGTAAATTACTTTAAATATATATTTTTTGTATTTGTATAAAATGTTTCGGTATTTGTTATATTTGAATAAATTAATAGATGTAAGATATAAGTGATGACCACATTAGTAAATGAAACCAAAAGATTAATTATAGGTATGAAATAGCTATTATTAACTAATTAGCAATTATTAATGTGGTCATAACTTTAATTTTAACTAATTTTTAAATATAATTTTCAAATATAAAAATTCTATAACAAACTCAGTTTAAATTTTGATTTTTTTCAAAATTATTGAAATTAATTTAATAGATGTGGTGGAAATTAATTTGTGTACTTATATACTGTGGAAATATATCTGCTATTTATTACAACAGCCGTATAATCCCAGCCGCTGTCAACACAAAACATACGGTTCAATACTCAGACTATAATCTACCCGTGCCTTACACAACACGTCGGCCACACCTAATACAAGTGGACAGCACTCAAACATCTTTTCTCATACAATTCAAGTCGATATCCAGTAATCTAACTGTCACTCAACGACATGAGTCTGCAAAAGCTATGAATATTTTACGGTCTAATAGTATGGACGCACCACATATTGTCAGTCACATCGTATCCAAACCTATTATACAAGAGATTAGAGAAGTCATAACTCCTTACAGACATGTCTTCCAAGAGGTGAGACCTGTTGTACAAGAAATACAAACAATAGTCAATAGAAAAGAAGCCGATCGTCCACTTTGGCCAACCATTCAAAACTATAGGAAACCGTTGTTTTCAAAACATATCGATTATAATATTAGTAATGTTTTAAATGAAACACAAGAGGAGTGGATGATAGACAAGAGCTTATATAGCGGTACATCCGCTCATGATTTCAAATATAAGTCACCAAACATTCAATTTCTACTAAACAAACAACATTTTATTGATAATGAAAATCTTTCAAATTATTTTTTCTATACTCTATTAAAAAAATATAAAGATTAATGTTTTGCTGTTTTATATTTTATAATTATCATATTTGTTATTAAATTATCATTTAATTATAATAATAATATATTTTGTATATTTAAGCATGCTAATAAAATAAAATTGAATAAGTTAATATTACTCTAAGTGTTCAGATCGAATTTATGAATATACGACCCCTAATTATAATGCAACAAAAATATTACATTTTATATTTTAATTTTATAATAATTATAATAGTTTAAAATAATTAATTATATTAATCAGTTATAACATATAATTATTAAAAATTTTATTAAGAGTATTAAATATAAATTGTACTATTGGTACTGTAGATAATATGTTAAACTTTTTGAAATTAATAAAATTGATATTCATTAAAGTAACACGTTTTATAATTTGACATAAAATTGTAATAATTGCTTATAAAATATCATTTAGCCCTAAAAGTATCAAAAATCAATTTTCTGAGCAGATTTTAGTAACAAATATACAAATAACTATTAAATTGTTTTTATATACAATGAGTGTATAAGTGAGTCCTAAACCAAATGATTGATTTAATGAATTCACAAATAGAGCTATTATTGAAGTTTTTGAATGTTTGAAATTAACATTACATTGAAACCCCCTATCGTTTTCTACCACGACTTTACATATAGTCCCAGTCGTAGAGTATATGTGAGATATAGACTCATACCAAATGTTGATTTTTAGATTTCAAAAATTTGTGATGAGGTATATAAGGAAATATATTGAAAAAATTTTAATAATACTTACTTTTTTATATTGAAATATTTTTAAAAAATATAATTTAAAACAAAATATTTAATATAATAAGCTAAACTATTTCTTAATATTAATGTTTTTAAATTTAACATATATTAATATTTTACAAATGTTTTCACGAACTCCTGAAAGGAGTACATATCTGCATTCTATATGTCTGTCTGTCTGTCTGTCCCACATTTTTTGTCCCACATTTTTTGTCCCACATTTTTCGAATGTTTAAATTTTGATTTCAGATTTTGATAAAGCATCAAAAATAAGCTATATGGATCAGTATTAAAATTTTGATATTTTGTCATGAACATAGAAAAAATGAATGGCGTCCAAAATTTAAAAAAAAATATTTTCTTAAATAAAGTTTAGATTTTTTTAAATCATCAAAAGTGAATTATATGGGATATGCATTTAAATTTTTATCTATTCAAGAACTTTGAGAAAATTGTAACTGAATTTTTATTTTTTATATTTATTAATTTAAATAGTTTAAGCAGGAAAATGAATTGAATTTTTTATATATGTTAAAAAATAGCGGATTTTTATTTTAAATATTACACTTAAATAACTGAAACAAAGTAACAGAATTAAAGTTGTTCTATAATTATGAATCGTTTGATACCCTAAATGACTAATTTTGAGTTTATTTTGTCAACTGAATCATTTGAAACTATAAGTAAATTGTAATTTAATATTTAATTTGGATAAGGAGTTCGTATGGAAATGCTTTCTAGAATAATATATTAATATTGCACATATTTTTTTTTTAAATTTAAAAACTTTTTCAAATTAATAAAATTGATATTCATTAAAGTAACACGTTTTATAAATTGACATAAAATTGTAATAATTCTTATAATTGCTTATAAAATATCATTTATAAAGAGTTTAAATAATTAATTATAATAAATCTTTAACACAAATTATTTATACAATGTATCAAAATAGTTAAAATGTTGTATTTGTTAAAAGTAGAGTTAAAAAAATGTTTACCTCTTTTTATTTTTTTTAAAATTTCATATTTTCTTTCATGAAATTTCTCTTTTGTTGATATCATCATTTAACTAACCAATACATATCATCATAATGTTTTAAACACATGTTAAATGTTAATTGCATATTAATTGAATAATATTATTGAATTTATCTTAATTTTGAAAACATTTTAATGTATTGAGTATTTTTTATTGTGATTTTATAAAACATATTTTTCACTCTTATGGGAGGGAAAATAAAATAATTTCTTTATTTTTTGGACAATAATTGTCTTTATTATTAAATTATTTTAAAAGATTTTATTTGGGAACTTTCCTTTTTTTGAAAAGTTGCTCAAACACTAGCTATAACTTATAACCTATAAGTATAAACTTCTTATACATATATAATAATTTTTTTTACTTAAAGTATTTTGAAAGCGATTGTTTTTATCTGATTTTATCACAACAAGTACTGTATTTACAAAATTATTATAATTACATTAATTTTATATCATTATTAAAATAATTAATCTCTTTTGTAGTCATTATACAGTATTGACTTAATATTAGTTATATAATATAAATATACTGGTATTACAGTAATTGTGCAATTTATTTTTTAAATTTTTAATTATATATTTTTATTTTTAATGTTTATAATTAGTGTAAAAATATGTTAATCAAATTGTTTTTAAATACTGTAAATATTATCACTAAGATAATATTAAAATATTTGAATACAATAAAATCTAATATAGAATTAAACAAATTAATACATATAAAGGAAACAAAATTAATTAAATAATTACAATATATTTATTTTTTATTTTAATTTTATATTTTAATAGAACTTTTTTTTTATAAAATTTTACAATTAATAATTAATATTTATTGATACAAATAACACAAACAGATAAAATACTCTTACTATTATTTATATGTATAATATACTCAATTCACTTAAAGCAAATTTAATAAACATAAATTAATAAATAAAAAGTTTAATAAAAATTAAATTAAAAGAAGATTACTTATTAAATTATGATATATTCAATATAATTTAACATAAGTTTCAATTATATAATACATATTTATATATAGATATAAAAAATTATATAATAAAATCAAAAAATAAAACTCTTTATATAATATTTTAAATAATTTAATAAAAACTCATTTTGTGTAATTTGAAAGTAACTAAACTAACTCATTAAAAAAATTATAACACAAATCGCCTCAATCAGATCAAAATTTGTCTCATTTCTTATATATTTTCGGCAATAAATTGAACAAATATTTAAAAAGTTTTTATCTCAAAAACAAATTTCTATTAAAAATTGGTTTTAATTGAATGCTATTTCTTGTATTAATAATTATTAAACTATTTTTTCAATTTTCAAGTACTCACATCATTAGTGATGATTTTAAAAATTATTTTTAATTATTTAATATTCTTCTAATTATCGTATTATTAATAAGTAATTATATTTTTATAATTAATTCGCAAATGTTTTAATTTGTTTGATTTTATTTGATTTTAATTTGTTAAATAAATCATATTGCAATTGACAACAATGATTATTATCATAAATTATTTCGTTTGTTGTTAAGAAAAATGAGTAGATATAATATAATTAAAAACATTTCTCATGTATACAGTTTCATACATTATATGATACACACTTAAATATTTAATTAATAATTATAGATTTATAATATTATTTTAAAAACTTGACATTCAAATTTGTTTAAATTTATTAATATTTTAAATAAAAATACAATCAATTAAATTTTAATTTGTTATTTAAAATATTTAAAAAAATAAACTGTAAAAACTTTTATTTATTTTATTAAAACTAATCAATTACAAATAGTGAAACCGCAAAAATCAAGTTTCATATAAACTTTTTTTAAAATTGAGAGCAATGATTTTAATTAATCCGATTTTTATTATTAACATTTTAGATAATATAAGATTTTTATATTGATATCATGTTTATATCGTCTCTATTTGGAAAAATGAGTTTAGTTTGAAAAGTATGTCTCTTTGAAAACCATTAAATTTAATAAACTTAATATTTTTTATTTCTATTAGATATATACTATAAAATACTATAATTAGTTTCAATCTATTAAATGTCAAGTAAAATGAGTTAAATAATCAAATATGTAATAACAGGTAAAATAGATTAAAATCTATAACTGAATTGTTTAAAATTGAATTACTATAAGTCCATAATCTGATAAAAACAAATTGTAATTATTTCTCAATCAATTTTTTACGTTACCATTCAAATAAAAAATAAACAGTAGTCATTGATAAACGTGACACTCCCATTATAAAAATTTATAAAAATTTAAGTAGTTGTCAGGAGTTTTGTTTATTTTTTAACTTTAACTACTATTATTAAAATATTATTATGTGATCAACTAATTTATCATTTTATTGTTTTTATATACAGTATTTGCGCATTATTATGTTACAATGTTATAATACATATTACTGTACAATATTAATTATTTTTATGTTACAATTATTATATAATAATTTTATTTATACTCTGACATAAAAATTTACAAATTATCTATTCTATTAAAACTTTAATAAACAATAAAAAATAAAAACTTATAATATTTTATTTATTTTATACTTTATTGTTCTAAATTGAATATTAAAATATTTTGATAGACTAGACATACACCTTAATATTGAATTGTATGAAATTTTTAAAATTTGAATAATACATAACTTTCTTTTTCTTTAATAAAATAAATTCAAATATGAAATCCATAGTTAAAGTTAATTGCCTTAAACAAGGTTTTTAAACTACAATTTTGAACACAAGGATTCTCGTTAAACGTATGAAATTGCACTCAAAGTTATCCGTTTGTTAATAAATTTATGCGATTTGTGTTATAATTTTTTTAATGAGTTAGTTTAGTTACTTTCAAATTACACAAAACACACAACTAATTATTTAGATAAATAAGTTTAATATTTTAAATCCAAATATTTTGTTTACTATCAAATAGTATTTTATTTCTCATTTATTTTAATAATGACTATTAATGTAAACATTTATTTATTTATTTGGTTTATAATTCTATTGTTAAATGTTGGTAAGTATTATTAATAATGTTATTAATATTAATATCCGATAAATAATTATCAATATTTTAGTTTGCTAAAAAAAATTATAAAAATAGTTTTAATTAAATTTTATATTAGTTACTGTTTGTTTATAATTATAAAATATTTTTATAATAAAAATTTGATAAAATAATTAATATTGAAATAATTATTAAACTATAACTAACTATTTATAATTAATTAATTTTATTTATAAATTCAAAGATAGCCAAGAATATTGGCCAGACATACCTCCCGAACCAGTATATCATGAGCCTGTGTGGCACATACCTCCACCCCTTACTATTTTTAAAGGTAAATAACATTTATTTATTTATATAAATTATATTGATTTCATAAATACTAATTTGTAAAATAAATGATATTTGTTGTTAATTATTACAAAAATATTATTAAAATAATTTTATAGAGTTAAGAGTACCGTATTTACGGTTAAATGATAGTCGATTGATGCCAATGATAGGATTGGGTACACACGGTATCAGTGATAAACATGCCGTTTATAATGTGATAGAGAATGGGATGGCCAGCGGATACCGACACATAGATACGGCTCATCTCTACAAAAATGAAGAGTTTGTCGGAGAAAAATTGAGAGAAATATTTAAACGAAAAGATAAGTTTCGTTTGAAAAGAAGTGATGTATTTGTGACAACAAAACTGTGGAATACCCGTCACAGTCGGTTCCAAGTTATTGAAGGTCTTATCGAAAGTAACCGAAAACTAAACATCGATTATATTGACTTATTTCTCGTGCACTTCCCGATGGGTTGGCAGGAGGGCGGGAAAGATATACCACTCGATGCAAATGGATTGACCATTGATACAAACATATCGGTAGTGGACACGTGGAAAGGCATGGAAGACGCTCTTAGAATGGGAATGGTTAGGAGTATTGGTGTTTCAAACTTCAATGTCGATCAATTGACTCGACTGGAAGTGTTCGCTAAAGTCAGACCTGTAGTCAATTTGGTATTAAATAAATTAATTTCTTATAAAAATATACTGGTATTTGACTCATTTATTAAATATATTATTTATTAAGCTTGAGATCAACCCATACCTTACTGAGGACTGTTTGGTGCGTTTCTGTCAAAAAAGTGGTATACAAGTGGCCGCTTATAGTCCATTGTCGCGGGGAAACCAAACCTTACTTCACGAGCCAGTGCTTATCAAAATGGCTCTCAAACACCACAAGACTGTCCCACAGATAATATTCCGATGGCTAATACAAAGAGGAATTGCTGTCATATCCACCACTATTGATAGTCATCGTATGCATGAATACATGGATATCTTTGATTTTAAATTAAGTGAAAGTGAAATGAAAAAAATTAGTCGACTTAATAAAAATTGGCGCAAAACTGATGTCCAATATTCAAGATTTAATGCCGAATATCCTTTCAGAAAGATGTGTTACGACTAATGACCTATAATTTGGTGTATACTGTACTGTCATTTACTCAAAACTTTCAATTATTACTTACATTATATTATTGCTCAATATTTAATGTAAAAAGTTATGTTAAATAATTAAATTCAGTTTTGATTTCAACTTTGATAAACTATTATTTGTATTATAATTATTAAAAAAAATATTTTGAAATGTTTTAGAGTTAAGAGTAACTAATTTTATAAATAATTATACAAAATATAAAAAGGATTGTATTATAATATTTAATAAATTATAATACAATACTAAGCGTATCTTCAAAATTGTTAAATCCTATGATTAGTGAAATGTGGGGATCAGTATCGATATAAATCATATGTTTGATGTATTTGTCAATTTTGAAGACATACTTCATATTCAATGGACTGTTTGCATGTCATGACTCATAAGCCCAGAGTCCTATTCGACTCTCAATTAACTACAAATTCAGTCACTTTACTAAACTTTTACTGAAAAATATATTTTATTTCTTTAATTTAAAACAATTTAGTATTAAGAAAATTCTTTTGTTGTTTTATTAATAAAAAAATAATAATAAATTATATTTTAAATAAATACTATTATTTATTATCTATGTTTTAAAACTATACGACTAGTGGGTTAACAAACGGCAGTTGAATAGTTAATAATTAAGTTCTTCAAAAATAAAATATCTGTATTTTTATTTATCAAATATAATTATTTGATTATTTTTTAATCTAATCATTATATTACACTCATTACTAATAAATAAATAATTTTTAAATGAAATTTAGTTTGTCTTAAATTTAATAAAGATTTATTAACTTAAATCATTGATAAATAAGTCAAAATATCACAATACAATACTATTGATATCACTATTAATATAAGTGTATAATTTATATCTAATTATAATAATAGTCTATACAAGGTAATACTATATTTATTTTTTTAAAAATCTAAGTATCAAAATCATAATCTGTTTAAAAATAGAAGTGCTATATAATGTTGAGATTTATTATTATAATAAAATCAATTTATTTTGATATTGAAAACAAAATTTTTAGTAAATTGAAATCAAAATTGCTACTTTATTTTTATTAGTTATTTTACAATTCAATAAAATTTTAACCAAAAAATAATGCTTAAATTTTGTACTTGAAATTTACAATGAAAATTATATATTATATTACAAACATTGATTTTTACATTTTAAAATACAAAAATGTTTGTATAAAAATCAGATAAACGTGATTTTACACGTAATTTTGAATAAAAGTTATATATATATATAAATCTTTAAATTTTAATACCAATTAATTGCTGAAATGATTGATTTAAGAAAAAGTTAGATCATATGGACGTAATATAATGGTTCCGTCACCGAGTAGTGTATATGTATTTATCTTGTTTAAGGTCTACGAGTTTATTAACAAATACTGTGTATTATAAATGATTATATTTACAACAAACTTAAGCTTTGTTTAGTTTGTTGGCTCTGGGCGTTGAGTACGCGGCCACTAATTGCTGGACAGCTGACGGCGGCTCCTCAGCGGCGATCTGTTTAGATATTTGTTAATACTATTAGTTTAAAAAGTTTTGATTTTAGATTATTAGAAAAACTTGACAAACCTGGACATCGGCGGGGTTGGCGTTGGCAGTTCCCGGCTCATTGGTCTTTACAGTGGCTCTATAACCGGCGGAGTCGGCAATGTATTCAACAATACGATTCAAACCCTATATTTGTTTTAATTGTTTTTTAAAAAAAATATTTAGTAAAGTTAAGTAAACATAAATAAGTATTATCATTATAATTATGATTAGCACTAACATTAGAGTCAACGTATGAGTAACTGCCTTTGACAGCACCGGATCCATCGGACTGTTCTTGTCTGCTCAGACTGTTTCCCTGTTCATCAGTGGACTGGAAACCAAAGCTGTATGGTTCTGCCGGTCCATATTGCTCTTGAACGCGAGCTACTGGTGCGGGTGCTGAATAGACAATTGGTTTGGGCTGAGGGGCAGCAATAATTCGTGGTGCGGGTGCAGCGGCTCTTACAATAGTGGTTTGTGGCTGAACGGCAACAGTTTGATGGCTTAGGTAGGGAGATAAGTAGTGACTGTGTGTGTCTTGTTGTGGTTGCACCTGGACTAACACATATTGAGCGTCTTGATTGTGACCCAATGATGATATAAGACGACTATTTAAGCCACCGTTTGTAGTGAAAATGTTTTGGCCATTAACCAAAGTTATAACAAGTGCTAGTGATATAAACTATAATAAAAATATTTATATAATGTTAACAATTAAGTTTTTAATATCTTAAATTTTATACAACAAATTAAATATAACTAAAATAATAAATTAAACAGTTATACAATGTTTTACTTTATTTATACCTTAAACATCTTTAAACAGTTCAATTGAATTGACTAAATCACTAAATAAAAGCAACTTCTGATGTGAGCACATGTCCTATGGATCATCCCTTTTATATAACTGTGCAAATAAAGACATTAAAGCCACGACGAGATATTTTTTATAAATATTTCAAAGACATTTTTTTATATGCTATTCACTGTATTTAAAAAAAAATTTATAAAAAAAACATTATTTTAAATAATTAACAATTTTTTTTATCAAATAATAATTGTATATTTTAAATGTGAAGATGAGTTAAGTAACTCATAAGTAATAAATGAATAACTAATAGTACAGTATATTCAATATTAAAATGATAGTTTGGTAATGTTTTCAATATTAACCCCCAGATAGTAATCATTTTTCAGATTATTTATCGCTTAAAACTCTGTAAAATTATATTTTTATATTAAGGTAATGTTATAATCTATAAATTAATATTGAAAATCTAATAGAAAGTGCTGTCTCTACCTATTTATCATTTGATGTCATATTATAAATGAAACATTAATGTTATAAAGTTAACTGTGTGTCTTAAATAATTTATTAAATCTATTAAATAAAATATTCAAACTATCAAACAAATCTAACTATTTTTGTTTATTTACATTATTTTGTATTAATTAGTTTTATTATTTCTAGTTATATTTATTATTAAATCAATTATTAAAATTATTGTATTATAATAATTTAACAAATTTAGTTTATTTTTAACAAAACAAATGCTATATAATGAAAACCTCTTATAATGCATTAACATTAGTTTTAATAAATTATTTTTAATATTAATATATTTGGCAAAAAAATGTGATTCATTTTGTTGATAACGACAAAAACTGTTACTTTTTTATGATATTATTGACATTGAAAAACGGGACGAGATATGACTGCACCCGAAGCTATTGGGCGATATGTGTGTGATATGAATATTATTTGTATTTTTTCAGGATTTTAATGCTATTTCCCAATATATTTCATTTAATTATTTATTGTAAATTTAACATTAATTATCTTCTAAATGAATTATTTTTTTAAGTATAAAATATTTTTTGAGATATAAATAATTTTTATTTTCAATACACTTTTATTAGTGATAAGTGTTTATAATTCAATTTTTATTTTTATTTTTTAATTTTTTATATAATCACAATGTTGATCGATAATTAAAATATAGAAAAACTAATTTTAAAAATAATTTTAGGTAATATAAATTCATATGACATCAGTTAAAATTCAGACATTTTGATTGCTGTAAATTACCGAAACATTTGAGACCAGAACAGCATTTTAAATCATTATTTAGACAACTGGACTGTCCATCGACTAAACATTTAGACTCACATTTGCCAGACATATCACAGCATTTTGCCGGTGCATTACAGGTCAGACCATTGCAACATTCAAGTCCGGCATATCCTCCACACATATCGCCAATTGCTTGACATGTTTTTGGTACACACATTGCTGGTTGAGATTGAATAGAACCCGACTGTCCATCTAATGGTATAATATGCTGTTGACAGATGAAACCGGGACAGCAATCATCATCACAGGCACACCACTCACCATATTTGCAATCATCTAAATTGTTATTTATACTGAATATTAAAATTAAAACAATATTTATTTATTTACCTTGTTGATTGCATTTTACATAATACATAAAAATTAATATTGATAATAAAGTAATTTTAATAAACATTGTATCATAGCTTAATTATTAATAAATACTCTAAAATTTAAATCATTCATCTACTGTACTAGGAATTTTGTGATTTAATTTATATAATGTGCAAAATTTTTTAATGTATAAATTGTAATTATTTAAAATTAATTAATTTGATTTATTAATTATTTTCAAAATTTTAAAACATTATTAATAGTAATATTATATTACATACTTGAATTTTAAATAAAATAATATTTCTTTTTAAAATAATGTTAATGTTTTGTTTAGATTATTTATTAAATAAAATCATATTATAGTTAAGATTATTTATTATATTTATATTTTGTGTTTAAATGTAAAATTGTATGTAATTATAGTATATAATGTCAAAACAATTTCAATGTAAAAATTTAATATGATTAATACAGTGATAAATATATGAAATGTAATTTTAAACTTTTCAAACAAAAATATCTGTCATTTCTATGGTTTCACTTCATATAACAGATTGCAAAAATAATATTATACATAAAGAGTCAATTTGAAATTATTTTCAAGTGTAAGCTTTATTTTAAACAAATAAACATTTATCTAGGTCATATAATTTTTTTCAATAAAAAATAGCATGTATTTAATTAATTAAAACCTGTTATATTAAGTAACAGTATTGTGAAACGAGATAACTGTTTCTATAAGTATAATCCGTCAATAGCTCAGTTGGTAGAGCGGAGGACTGTAGTAGAAAAGTAATGGTTATCCTTAGGTCGGTGGTTCAAATCCGCCTTGACGGACTAATTTTTTTTGGTTTGCTTATTATTCAAGAAAATATCAATATATTATATATATATTCAATTCAATTCAATTCAATTCAATTCAATTCAATTCAATTCAATTCAATTCAATTTTGACAGCACTGTATTCAGTTATGCAACTGGTATTCTTACAGTACTGTTTTAAAATTAAATATTAAATCTACAAAAACAAGTAATTATACAATAAATAAGTATAATTATTAAAAATATAAATATAATACAATTTTTAAAAAATGTTTATAAAAATTTTAACTAAATATTAAAATAGGATAATAAAAGTTTTTTAAAAATCTTTAAATCATTTGCTTCGCGTATTTTTAAATCGATTTCATTCCACAATTTAATACCATTAAAAAATATAGTATTTTGAGTGTAATTATATTTAGGTGTCGACAAAATTAAAGATTTATTAGACATAGATCTGGTATTTCTCGATGTTTGATATGTAAAAAATTTTTGTATACATCCGAATCCATTAATGTTTTTATAAATATAAATAAATATCTCTTTTCTCCAAATATCTTCAAATGATAGCCACTTTAATTGTTTTAATAATTGTTTAGAGTTTACTGTATAATCAGAAAATGTCACAATTTTGGCAAAAATATTTTGTAAATTTTTTATAATATAATATATAATATATATGTATGTATTGTATTATACAATTTGTATATATTATTTAAATGATGTTTAAATATAATTTCTAATTAATCTTCAAAATTATATCAAGAAATTAATGATTAACAAAATAATCTTAAAATCAGATTAATTTGAATCATAAAAATTTAATATTATTTAATACACATATAATACAGTAATTGGAAAATCTTTATTTATAAAGAAAATCAACATTTATTAGAGCAGTTGTATTGTTTAGTAAAACTATCTTTTTTGTTATTTGTTTGATATGTGATGTATAAAAACAAGTGTTATAATCATTTTTATTATATAACTGTGAATCACACAAACTTTTTTTAGATTATAAATATAACTCAATTAATATAATAGATAAACAATTAAATTAAATATTTTTGACTTTGTATTTAAATTAAAGTCTAAGATTTAATTGTAAAAATAATAAATGATAATTGACAAAACACTTAGTAAATTATAAAAATTAAAAATTTTAATATAAAATTAAAGATAGTTATTATATTAAAATTTTAAATAATTAAATATCCTTAATAAACAGATTTAGTCTTTAAAATTACATTTAATTATTTACAATTGTTGTTTATATAACTAATATAACAAAATAAAATTATTTATATATTTAAATTTTTTGTAATTTCAAAAATAATTATTAAGTTAATAATAATTTTACCAAATTTTAAAAGCATAATTTATTAAAGTTAAATGTAATTTATTAAAAAAAATATAAATGTAATACATTATATATTAATATTTTAGAAATATTATAAGTTTAATAATTTATCAATTTAATAATAATTTGTAAATATTTGGCTATTTTTCTAACAAAAACCATAATGTTAAAGTAATATAAAAATATTATAGACAAATTATTTTTAATTTATTAAAATTATCTAAATTTGAAATATGTTCAAGCTCTATTTTATTTAAATAATCGCCAATTTCTCTCTAATATCACTGTAAAAATAAAAATAATGAATTAATAATTATAAAATAATAATAATATGAATGAATAAGTATTGAATATAGACATACACTTATCCGACTCTATTTCTTTGTCTATTATTACGACCCCCTGTTCTACCCCTTTGGTTATTAGCCGTGAGTTGTCGGTTGCGTGAATTGCCCCGATTGTTGGATCTAACTCTGTTAGGTCTACTTCTATTGGTCCTATTGTTAGACCTGTTTCTATTAGATCTATTGTCACCATTTCTAGATCTGTTGCCATTATTTCTGGATCTACTTCTGTTTCGGGATCTATTTCGTCCATTATTTCTTTGTCCATTTCCCGATTGTCTCGGTCGTCGAGCTCTAACCACAGTAGGGACAGTTACTGGCTGTGGAAACATAAGATTTCCTAATCGGGATCCGAAGTCGTTTTCAAAGCCACGAACTCGTGCTCCGCGTAGTCGTTGATTGAGTGAAGGCTTACCAAAGAAACCTTCCGGTGTTTCACTAGAAGTGTTATCATTAGAGGAACAATCATTTGATTGACAACAGTTTGAGGTACAGTCATCGTCATCATCATTGTCGTCGTCATCTTCATTATCAACATTATTATTTTGATAACCATTGTTTCCATTGTTAGCATATCCAGCACTTCCACTGTTTCCATAATTTCCTGCAGACTGTCCATAACCACCGCTTTGTCCGACAACTCCAGATCCATAACCATTAGACATACCATTACCTCCATATCCCATAGCCATAGTATCTCCTGCTTGAGACACATTCAAAGTTATGTATAATACTGTTGTTATTAAAAGTATCTTTAAACCCATTTCTAAAATTTAAGTTGATATATAACAAACACAAGAAATTATTAAATAATTTTTTTAACAATTATATGTTAAAACTGTATTTAACAACACATTTAAACTTTTAAAAAATTGAAAAAAACTCAAAAATTTAAGTGTCAATAATGAATGACTGTTTGGATGGTAAATGAATGACTTAAACAAAAGTAAAATCTATTTCTAAGTTTTTATTTTTGCAATTATATTCATAAATAGTTTAATTGTTATATTTAAAAATTGTGTTTAAACAGACAGTATCTTATCATTGTTTGTATATTATAGGTATTGAAAGCGATAATTATGATAATTGTGTTTAAATAAAAAATATGAATATATTATTAGAAACTATTACATTTTAATTTTTATCGATGAACATTATAATAACATTTTTAACTTATAAATAATTTCCTATTATTGAACATTCCTTTTATTTTAGTTGTAATTTATAATAAATTACTTTAAATAATTTATATTAAAAATAACAATAGTATTATTATTATTTAATACATAATTATATATATATATTTACTTTTTTAATATTCTAAAACTTTTTTATATAATTTTTTGGCATTAAATTATATTAAACATTAAATAAACATTGTAAATAAGTTTTATTGTATCATACAATATGTACAGTACTATATGTTTAATTACATGACTGTAACTGTATCATGAGTACAGTAATAACAATAATAAGATATTAATTATTTTAGTTTTCAATTATGTCTCATCTTATCTATTGTTTTATCTAAAACTACAAAAGTTTCAATTATTGACTATCTATTGAAAATCTATAAGTCTTTATAGTATTTACAATATGTATGATATTATATTAAATCGATTAAATAATTGTTATAAATATTGGTTACATCTTATAGTTCACTGATTTTCTTAACCAATACACTGTTTTTGAATATATTAACAATTTTTTTAATTTATCTAATTGTTAATAGTTTTAATAAACTTATTTTTTATCGGATAAGATAAATTAAAAAATAAACGATTTTACTAATTTGATAATTCTAATAACAACATATTAATTATGTTAATGAAAATATCACTATACAATTATAGAGTATACTAAGTATATAATATTTTGAAAATATGCAAATTTATTTTACAATAATGAAAAATTATTTAAATAAATATAAATTGTAATTAAAATGTATTATAAATTCTAAAATGAATTAAATATTTAGGAAATATATATAAAATAGTTATAAAAATATAGGTGAGTATAACTTAGGGAATAATTAAAAATACAGTATTTTTAAATATATTTTACAACAACAACACATATAAATTACTGTAACAGTTGTATACTTTTAATGAAGTGTAATATTTGTGTTAGTTTTGTCAGATTTATGTATTTTTCGACCTAATGTTGTCTTATAGATAGATAAAAGTCCTAACAATGCGACCACTGATGATAAACCCGTAATGAGAGCTAAAACCAATTTGTAATAATCAAGCGATTGTCCGATTTCGGAGACGGGAGTAAAATGCGATAATAATTCAATGACTACACCGTTGATCGCTTTGTCGAAAAAGCTCATGGATGCAAATACAAATGCACCGGTAGTCTGTAATCAAATCATACATTTTGTTAAGTCTAATAAAAATTACTGATATATCAATAACAATAATTTAAATACTTTATTAGTGCCAATCAGATCACTAGTTAAAGCAAGTGTCGATATTATAAGTGCTGTACCACCGATGCCCAGAAATGCCGACACACAATATATTTGCCATAATTTATAGGCATCACTGTTGCTACCAATAAATATCCAAATACAAGCAGTGATACCAAATAGTGCACCAATTATAAGAACCCACTAAAGTATTATTTATTAAAATAATAATATTTAACAATAATATAATTGTTATATAATAATATTAATAATAATAATAATACTAACTCTGGTACCAAATTTAGTTGAAAATGGTTTGGCACTGAAAGAACATATTAGTCCCGCTATATATGTGGCAAACGGTATGATTGCAACCGTATTCTAAAAATATATAATAATTAAATTTTGTATTAAATTTTTTAATTGAAAAAAGTTGTATAAAAGTTGTATATTATATTATTTGAATTACTTTAGGCATTTGTAGAGTATCCTGAAGGTATAGTGGTGTATATACTTGACCCAGGTTAAAAAACATACGTGCCATTGTATACATTATAGTAACTTTCCAGAAATTATAGCTAATAAGCCACTGCCAGAACTTTTTCTCCGACGACTTTTTAGTCAATTGTTTCTCAACATCGATAACAATAGCGACCGGTATGTCAGCAATTGAGTCATTGTCATCACTAGAGTTTTGATTGTGTGATGTAAATGACATCAATCCGATAACTGATCCCCTATGAAGTGCCCGTTGAGTTTCAATAGAAAAAGCAGAGGCCGTACTAATACCCCGGGGTTTACGCTCATTGGGTTCGGTAACGGGCTCTTTGACAAACACTTGGAATAATATGGAAAACACAATACCAATGGCACATACAATATATGACACTTTCTAATAATTTTAATACAAATTTAATTTAATTTTTTAAAAATAATTGTATTGTTATTTGAATATACCGTAAAAACATTTAAATCCTCTTGTCTTAGTGTTTCATTTGAATCAAATCCAATAACAAATAAAGTAACGGTATATAAACATATATTGGCAAATATAGTAGCAGCTTGGCTATTTTATAAATAAATTATTACAATTATTAGTTTAATTAAATTAATATAAATAATATTTATATACCGATAGGCATTTAATTCAATGCGTTCATTAGCATTATCAGTCAAATCGACAATTAGGCTAACGTGACTCACCTAAGCATCAATTAATTGTTAAAATTATAATGCTTATTTTATATTATAATTATTACATACTTGAGTTGCAGCCCATCCCCCCTGAAATATGATAATAAGGACGGCATAAAATGCAAATCGGGTCCAATCAGAGGCATTGATGCAATTTCCTGGGAAACATGGTTTTTCGTTATATATTAAAGGAACAGTTAATGTGTTCAATATGACACCCAAAAGATGCCAAAATTTTCTTCGACCTAAAACTCTAAACAGTTTTATATCAGGCATTCGGTCCGATTGAAAGCCAACGTATGGAGAAGCTATGGCATCAGCCATTTGGCTAACAATTCAATATACAGTTAATATAATATTTAAAAGCATTTTTATTGTTAAGTATGATTTCATAAATAAATACAAACCCAATCAATAGTAAAGCCCCGGCCATAGAGTCGCTGAATTGAAACTTAAATATAAGGAGTGTATATGAAAACCAAATACTGACAGTTAGGTCGTTATAGATGTGACCCAAACTGTAAAAGAATTTTATTGTAAACGAAAGCTTCTTCTCCTCTTTGATGGACACATGTGAAGGAGTGGACAAACTTTTAGCCAATTTCTTGAACGATCCCTTGACGTTATGGGTCAAGTCGTTGCTATTCAACCTTTTCAATACATTTTTAAGTATCGGTATATCTTTTCTTTCAGATATCATATCTGTTTTGTCTTCCATTTTTTATATTTTAATTTAAATATGAAATTTTTTTTTATTTTAACAATTATAGAATATTCTATAGAATACTGAATTTTAGTTTATAATACTTAATAATTAGTATTTTTAATAATTAAATTTTACCAAAATCACAAATTCTATCAAAAAACATATTTATGTTTTAACTTAAGACTCTATGCCTGGTATTTATACTTTAAATAATTGTATTTTCTAGAAAATGATGTCATAGAGTATATTACTGTTCTTATAGTGAACAATAACAATAACATATTGGACTTTATATTTCCTGTTTTATCCGGTTTTTTATGCTTTATATTAATTAATTTTCAAATTTATTATTTTTTAAAATTTAACTTTTTTATTATAAGTATAATAAAATTACAAAATACAATATATTGCACAAACAAATGTATTGTAAATAAAAATCTAAGAATATATTTATATATTATATAAATATTATGTTATATTTGAGACAGAAATGTTGTTTTGACAGATCTTTTGCTGATAAGATATTTAATGACAATTTCCATGTCTTCTCAACTCTAGTGTCAGACTATATAAACATTAATCAAATATGTAATAAAACATTCATTTGAATGATAAATAAAAATAATAAAAAAAACTATTTTTGGTAAATCCTTGATTACATCCTAAAATATATTTAATTGTAATTAGTTTATTAATTTATAAAAAATTTGTACAATTTTATAATAATTTTATTTTATTTAGTAAAAGTTCTTTTGTATATTTATACTTTTGATAGAATTCAAAGTTAATTTAATCTATTAATATTTTGCATCATAATTTATTTTTAACAGTATATAATATTTTATCAATTAACAACAATGTATAATAAATAAAAATTTGAAAATCAAGAGGGTCATGAGAAAATTTCCAGGAAAGTAGGAAAATATTCCCAATAAACTCATAAATTCTCTACAAAGCCGGCCATACCCTGAACGCTTAACCTGATAATATCATAATGTAATTAAGTTGATAAAGAATTTTGTGTAATATTTAATTTACAATAAATATAACAAAAAATTACTTAAAATTAAAATTGAATTATCATTAAAATAAACTAATTATAAATGTCAATATTTATCATTTAATTTTGTAATAGTAAAAAGAATATTTAATGTTATATATTAAAAATGTCTGAATATATAACATAATATCAAATACAATTAAAACTTAAATACAAGTAAAAATTTTAAATAACATGAGATTAATTATAAGAGTAAAAAATAAAAAACAAATACAATTTATTAATTATAATCTATAAAAATAAATATTTAATTGATTTAATTGAATCTTGCAGACATTTATTGTTACATTTATTATTATTAGTATTAATAATGAACTTGAAATTATATATATCAATATATCAATATGTTTATTGTAAATATAAATAAAAGTAAAGATATTACAAATAATTTGTATATTGTATGAACAATATAATTGATATGTTATATTCGGCTTATTATTGTACAGTATTATAAACAATATCATTTATACCTAATATATATTTATATAACTAATCTTAAATATAATTGAGTTATAAAAATTATTATATACTCATTATATTTACAAAACAAACAATAAACTGATAGAAAAACAAAATTCATAGAAAGTCTAATCATAAACAATTGAGATTTTGTTTCAAAACAAATAATGGAAATTTACTTGATTAGTTTTTAAATAAAATTAAATAATATTTTTATAAATGTCTATGTAATACACATGTATATATATATATATAAATACGTTTATCTTAAATTTATTTATTATTATTTTAAGAATTATTTTATTATTAAAAATTTTAGTTACATTGTGATACAAAAATTATTATAGCTTATAAATTATATATATATATATATATATTATAATTATATTTATAAAATTGAATTATGTAATATTAATATAAAAAATAAAATCATATGAGTTTAAAGGTGTATGATATGCTTATTAGGAAATTAATATATTTTATAACAAACTAGTAATAACAATGATTTAATATAAATGTTTTTAAGAAAAATAACTAAATGTACTGTAAAAGTGGTTACAACTTGTTTAAAGCTGATTAGTTATGACTTTATTGTTGCGAAACGACATTTAGATACCAATGATGCCATCGGTAGATAATATACAGTATATTGTATTAATAAACAATAATATACATTGTATTTTATATAAATATTATTTCTTTAAAATATTAATTGATATTAATAAAACTAAATACTTAATTTTTAAAATTATTTTATTCACTATAATAAATATTATATGATTTAACATTATATCTAAAATTTAAAAAACACAATTATTTATATTAAGTTAAACAATAATATTATTGATCAATTTTAATATTGTATTATTCAAACAGTATGTCATTATCAGGGCTTTAAGGAAATAAATGCCTGTCCTGTCAATACCCAAATATATGCCATAAATGCCTGGCATTACTATGACTTACTTTGAGACTAAAACAATGTTATTTTAATTAATTAATATTATAAAATAATAGGTGTCACCACGTGAAAATAGATGTCCAGGGATGACAAAGGCAGGGCAGACATTTACCAAAATTGACATCTATTGTTTATGCCTGTCATTTTTAAAACCCTGGTCATTATAAAGTATATACCGTATATTTATTAATAAGTTATTTGCGTGTATCATATAATTTATTTGTAATATGCTTTGAATAATTTTAATTTATAGATATCGTTTGTTTAAAAATAAAAATATATAATATATAATATACGGTATGACATGAATTATTTTAATGTAAAAATAAGATCTATTAGTACTTTATTGATCGGTTAATATACTATTATACTAAACAATGCAATGCTTTAATTATAAATTTGATATTGTTATAGTTTACATCTATTAAAATAAACAGTTTTTAAAACATATTTTAATGTTTAACTCCTAAAAATGTTAAAATTAAAAATATTAATTGTGATTATATTGACAGTTATGAACGTGTATTGGACACACCATCCACCTCATGATAAATACTTATCTCATACTTTGTTGGACTCAAAATATATGGAGACTTCTCTATACAATACAGTCCTTACAGTTAATTGTCTATCACTTGTTGGTCTAATCGCTGAGTTCTGGTATATCTGCGATCAGACATTGAGAGGCAAGGATTTCCTGCTATACATCTCCATCATTGCCATTGTGTCCGTCAATCGGTGTCTCATATTTTGTTTACATCCCATTAATGTCTATTATCTCAACAGAATATCACTATTTACCGGAATATTCTTTGTTGTTATGCTTTTTGTTTTGTTTATTATTTATTGTCAGAAAAAGCCGAAATCTAAACTAATAAAAAATAATTGATATATTTATTTATTATATATTAAAATTACTATTATTATTGTTAGTATTGTATTATTAATTAAAATTTTAATTTTTATTATTCAAAACCCAATAAAATTATAATATTATTAAATGATAATTGTTGTTTTATTTAAAATTATTTTTTTATTTAAAATTAGTAATTATCAATTTACATTAAAATATAAATATTTATTTTAAGTGCAATTAATTGAATCGTGAATCCAATGAAACATTTGTTTGTCATATCAATTGTTTATTATTAAATTTATAACATATATATTGATATACAGTATTAGATTCATACAAATGATACAATTGTGGTAAATTGACTCATAAGTCAAGTGATTATAATAACATTAAATAAGATATATATAAATAATTTTTTAATTAATATATTTGAATTTGTATCTAGCTTATTTAATGTTAACTTATATATCTATGAGTCAATTTACTACAATAATTATTGTACTATTTGTATTGGTTATGTATGACTAGAGATGGGCAAATAGAAAGTTTCTAATAAATTTCCCTGAGAAAGTTTCTAGAAAGTTTCTCAGGAATAAATTTCTATAGAAATTTAACTTTTTTGGTATACTATGGGATCCCCATATCTATAGATATTGTAAAACTATAAATATATTAATGAGACACTACTATACATATAATATTATACTATATAATGTAGATTACTGTACAAATGGGATACTTATATAAATAATTATAATTATTTAATAATAATCAGTTTTGTAAAATTTTATTCACCATTTTATTATATAATAGTTTTTAATAAATAAATTTTTACTTTAATTAATAATTAAAATACTAATACTAATATTTAAATATTACTTATAAAAACAATGTTAAAGATAACAAATATCGAGAAAACAAAATTAACCATGGGGATCCCATAAATAGAAATTTCTTTTAGAAACTTTCTAGAAATTTCTCTATTATTTTATAAATTTCTCTTTTTTGCCAACACTATGTCTGACAGTATCATAGTATACTGTATTCAATATATCAATATATATGTTATAAATTTAATAATAAACAATTGATATGACAAACAAATGTTTCTTTGGATTCACGATTCAATTAATTCATTGTTTGCACTTAATATAAATATTTATATTTTATTATAAATTAATAATTACTATATATTTTTTAGTTTTAAACAGTGAAACTTTTAATTGATTTATTCAAATATATTAAATAATATTTGTATTTTGCTATGATATCTAAGTTTAAACTTCGCAAACTTGTAGTAATTATACCCAAATAACTGTTAGATACAAATATTTTAAAGAAAAACTTTAATTGTGTCTAATTTATTTATATATATATATAAACTAGACAAATATAATTTCTAAATAGTTTATTATAACAAATTTCTATAATTATTCTTTTATTAAATACTATAAGCAATATAAATATCATCATTTAAATATTTAAATAAATAAATCTATAATTATAAAAATTGATTAACAAATTGTGCAATAGATCGATGAACTTATTTGATTAATTATATCAATAATTTCATGTTTGTTATGTAACTAAATTTTTAGATACGATATAAACGAAAAAACTTATTTCGCGAATCTTTAATTATAAAAAAATAATTTTACATAAAATTAAATAAAAGCAAAAACTTTTATATCAATTAATTTATACTATCGTTTCATTTCATTCATTTTTAATAAAGTTAAAAAATAATGTAAACAATTTTTGACAACTTTCAAGTTGTAAATAAATTCAATTTTACTTTACATTTTCATTGTTTAATATTATATTAATAATATATTAGTTGTATTAGTAAGTAGTGAAACACCATTCATATTGTAAATGTTATTTACATTTAAATGTATAATAAAAATCTAATCCATAATCTAATTATTCATATTTTATATGTGTAACTAAAAGACAACTTTTTTGGTTAATTAATAATATTAAAGAATATTTGTCAGAAACAATAAAATGACAAATCAATCCAAATGAATATATTGATTAAAATTTTATATATTGATAGTATAGTATTAATATTAAATTACTATTAATAATGTAATACTGTATATGCAACCATAATAATGTACAGAAATCACTTACTGTATTATATCAAATAATAGAAATATATTAAGTACTTTTGTTAATAAAATATGAGTAACTAATCAACATAATATAAAGTAAATTATAATGTATCAAATGAAAGTAATAGTGATTTTTAATGATAAATTTTTAAAATTTTTGCCTAAATCTTTAATATTGAATATATTTGAAACATCAATAATAGATGATTGAGAGCAATGAACTTTTATTTTTGTTTAACACTTGTTTTCAACTTTCACTTGTTTACCAATGATCTGATGCTTTGATAATAAATTGAGAGATAAGTTATTTATTACATTAGACTTTCCTGTATTTTACAAAACAAAGTTTTATTTTTTTAAATATATTTTAAAACATTTTCGAAAAAATAATATTATTACGACCTTCAGGTCAGTGGGTTTCTGAGGTACTATACATGCAATATAATGACTAATGAAAACATTTATGTAATTTTTGTCAATAATGCCACTAAATAAATACAATATATAATAACAAGTATACAAATTTAATTATATATTTTATTTTTAAAATAATTTTTAGTTTGAGATAAATTGTAGCATTTCTATTACTTTGTTGTAAATTATTTATTTAAATAATTTTTTTAAAATTACAAAATGTTTATTTATTTTATTTTGATATTTTTAAGTGACATTTTATAATTTACTTAGAAATTAAGTACTAAAATAAAATTAAAATTAAATATTTTTAAAATTGTTAATTAAAAAATAATTATTTATATATTTGATAACAATATAAACGATATTATTTTTATTGATAAAACAATTAGATTTTGTACAATGATGTACAATGTTTAGCTACAATTAAATATTACATTTACAATATATATTGTAAATTGAATATATTTAATATAAATTTAGTCTACAATTAATAAATAAGCAAAAATGTGTATTAATAAAATTATTTTTTAATAAATGGACATCATATTATTTGGTCATTTTTATATTTAATAATACAAATACAAAATTTATTATTTAATTTAACTAGTTTACTAAGTAATATATAATTTACATTAACAAACATTAATATTTTAATGCAAATTGTTAAATAACATAACAAATTGATATTATTGTATTTATGATTTATATGAAAAAATTAATACACATTTCAAATACTTTAGTTAAATGTTTTTGTTGTTGTTTGAAAAACACTTAAATTGTCAAAACATTTCAATTATTTAAATCAATTAATAAAATGAGATAATTATAATTATAGATATCAATATTTGTTAAAAAGTTTCTAATCTTATGATAAATTAATTATTGATAAAATTCAATAGTGTGTAAATAAAAATCAATGAAACAAATGAATATATAATATATATATAATTATTCACAATAACTAATTAACTCCATTATAGAGCACGCCTTACGACAGCACTCGTCAACAATTCCCCGTCGGTTTCGGTTAAATCCGTTATCAATAGTCCCGCCATTAGATCCAAACATATCGAGTGCCGATTTTTTCGACAGGAAATACCTATTATCTAAAATAACGTCATCCGCAGTGTCCGACTTATAGTCTTCATCATTATCAGTGGTATTCATGTCGTCCCAAATCGATGAGATACCTAATCAAATAAAACTATTATTATTCCCAATACTTTATAATATAGTATATTCTATATAAATGTTATATAAATTACAAATTTAATAAATAATTTTTATATAAAAATTATATGATAAATATACAACAATTAGTGTACAAACCATTATTGAGATTTTCAATCAGAGTCTTATGATTTGAGTCATGATTATTAAGTTGATTACGTTTTGATGGACTAAAATAATTGCCGTCACATAACATACTCAATATATTGACTATATTTTTGCCGCAATATTTTTGTTTCGCTGATCGGGTTTTGATCACATGTTTAAACATTTTATTATTAACTAAATGTTCATTTGATGGCAAACCACTTACTAACTCATTACCCAATAATATTATTAATAATATTATTAAGTATTTGGCCATTTCGGGTATTGTCAGCAACATATGAGATGTTTATAAGTTACTGTTTAATTACACAAAAAAAATTACTAATTAATTAAGTGTTTTTTGTTAAATATTGTTTATATATTTAATATTTAAATATCTCTGAATTAATTATGGTGTTTTTTATTTTAATAATTTTGTATTGTTAAATACCGTTATAATAGATTATATAATATAACATTAATAAAAACTGGTGTAATTCTAAAAACAGCACTAATTTTTCTAAATCAAATGTATTGAAAAATAACATAAAAACAACTATCAGTACTAATTTACAAGTGATGTCTCATTAAACTATAGATTATTTCTTTATATACAGTAGTATTTGATTTGTTATGTCAACAAAATTTAATTATTGTCAAATGATTTTTTATATGAAATATATAAATTGAATTAGTTCTTTTAAATAATAAATGTTAAAAATTATTAATTAAATTTATAAAAATATATGCTATTCTTGTACTCAGAAAAATAATTTAACATATCATAAAAAATTCAAACATATAAAAGATTTTATTCTTAATAATTTAATATTTATTCAATAAATGCCAAAAAAATACAATAGATATTCTGACACTATTTTTAAATAAATTGTTTGACAAATGTTTTATATTAAAAACTAAAAAAAACTATTTGATTAAACAATTATAAAAAGCTTTCAATTGTGAGCTGAAAATAAAGTTTTCTTATTTGATATAAGAAATAAAGCATTTAAGATAAAAATCAGTAAAAATAATAAAATTGAATTAACAATTTTTTTCTGTCACTATTTAATTTTCTAAAATCTACTTAAAAAATTTTGCTAAATATTTATTTATAGAAAAAATAATACTATTTCTAAATTCAAAACAAAATAAAATAAAAATTTTAGAATTTTATTTATATAAAAAACAGTTATATTTACAACTTACTTATTTGTAATATACTTTAATATATTTATCACAAGTATATTATTTGTTGCCGAAATATCACAAATTATTAATTAATTAAATCATTTATTATAATTTTTTAAAAATAAATATATTGCTTTATTATCAACAGTTTATCATTTATTAAAGTTATATATTTGATAATTTGATAAATCTTTAGAAATATAACTTTTAATAATTTACTCTTAGTTTAAACAATATTTGTTGATTGCCTTATAGATGGGACATCACATAAACGAAAAATAATAATTATATAACAGTAGAAAAACTTTTCCTCCAATGATTTACCAAATTTCATACAAAAAACAACAACAACAACATCTCTATAACGTTAGTGAATCTGTTGGTTCCTTCCCTACCTGTGCTTCAAATGAAACAAACATTTGTCATTTATTACAGTTATATAAGTTATGATAATTTATATTAACGCTATTACTATTTTATATACAGTATATAAAAGTTGTAATCACTGCACATGTATCTCTATTAAACACAATGAGCAAGGTTACTTAATTAAACAACTCTTAAATATTGATATAATATATTACATTTTAATAAAAATATTAATTTTTTATATTATAATTTTATTACTATAAAAATTTTAATTAGATAATATTATTTGTAAACATAAATTGATATTAATAAAATTATAAAACTATATTTTGAGTATTATTAATATTACTAATGTTGTTTACCTTGGTAACACAGCTAATGGTGTGTCTCTAATCTAGATTATGTCGGTGCAGATCACATCAGTGCCACTACTGGCCTACTCATAGACAATCATACAGTATATAATCTATAATCAGATTTACTTGTTTAGCTCAAATTTCCCACACATTAATACACTAAAAACTAATAAAACTATTATTATTATTATTATTTAGAAACATTATTGTATTTTATTACATTTATATTTTAAATTTCAATTTTATATTTATTATCAAACTATTTAACATTTATATTGTTTGAATCTAAAATACAAATTTGTAAACAAGATAAATTATAATACAATTAAATAATAATGCATTTAAAAGTTTTATGAAATATAGTGACCACTTATTTATTTAATCACTCACTTTATTACTGTTTCCGTCAACTCCTACAGAATATAATATTTGCGTTAAAAATACATAAAATTTTTGTTTTATATTTTTATAAATCCTTAGGATTTATGTTACTAAATATATTTTAAATCACAATTTCTCACTACTTAATCATATTGTAAAACTACTATAATAAAAACGATGTATTTGTAGATATTATAGTTTTTAGAAACGTTTATTTTATTTTATACAGAGTATTGTTTTTATCATTTATATTTATTTTTAAATTATTTGTTTTAGTAAAAAAAAGAAACGTTAACTATAAATTTGCTATATTTTATTATAAAATATAAATAACTTTAATAAACGTACATAAATACAAATTTAGAATTAAGTAAATAAAAACGAATTAATTTTTAAAACTTTTTTCTATAAATTACTTTTCAAATATTGTAAAATTAATAACAAAATGTGGTTAATTTAAGTAATATTAATTGTCAAATATAATAAATTTGTTGATTATATGGTCATTCCCCACACATTTGTATTTTTATAACTTAAGTCCGGATTTGTGAATATACAGTATATATATATTGGATTTAGTTATCATATCGTAATATATCCGTCAATGTGTATGACGTTTATTTTTATGCTTAAATACAGTGAAATAAACAGATATCAAATTATATAATCTGTGATTTAATACTACAATTTGTAATCACCAATTGATTCAATATATAAGACTATCCATGACGTTATCATCAAACCTTTTTATAGTCTCTCATAAACTATAGTAAAGTATATTTATATTAATGTATATATATATATATATATATATAGATTATTATATATTAGTAGTACTAATTATAGTACTAAAACAAAATCAATTTACAGTAGTATAAAACTAAAATTACACTTTAAAAATTGTTTTTATAAATATGTAAAATAGCAATACACTATACAATATATATATGAAGTAAATAATATACATATATGAAGACAATTATTTACATAAAATATGAAAAATATGATAAAGTTGATGAAAATATTGATAATTTAATTAAAAATTATTTTAATTTAAGTTCAATATACTTATTGTACAACACTTATGGCATTTACATTAAATTATTGACATTTGATGCCAACCAAACTCCACGTTTTGTTGATTTGTGATTTCATTACAAGTATGTATAGTATCAGTGATAAAGTGCAATCATATAGAGATTGGATGATCGGGTACTCATAGTTTTGCAATTGATTTTAAATCCCAGAGTCAATAAAAAATATGCGAATGCACTTACCTTTAAAAATAAAATATTAAATATATTTTATATATAGACCAATAACTATTGAAAAACTATTGCATTAAATAAATAGTGTATTGCAAAACAAACAAATAATTGTGTCATTTTTTGTGTTTATTATTCTATAAATATTTCAAATGTTTTTTGTAACTATTCTTAATCATATATTATTGAGTAAAAAATTATGTAAATATTATTTTCTTTAAAAATTATTAAAAATTAAACTAAATATTACAAACCAAACAATATTTTAAAATTATTTGCTTAATAATTATAAATTATGTTTGAAATTATGTTACAAAACTGAGTTTTGGAAACTATTAAATTTACATAAATATTTTAAAAATACAATGTGTAAAAGGCAAATTTACTTGTATATATTTTAAATTATATATTAAAAGTTCAATAAACTATAAATTTTTAAAAAGTACAAAAAAATTGTTTTAGTTTTACTTTTAGTTTCATAGAATATATATATATATATATATATATATATATATATATATTATTTATTTAGCAAAAAACTTTCCCTCTCAAACAAAAATTCCTGCAATATATATATATATATATATATATATATATAAGATTAAGATGTAAGCCTACTATTAATAATGATAAATAACAAGCATTGCATGCATAACAACATCACTACATAACAGTATTATTCAATATTTGGGTGCATTTTTGGCTATCCATTAGAAAAACACTACCAATGCTTACACTATAATAGTCTCTATATAAATGTCCTTCAGGTCAGTGGGTCTTTGGGTGTTTCGCGATAACATAGAAAACAAATATATATTTTTAATGTTTTCGTAAATTTTGCAAAAATAATACACTTTTAATGTTTTTTTATTTTGTTTGTTAGAAACAACTATAAGTGAGACGAGACATCCACATCAGTAACTATTGATAAAATGAGATTAAAAATAAAAGTAAAAAACAATATTTTTAGTGAAAGTCATTAATTATATTTTTCTAATAAATTATAATAAATAAGACTATTTTGCTAGAAATTGTCCAACAATTATATTTTCTAATTATATTACAGTATATTATAAATATTAATAATACAATTATCAATATTAAATTATAAACACTATTTTAATTTTAAAACATTTTTAATAGAAGAATAAATTTTTATAATTAATATTATAATTAAGCAAAAAATATTATTTAAAACAATGCAATAAAATATATAAGTAAACAAAATTTGATTTTAATTAGATTTGACTATATTATAGTATTGTTGGTGATGGCACCGGTAGAAAAATTCAACTAATCTTTTATACATATGAAACATAGACTTTTGCAAAGAGTGTCTATTATCCGGATATATCTGTGTCTCATACTTGATGTTTGCCTCATTCATGGCCTTCAATAACATCATTGAGTTCATTGTGTGCACGTTATCTGTCAATGATTTATAAATGACATCAAATTTATCAGTTTTAATGTGTTGTTTTTATAGACATTTAATAATATTATTGTAAAAATAAAGCAATAAATCATGATATATATTAATAGTACCATCAGCGGTGCCAAACATAATCAAATACTTTTTGCCATTCAAATGACTAACTTTATCCAAAGTGGATGACTTAACATAGTTATTGTGGTTATCATCGGGTGTGAGGAAACCCATATAACGCTCAACATATACTGAATCTGTTGATAATTTTAGGATATAGTTAGAAGTTTGTAAAGTTATAAAGTTATTTAAATACATCAAAATCTAATTAATTTACAAACCATAATACATCCAATCAGATACTGGTGCGACTGCTACTCCACATTTAAATACGGTATTATTGTAGTCCATTTCTAAAGCCATAGTTGTGAGGTATCCTCCATACGACCACCCCCATAGTGATATTGAATTTGGCTCAATATATGCTAATTTGTCTCTCATATATCTAATTTATTAATATATTTTAGTTGTTTAAATATTAAGAAAAATATATTATACAAACAATAATTATTGTATATTTTGTAATAAAAAGCTGCAAAATTACACACTTGGCCACAGCTATGGTGTCTTCAACTTCAACCGAACCCAATCTTCTATAGATTTCATACATGAATTTGCATCCGTGATTGGGACTACCTCTTGAGTCTAACTTTGCATAAATAACACTCCTGTTGGCCACCAGAAAGGCTTCAAAACCATTGTAAAAGTAGTTATGATTGACTGATCCGTCTTCACTTCCCGGTCCTCCATAAACATGAAAAACTAGTGGATATTTTTTGCCAGATTTTTCATTAAAATCGTGGGGAACTATAAGCATTACATCGATTTCTACTCAAATTAATTAAATTAAATTTTTAAATATTATCTTTTATTAGTAGTAATATCCACTATATCAGTGATATACAAAACATACGGTAATTTCCAACGGGAACTTTAATTAATATTTTCTTAGGCATATTAACATCTTTGATTTTTTCAGCCAATGCTTTATTTTCTTCTAGTATTAACATAAGTGTATCATCGGATGTGCGCCTAATCTCTGAACGGGGAATATTAGGCCCCAAACAGTTTAGCACATAATATTGAGAGCCTTCACTAAAATTGATATCATTTACAAGACATGACTTATTTTTGTCATCCATATGTGTATTCATAAGACATGTATGACATGTTGGTTCTGCACTGTTACCAATTTGGTCAATGGTTACACTCATTAAATGTTTTTCCCCTGTTTTCAAAGGGTCAACAGCCATAAAATAGCTAATAAATTATAAATTATCAATGATTTACATTATATTAATAGTTTTACAATACTTAATAAATAATTTAAATTACATTCTATTGGTTTCTTTGTTAACATTTAAGATATTTGTGACTTCAAACAGTGATGATGTTAAAAATGTAGACTCACCCGTCTATAATTTTGTTGTTAATTTAATATTATTTTATTACTCTAATAAACATTTAACATATAGCTTACCATTACTGAAACACTGGCGATTTGATTAAACAAATCATGTTTTTTGTCAATAAGTTTGGGAACACGTATGGCATAAGATTTCTTATCGGGCAATACTATCGGTGGACTAAATAAGTCAATCCAACCTATGTTTGACTGGAGCTTAAAATTCTGTTTAAAAAAACTTTATTAGTATTTTATAATTAATTTATAACAAATAAATTTACGGATAAGAGTTTCATATTGTTTGCAGTGTTATATGTGGTTAACATTGAATAATTTTGTGCCCTATTCATCCAATTTACTGAAAATAAATTATTGTCTATCCATTGAAATGCCGTAAAATAATGATCTCTGAAAGTATTGTATAATAATACAGTATTAAGTAATATATTTAGCAAACTTTTGTTTAAAATTACCCAAAATTTAATATATCTTGCGGTGGCATCACATTTACTGTTAGTTGATCAACAAATGAGATGTTAGTTGAATGTAATTCATGTAAATCAATATAATGTAAATTGCATTTAGGATTGGGTCGACCAGGTTTTGGATATCGAATTGACTCTACTTTTGTATATTGATTATTATATCCATAGACGGGCCAAGTCATGACATCTACATTAGTATCATTAATCGTAAGATACACTAACTTTGTGCCCCCGGGAGACAACCAAAACACCTTTGGACCGGATATTATCTCCTCTTCATAAACCCAATCCGGAACGCCATTATATATAACGGGACTACCCGTATGTGTTAGTCGGATGGCTACTGAATTGACGTCGGCTTTAAAATAGATATCATTTCGGTGAACAAACACTATTTCTGAACCAATAGGTCCCCACTCAGCATAGTTTAGATAGAGATCGTTTGAAAAATCTGGTGATACTATAGGTACCGATAACTTGCTATACAATTATAAATATATATTTTAATGATATTTAATATATTAAAATTAAAATTAAATGACAAACCGGTCAACAATTGAATACACTCTATATTTAGCTAATGTTGAATATCTGTATAAAGTTCGGGATTTATATGTATTCAGTAGGTATTGCCGATCCTTTGATAGTAATAGACCTGACAGTCGATACTTTCGCTATTATTTATAGTTTATTCATTAATTAATGATTTTAAAAATATGTTATAAATATTACTCACAACAACTTTATAATTGATTAACACAGTTGTATTCAAATTGTTTATATCAGTAATACATAAATTGTTTTGTGTGTCATAATAAAGTAACTCATGTTTTGATATCCATTTACCATTGAATGTGCGGTAAGACAACTGACCGAATATAAAGTCTTCAAATGTTATGATCTGCTCTATTGGTTCTGTCATCGAGTCCGTAGTAATGGCCATCAGATTTGGGTTATTGTTAATGAGTGTCATTTGTGTCAAGTTTTGTCTCATTTTGATCTCTTTCTGAATGCGATCCCAGTATTCTTCGGAAGTTTCGTGATCGGGATTAACGATCTCATCATAAAATATAGCAAATGTTAGAAAACCTATACTTATTAATATGAGTACTAATAAGAAAATAACACCAATGTATCGGCTAAATCTAGATTTTGGCTAAAAATAATAATACAAAAATATTTAACCATGATCATTTATATTATTGCAAACAAATTATAGAAATAAGTTTTTTATATACCCTATATTATAATACAATTTATTTCATACTCAATATTAAAATAAATTAATATAATTGCAAACTAAAGTAAAAAATATTATTAATAATGTTTAGCATTAAAACCAAATGACAACTGACCTCTTCATCGTCATACAGATGTGTAGTTGAGGTTCCGTTAAGATTCCTATTGTTATGACTATTGACTGATTCATTCACTGGATAATTGCAACTCATGTTTGGACTACCGGTGCTGATGTTGAACGATGTCGTCGCTATATTTGGTACTTCATAATAGTTTTCATTAATTAGTGCATTTGGAGAGGTATTCACAAATGTTTTCGTCATATCATTAATTAATTAAATAACATTATTTTTTTTGCAATAATTAATTACATCTAATTAGAAACATATCTAAATGTTTATACTGTTGATGATATACAGTATACATAAAAACAAATCTACTACTATTTCAATTCATTTAATACAAACCAACAATTTTTAATAGATTTTATTACAATTATAATTATTATATAAATACTTTAAGTTTATAATTGAATTTTTTATGAAATTATAATTTATTGACTGATTTACATAATTGTTATTTGATCTATTTAAATTTTTGTTTAATAAATTATATTATATATTATGTGTTTTTATTGTAATATGAATTTTTTAATTAATAGTAATTTTTATAGAAATTATTTAAATATTTTTAAATATTTACTCAATTTTTATTATTTTATAATTTTTCAATTAATAATAATCTCATAATAAAGATAATAAAATAAAAATTTATTTATTTTTATAAACTAAATTTAATGTCAATATAAAAGGCAACAATTTATAAATATTTCATTTATTTGATTTTAAATGTTATAATCATTAATAGAATATTTAAAAATCTTAACAAATATTAACGCAAACGGATTAATATTTTCAAGAATTGTTTATAATATATATATATATATTAATACTGTATATAATTTGATAATAATTTATTGATATATTAGATATTAAAATATTTTATTATAAAAATTCATTTATTACTCATTTATAATTTGCTTATTATTGTAAAAAACAGTCTATCAGTGTTGGCAGAGACAAAATGTTCGTATAATACAAAGCGTAATATATAGTATAGGTATAATACAATGTAAAATACATGACCAATTTGGTTTACAAAAAATAATTTAGCGCCACCTAGTGATAAAAGCATTGATATAAGAAAGTAAATCATGTTTTATAATATATTTATTATTATTTTTTATTGAATTTCATTTTTTATTTTAAATTATTTCATTATTATAACTTAGAAATTATAATAATAATGCATTTTCTAGAAATCATATTTTTACTAAATATTTTTAACATAATATACAGTATATTAGTTTTAAAATTTGTATAATACATGAATACATTGTATTTTACTGTATTATACAAAGTCAAAATTCAAAACTTTGTATTTTTCTAACCCTGGTCATTATATTTATTTTTTACAACGAGGAAAACTGGAGTATTTATGAGATTTCAATACTTTATAAAAACAAGTTTTGATATTAATTTTTAAGATACTATACATTGAATAACATTATACAATGGATTAGATGTAAAAATATAGTAATTTTGAGCAATAAGTTTGATTTAAGCTATAATTAATTGTCGCAGTTATGACAATAAATTTCAATTTAATTGTAAACTCATTAATTATATTAAATATTAATTTAATATTAATATGTAGTGCAAACATACAAACTGGTTAAGAATTGTTACATTTATTAATTAATTTTTAAATCTATTGTAATATAATTATAACAAAATATATTTGATTTTAGTTAAAATACGACTTAATTCGGGTCACGACTGTCCTGTTGTAGGCATAGGAATGGGTGGCTTTCGGACGGGTGGACCACCTGAAGGAACGACTGCCATAGAAATTGTTAAGAATGCCATCGATGCCGGATATAGACATATTGATACAGCAAGAGGTTATGGCAATGAACAAGCAATTGGACGGGCAGTTAATGATGTGATAACTGAAGGAAAAGTCAACAGAAAAGATATATTCATTACAACTAAAATATATTCAAAACGACAAAACGTTTCGTGGAGTAGGACTGAGGCTTTGGCACAAACACGACAATCATTGACAAACTTAAACATGTCTTATGTGGACCTAATGCTCATTCATTATCCCTCTAATAACAGTCAACTCAATAGTCATGTCTGGAGTGGTCTCGAAGATGCTCTCAATCAAGGTTTAGTCAAATCGATAGGTGTGTCCAACTTTAATGAACAACAATTGCAAAGTTTGATACAAACGGCTAATGTTTTTCCCGCAATCAATCAAATTGAAAGTCACCCACAATTAAGTCAAAGACAACTCATTGATTATTGTCGTCAATTTAAGACAAGAGTGACCGCATATTCACCATTAGGTGCCGGATCTCTCATTACACATCCAGTTTTGACACAAATTGGTAATACCTATAATAAGACAGCGGTTCAAGTGATGCTTAGGTGGCAAATACAGAGAGGAGTGATTGTTATCCCGAAGACTACCAAAAAACACAGAATGACTGAAAATATCAATTTATTTGACTTCAGTTTAACCTCTCAACAGATCAATCAAATTCAAAATATTTAAAAACATTATTTTAATTAATTAATCAAAATTTTATATTAATTGTAACTAAATTAAAATTACAATACGTTTGAAATTTTACTTAAAAGATGTCATTAATTGTCAGTTAATAATATTTATTTTAAAATACGTTACTCTTATACATGTTTTTTTAAATTTAATAATAAAAGCAATATCCGGTAAAAATAATTTTATTAATTTTTTATTAATATATTTTTTAAATGTATTACTAATATTAAAATCATACAATTTATTTTACGACATAAATGTTTCTAATGAATAACGGTATAATACAGTATATTTATTATATGTTTAAAAAAAACCTAAAAATAAATCTAAATCTATTTATAAAATTATAATAATTATTATTGCCAAATTTATCATAAAAATAATTATTATTAAACATCAAAATTATAAAATATAATTATCTACAAATATTCACAAATTTTAAAAAATAAAAATTTGTTTATATAAAAAATATTATTAGATTGTTTTAATATATTTAATAAAAAAATATATACTAAGGTTTTTATTAACACTCATAAATGTTAAATAAACAACTATGAAATGTTTATATAAATTTTATTGTATATAATACTACAGTACTATAGTTTATAGTCTAATGTCAAATAATTATTCAAATGTCATGTTTTATTTAATTTTAAAATTAAATTTAGTAAATTCATAACAAAAGTGTCAACAATATTAATAAATTCAGGAATCGTGTTGTAATTGTTTGCATTGAATAATAATTTAATGATTAGGCATTTATACTAAAGTTAAATATTGTATTCATTCAATTTAAAACTAACAAATAGATATCCCTTTTTAACAAAATTATTATATAAATATTTTATGTGATAATATGATATAATGTTTTTTATTATGAATATGTTTACAAAAAATTGGTTAGAAAATGATATTAGATAACGACTAAATGATTAAATTTTTGTAATTTTATTTAAAAGTATGACTATATCACTAAAAATTAAATAAAAAAATTATTGATATATTTTTAATGTAAAGTGAAATAAATAATTTTTGAATTATTAAAACAACATAAGATGTCCAAAACAATTCTAGTGACGGGAGGGGCCGGGTATGTGGGCTCACACTGTGTACTTGAGTTTCTGCAACACAACTATAATGTCATAGTTGTCGACAATTTGGTAAATGCAGTCAAATTGGAAAACCAAGAAATGCCAGAAAGTCTTATACGAGTTGAACGACTGGCCAACAAAAAGTTAGAAAAGTATTTGACAGGAGATCTTAAAGATCAACAATTTATAGATGAAATATTTGCTAACAATCACATCGATATTGTCGTACATTTTGCTGCACTTAAGTCGGTCGGCGAATCGGTGGCCAAACCACTTGAATATTATGAAAATAATGTTTCGGGAACTATTAACTTATTGAAGGTTAGCTTTTTATTATTAATATTATATAAAATTTGTTTGAATATTGAAATATATTTTGTTAATAAACTACTTTAACTATATTTATACTAATAATTTATTATAATTAACACTCTGTAAGACATTGGATAAAAATATTAATTAATTTTTGTATCTAACAGTCTATGCGTAAGTCTAAAGTAACAAAACTTATTTTTTCGTCGTCCGCTACGGTTTATGGAGATCCTGAAGTACTACCACTGGTCGAAACATTACCAACGGGTCAAACCTGTACCAACCCTTACGGCAGATCTAAGCATATGGTTGAAGTAGTTTTAAAAGACTTATGTAAATCATCACCCGAATGGTCGGTCATGTCTTTGCGATACTTCAATCCAGTGGGCGCTCATTCATCGGGAGATATCGGCGAAGATCCTCAGGAGATACCAAACAATTTAATGCCATTTGTCACACAAGTTGCAGTTGGTATGCGACCCGAACTAAAGATTTTTGGCGGCGACTACAACACTCCCGATGGGACTGGAGTTAGAGATTATATTCATATCGAGGACTTATCTAACGGACACCTAAAAGCATTGGAACAAATAACTACTGAATTGTGGAAAGACTTTCATCCAATCAATTTGGGAACCGGTAGAGGATATTCAGTACTTGAAGTATTTAATATTAGTTTTTTTAATTTATTCAAGTTTTAAAATAATTATATATTTTAGGTGATCTCAACATTTGAATCGGCAAACGGGGTGAAAATCCCGTACAAAATAGTAGACCGAAGACCTGGTGATGTCACTGAACTCTATGCCGACGCCAAACTGGCCAATGAAAAGCTCGGGTGGACTGCGACCAGAGATATGTATGACATGTGTGCTTCTGCCTGGAAATGGCAGTCAAAAAATCCTAAAGGATATAAACGGGACTAACATTGCATTCAAATGTTAATATAATTCATTGCTTTGGTAGTGTTTTTTGTATCTTTATTAATATAATTTGTAAATTAATTGCTATTATAAGAAATATCATTAATGCAAATTAGTTTTAATATTTGAATAATTAGTAATAAGAATAATAAATTAAATTTATTTATTAATATTTATTCATTGAAATTACCGTAAAGTTTATTGTTGTATTAATATTTATTAGTATAAATTTATATTACGGTAATCAAGTAAAATTACTGAATAATTAAATTTTTTAAATTTATTTTTATTGATGAGATAAATATTTGGTAAAAAATGAGAAAAAAAATCTATAATATAATGTATAAAATGACTTAATTATAGAAAATGTTTTCTAAAAAATCATTCATCCGTTGATACAAATGTATTGTCGATCCTCGCAATGAGTGGTCGTTATCGGGATATATCTGAGTCTCGTATAGTATTCCCAAATCATTCAATTTAGACATTAATAACATAGAGTGCTGTGAGTGTACGTTATCTATCAAAATAATATAACTGTTAATTAATTTTCTGCATAAAAATGTTTGATAACTACACCGACCGTCAGCCGTCCCAAAAGCAATGAGTAGTCGTTTATTTCTTAGGTAATCCACTTTATTTAACACATCCGACCTGTTGTAAGCTTTCTGGTTATCAAAAGGCCATCCCATATACCGTTCCACATAAACAGAATCTATAATATTAAGAAAAATGTAGACAAACTAAAAACATTAATAAATAATTAATGATTTTGCATGACTTACCGTAAAACATCCAATTAGTTACCGGAGCTACAGCTATACCGCACTGGAAAACTGGATCTTTATAGTCGAGTGCGAGTGACATAAGTGTCACATATGCCCCATAACTCCAGCCCCAGATGCATATAAAACGTCTGTCTATGAATTCTAGATTATCCCTCAGATGTCTGTAATATTTTTCAGTTTATTTAATATTATAAATTAAAATTAAAAAACAGTCAATTAATATACCATACCTTGCGGTTACTATTGTATCCATGACTTCAACATTACCTAAATTCTTATAGATTTCATGCAAATATTTTGATCCCTTATTATCAGTACCTCTGCCATCAATTCGTCCGTAAATGACACTCATATTTGATGCCAAATGTGATCCCCAATGATTGATCCTATATTTGTCAATAACCATTTGACTGCCCGGTCCTCCATAGACTTCAATCATAAGCGGGTATTTCTTTTGTCGGTCAAAATTTCGCGGCAAAACCAGTTCAACGTTAGAGTCTATGAATTATAATTTAATTAATTAAGAATTTATTAACAAAAATAAGTCAAAGTAATAGTTTTTATACAAAATTTGTCGTCTGTTTTAATCTTAAGTTTTCTGATCTCTGGTATTGACTTTTCTCTTAATTTTTGACGCAATTTTTGGTTGTCATCCAACTCAGTAATCAAAGAATTATTTTTGGTTCGTCTGATCTCAACTCTTGGTACACCCGGTCCCTCACAATTCAATACATAATAGTCTATCTTTTCATTAAAGTAAACATTATTATAGAAACAACTGTCACTTAAATGACAGGTCAAACAAATCGGATCTAAATTTGGTTCATTATCTATCTGGACAGCCATCAGATGACGCAATTCTGGCTTTTCCGGTAATGTTGACAAAAAATACCTAATAATTTTTAAAAATATTTATTAATAAACTAATTTATACAGAATCTTAATCAACTAACACAGTATCTTCATCTTCATTATAGGCCACGATTTGAATGATATCAAACAAGCCTTTAGTTAGGTATTTCACGGTTTGGTTCTGTATTATTATAATTATGTGTAAAATTAATTTCAAATTTATAGAAATATAAAAACAAAATACTGACTTCAATGCTAACAAGTGCCACGTGATGATAATAACCCGCCGATGGGTTTATCAGTTCAGGTAACTTAATAAAGTATCCGTTATGTTTGACTGCGGATACGGGTGCCTGATATAGATCTATCCAACTGTTAGCCGACTCTACCGTAAAGGTCTTCAAAAAAACATTCAAAAATTAAATTGTAATATATTTAATATTTATTAATATTTATTAATATTTATTAATATTTATTAATATTTATTAATATTTATTAATATTTATTAATATTTATTAATATTTATTAATATTTATTAATATCATACAGTATTGCAATTCCAGCGTTTCTTTCTATCGCAAACATCAATGACTGAAAAATTTTGAGCTCTGGATAACCACGTTATGGTAAATCTATTGCTGTCCAACCATCCGACTGCTGTTATATAATGTTCCCTAAAATTGTAAATCACTTATACTATAATAGATTTAAATATTATTTTTTAAACAATAACTTACTGTTTTTTAATAATATCTGGAGGATTGATATGAATTATCTCAATGTTTTCAATTGATTCGTTGAGATTAACTACAAATACTTCAACCGTCGGATTATTTCTTCCAGGCTTTGGATATCTAAGCGCCACTTCTGATGGATACTGATTACTACTCAAATTATAGTATTGTCCAAAATAAGGCCACGTAATGATGTCTACTTTGGAATCGTTAATCTTAGCGAAAACCAGATGAGAACCGTCGGGTGACACCCAAAATGCTTTCTCCATTTCCAGTATCTCTTCCTCATAAACCCAATCGCAATATCCATTATATATTAAATTTGTGGCACCGGTAGTTGTGAGCTGTATGGGTGCAGCATAAGCATATGGCTTATAGTAGAGATTATTTTTATAGACAAATATTATTTGAGTATCTCTTGGACCCCATTCTGCGTATTGGATGAGTTTATTACCAAATTGATGGTCATCTTCTGATATCAACTCTATTAATGTACTATAATTGCAATTGTTTTTCATTAAGAAATTGAATCAATAAATATATATTTTAAATTAATTTACTTATTAATAATATCATAAATACGATATTTAGATATAGTTGAGTGTCTAAATGTTTTGCTTGTATCGTATGGCGATAACAGATAATCCAAGTTCTTAGATAAGAGATCACCAGTCAGTTCCGATGACAACTATATATATATATTAAAAATTTAACTTTTAATTATTTAAATATTATGTAATTTAATAGCTTTTATTTTATTAAGACATACAACAGTCTGGTTTTGAATAAGCACTTGTTTTTGGTTTAATGTTGGCTCAAATGTACATAAATTGCTGTCTTCATCGTAAAAGATAATTTTATTGCCACTCCACGAGCCATTGAACAGTTGTGGTGACAGTACACCCAATAATATATCATTTAATGTAATGGGTTCACTGCCACCTAAATAGTCGTCAGATGTTAACGATGAGGCAAATCCTGTATTACAAAATATTTTTATATTATTAATATTTTAAGTCATTTGTTTTTATAATTAAAAATATTATTTAATGAATATTAATAATAATAATAAATTAAAATAAATATTTATTTTTGTCTCAAAAAATAAATCATACCTTTTGAATGACTTTTAGTGGTCTTATAAGTAGTAAGAAGTACTCCCAATATGACACACAAACAGATTATAAATAGTGAACAAACAACGAAATTATAAAAACTTAATTTATACCATCGATTATCTTCACGGACTAAATGCTAAAATTGAAATCAATATTAATTAATAAAATAAATCATTAATACTTATAAAACATACAAATAAAATCTCTATATTTAACAAATAATTAAACAACAGATTTTTAATTGTAATACAAGTAAATTTAAATATATAAAAACAATTTAAACGGTAAATATTATCAGTGATTACCCGAGAGTTGAGAGCATGTGACGGCCGATTGAACTGAGCAGTAGTTCGGCCGCTGTCGGCGTCCACCCGACTCATCGATAAAATTGCAATATTATTGGCGTATATGTTATCTTTAATGTCCTGTAATTCCATACTTTTATCTTTTACTTTTATCACTTTTTAATAATTATTTATTATATATATATATACTAACAATAATTTAATAATAATTTATAACTATTTTTTATTAAATATAGTTGACTTGATAATCACAAATAACATTTACATTTACTAAATACAATTTAAATATCAATTGTTGAGTAAAACCTTTTAAAAGATAATATTTAATTTCATATATATTATTCAATGGTTTTTATTTTCACTGTTATATGATTGAAAAAATTTATAAATTTAAATATAATAGTTATAGTTATAGTGATTAAGTAATTGGATCCAATTTATAGTCATTCATTATATATATAATATTTGAATGTCTTGATATCTGATACTTTTAAATACATATCTTTAATATTTTTGTCAATCGTATTATCATTTTATTAAAACTGATTAAATTGAACTTTTGGAAAATTTCAATATATTAATATATTTTTATTTAGTACTATGAAGTTTTTAACAAAATATTTATTTATTATTATTCTATAAATATTTAGATGAGATTTTTTTCATTTACATTAAAAATTCACAAAATATAACAGTAATACACAAATAAAAAGAATAGTTTTAATTTACAATCAATATTATAGAAAATAATAACAAATGTTAACAAAACTATCTAACTTTAGGAAAAATCAAATCCAAAATTGCTTTAATAAATGTTTGATAAGCACTTCCCAGTGTTTTAATAAATGATTGAGACTTTAATGGTTGTGATTAACATTACTCATAATTAGAGCACAGAATCTTTATAAACTAGAAAATTGTGTTTATTTTATATCATATTTAATATAATATAATAAATTAATTAAATTCATATATAGACAAACTTTATTACAACTTTCACATATTTTGTATATTTATAAACTACTATATATATATTGTAGTACATTACTTAAAACCCATTTAAATATCAGTAGTATCTATAGCTTAACCTACTGATTATAAATATTATATTATCAAAAATAATTGACACAATGTTTTAATTGGCAAATTAAATATATATATATATATATATATTTACATATCACTTGTATTAAAAATATGTTTGTTTTTTAATATATAATAATCATTTAGATCATATCGAAGCTGTATTGTTGTGGATATAATTGGCAGTCATTTCAATGAAAATTAACTGTAATATTGTGCTAAAAATGCAAACATATTGTTGAATACGAGGGCACACCTGTTGTATATTTTAACATTATTTGTCACTTGAAAATTATTTGAAATTTTATTATTTATTATTATGTCACACATGATATGTTACTTTTAATAACCACAATAATATAAATACTATATTACATATATAATACATAGCCAATACTCATGTCTATTATTTATTGATATAAAATAATACAATAATTTATTTTAATGCCATACAAATTGGCGCTAACTTTCACTCTCTAACAGGTTTTAATCCCTTTATCTGTCAAATCAATTACCTGTATTTTAATATGAAATCATCAATTATTACTCTATTATTCACAAAAATGTATTTATGAATTATTTTTGTATTTAACTTATTTATAAATGTTTTTCCATTTATGTTAGCTTTGTATTTAAATTGATTTTAATATTCATATAAGTTGACTGCTAAATTTGAAAGCAACTCAACAATTTTTATACAAATTTTTATACAAATTTTTTGAAAACTTTCCAAAACGTGTGGTATTGAGTGAGTGAGTGAGTGAGTGTGWGTGTGTGTGTGTGTGTGTGTGTGTGTGTGTGTGTGTTATAGTTTTTGATATAAATGCCAATTTAGGTCAAAGTTGATATACATAATCACGAAAATGAAGTTTGTCTTAATTGGAAATAATCAATAGTTTAAAAGTTCAAATTTATGGCTTTTTTATTTTATTGAAAATTAATGTAATGTCCGTCTAATGAGTATTTAAGACAAAATTGAGGTCAACTTTGATTCGGCTGTAGGTTTAGTATGTGTCCTCTTTTAGTGTAAATACCGGCTCTCACTAATCCGTATCATATTTACATTAATAACAAATTTTATTTAGGGGTGATTCACATATCACGTTCTCACTTTTTAAGAAATCTAGACCCCCGTATTATCTAAATGCGAACGTTCTTAAAGTTTCTACCCCCTCGTTCGCAAAAGTTCGATTTGGCTAACCCCCTCCTTCAAGTGCGAAAGTAATATGTGAACCACCCCTTATTTAAAAAATTGATGTTTTATAAATCTTAATATATCAATTGTTGAAAACTTTCATCTAAATAATATTAATCAATGATTACAAATTACTAAATGATTTATTTAAACTTTACTTTTATTATAGATTTTTGATAAATTAATGGATAATAAGCTTTACCCAATACAGTATAACCGTATTAACCCCCAGTGTCTGTTCTACCCTAAGGTATGGGATACACCTCTCCCGCTGATCAGTGGTGGCATTGGGAGGTAACCGGTCCCTTATAGCCACTTAATTGAAGATATATAATATTTAAGTTTAGATAAATTAGTATTGTACCAATATACATTATACAATACAATATAAAATTTAAAGATTCGCTTTAAGTTTGTAAATAAAGTCTAATTTATAAATATTAATATATAGAGTAGTGATTGTGAAATCATGACATCGTTTAAAATTATTTTTAAAATTAATTTATAACAAATATTATTACAAATTTACAAATATTATTCTATTACTTATTATTGATTTATTTATTCATTATTTTAATTAATTTTAAAATATAATATGAATATTGATAAAAATACAATAAATTAATCATATAATTTATTAATTTTGATAATAAAGTTCAAAATTTTATAAAAAGTAATTTCTATACTAAATCATTTAGTAGACAAACAAATTAATATGCAATTTATTGATATATAATTAATGAATAAGTTTAAATACAATTATAAATTCAATTATAATTATGATTGAATATAATGTTTTGTATATAATATACAACAACTCATAACTGATGCGACCTTAATATAAGTCTTAAATTATGTCATACAGTATAACATCTGAATAAACCTTGAGTTATAATACTAGTTATCATACATTTCTTAAATCTCTCTCTCTCTCTCTCTCTCTCTCTCTCTCTCTCTCTCTGCGCACACTTTCCTCGAAATACCACTTTTTCAAATAATATTTGTAAAGAAAAGTGAAATTAAATAACTTTATTTGTTTAAATCAATGTTTGTTTCATCCCAACCACTGAAAAATCACTGTCTATTATACAATTCAATGTTAAATTTATTATTGCTAAACATAGCATTTAATAATTAAAATAATTACTGTATATTATAATTAAAAAAATTATTTGATGTGTTGTTTCAACTGTAATACCAGTTTTGTATTATAATACAAATAGTTGGTTAACAGTTCACTTATATATTATATTATGTATTTCCTTTATGTCTTATAAAAGTTATCTTATTATTAAATAATTAAACAGTTATTTAATAAAACTGATACTAAAGTCACTATTATTTATAATGTCGTGAATATAACTAAACTCAACATTTAAAATTTGTAACTATTTTTAAAATTATATTATTTAACAAAAATGTGCAACATTTACTTATATATAAAAATAATTTATCTTTCCATTATTATAATAGGCAAGTCTATAAATCTAAAAATGTAAATTTATATATTAATTATGAATTTTAGAGAAAAAAATTAATTAATTAAAATAAATGATTATTTAGTTTAATTATTTAGTTATTTAAAATAATATAAGTTTAAGAAAAGTAATGTAAAATAATTTGTTAGATTTTTAATAAAACTTTTTTAAATATATAGTCAATTGTCAAACACCCGACTTGTCAGACACACCTCAAGAGGAAATAAGAGTATTTAGTGGTGACATTGCATTCATTGATTGCGTTGTAAGAAACGGTAGTTTACATACAGTTTTGTGGAAATATTATGAGAACAGCAAAAGTGATGCCAAGTTATTGTCAGCTAATAAAGTAATAATTAGTGACGAAAAGCGGTATTCTGTTATACATAATGAAGGTTTGTAACAATTATTTATATTTAATAAATTATAAATTTTAATTACTTAAAAAAATTATTGATAAACTATTTTATGTAGATATGGACCGATGGGTATTGCAAATAAACTTAACAAAACCAACCGATTCGGGTCTATATGTATGTGAAGTGAATTCTGTGCCAAAACAGTCAGTTACTCGTGTTTTGTCAGTTAGTTATCCTAAAACATTACAATCTGTGTTAAAAACAAATGTTACGGTAATTTCCGATGATTTTGATCACAACTTTACCGAATGTTGCGCTAAGGAAGGCATACCATCGGTTTGTAACGATTTTTGTCATTTGAAGGGATTATTGAATCAAACGCCGAGAGCACACATATTTGCCATATGCTATGCGCACATGTCATCAATAGTCAAGTGTTTGACCGACGGTCGCAATCATATGCCATGTTGTGAGCGCCAGAATATTCCGCGCATATGTCTCGGTTCGTGTGCCGGCAAATACAGTCTGACCACTGCTCTCGAGCACATCACTTGCTTAGACTACGCGACGCCAACTCTTTCATGTATAGCTGAAGGCATGCAAATATTGCCGCCGCCGCCCAGGGATGTCATAGTTGAGGTCACCAGTCCGTCACAAGTAAGTTGTTTATAGACATTCATAAAATGTAAATAAAATTTAATATATATATAATATAAAATAATAACCCATAAGTTTTTTTTAACATAATTATGACTTATCTTATGTAGATTTTAGTCAAATGGGAACAAAACCCGGTTAAGAGTCATTCATTGATAGATAACTATGAACTAAATATCACTGAATTGCATTCATTTGATCCAAAAACGTGGTCATTGAATAAATCCAGTAAATATAGTCCTCCCATAACTCGCAGCGAAATATCAGAAAACATGAAGAAATTGCATAAATTGGATAATAAAGTGAATACTTATATAATATATACAAATCAAACACAATTTACAATCAATGGTCTTAAAGAGGCGACAATGTATGAAATTGAAATGAAATCAATCAACAAATATGGCACAAGTGTTACATCCAATGGTATTCGTGTCATAACAGAGTCACATATACCGCACCATAGCTTGGAAAAGGATTCAAAGAAACCGATCTCTTCTCTGAAATTCAACAAAACTGCATCTTTTGCACCAAATCTTAGAAAGTGTTGCTCTGATAGTGGCGTTAAATCCGATTTTTGTTTGAATACGTTATGCGATCCGACAAATGCTGAAGAGGCCACTGTCGGTGATATTAGTTTCTGTGCCCAATACGCTAATATCACTTTCAAATGTTTATCACCCGATCATGACGTCACGTAAGTTATAATTTTCAAGTTTTAGTTTTATAAAATTAATGTTCATTTTATTTTTTTAAATATAACATTTGAATCAAATGACTAATAATTTACATATAGTAATTATACAGCAAATTACAGTATAAGTTATCATAGTTATTGAATTATGTAAATTACTTATTAAATCATTAATTATTTATTATATATTGTATATAATTAATAATTCATATTTTAGCTGAAATATACTATATTTATATGTAATTAATTTAAAATGCAAATTAAATGACAACTTATTATACAATTTTTTATGTTTCCTTAAATTATTTATATTTATAGAATTATAATTTATAATACATTAATTACCTGTTAATAATTAAGTTATATTTATTATATTTTATTTCGGTATAAAATATAGAAATTGTTGTGAAGAGCGGGGAGTTTCGCAATTTTGTCAACACCTATGTAGCGGACAATTAGTTAAAACAGATTTCCGACATTTTATATGTCTTCACTATATTCCTGCTTTCTCTTCGTGTATATTGGAGTCAAAAGGTCTGTTGACAAGTGAACCGCGAAATGTTGTCATTGCGAGCAAACACCAGGACTGGGCACTTATCAAATGGTCGCCACCATTGAAACTATCAGAAACAGTACTTAAATATCACGTCCACATCCGTGAATTAGATCCAGAGATCGATGAGGGATATTCTGTAGAACCGACTCTTAGATCTCCATATCTAATCGATGGACTAAAACCGGGTATTAAATATGAAATTTATTTAACGGCAATCAATAAGTTCGGTATGAGTCGCGGTTCGTCTCGAATAATCTTTAAGACGAAGGAACCGGAATCTAATGAAGACATTGAGTTACAACAGTCGGACTCGAGTGTTGGCTATAATGAGACGGCATGTTGTCAGCGGGCAGTTATACCTGATATATGTTTGCCGTTATGTAGTTATCATTTGAAGATCAATGACGGCTTACAGTTGGGTGCGTTATGCGCTGATCACAGAACTATTAGAACAATGGTTCGGTGTTTAGCCGGTGGTCGCGACCACAGACCTTGTTGTGAGCGAAGAGGTGTTTCCAATGAATGTCTTGATGTATGTATTGGAACAATAAATCAATCACCACTTGCTATTGGTGTCAAGTGCTCTAAATATAGCGGACGTATATTGCAGTGTATGGTTGAAGGCGCCGACTCTTTGCCCGGTATTCCCGAAAACTTTCACTCAACTTTGGTCACCAAAACATCCATACACTTGCAATGGAACGCCTCTAAGACTGACATTAGATCGGGTCTGAAGCATATGACTTACCAAATAAGATATTCATTCATTGACTCAGAAATACCTCCTCATCCTTATGATGACAACTATTCCATACGAATCAACGTTAGTGACACCAAATTAGTGTTGACTGATCTAAAACCCGACACTCGATATAGTATTTATGTGGTGGCTGTCAATCCTTATGGTTATTCAATGCCGTCTTTAGTATTGTTGGTTACAACTCAAAGAGACAATGAAGACGAACGCCAAGAGATCATTCGTTCTCAATTAGGTCCACCCCATGGCATACAAGTTATCCAACAGACCACTGAATCCTTATCTTTTAAGTGGTTACCACCATATTATATACCACCAGATGCTTCGCTAATATATGAAGTCTACTTTAAAAGAGTGACCAACGAATCGAGTGGACAACAGTCCGCTTGGAATATAACCGATACTTTCGCTAATATTATAGATATAAATGATCTCAATTACAACACTCAATATGCACTGGCAGTCAAAGCTAAAACAGACACCGGAAAGAAAAGTGTATTATCGGAAACAGTGTTGGCCTGGACTGACCCATCAACACCTTTAAAATTAAGTTCACCAAAATTGGAACCGTTAGGTCCAGTCATTGAGGGCGAAATGTTGACTGTCAAGTGTGATGCCAGTGGTAATCCCATTCCTACCATAAGTGTCTTTGTTAATGGAGTGTTAGCTAAAAGCGAAGAAACTCGACATTTAATATATAAATTAGATTACGTTCAAAGAAATCTAACCTCAATCTCATGTCAGGCCACTAATGCTGAGACTCTTAATAATAATTCAATATTTCCGTCACAAAGTCATCTCGAAGTGAGAGTCAGATGTAAGTATTTGTTAAGTTTTGCTGTCTTATCACTAATGGTTAACATCTTTTCAGTCGCACCTACTATTAAAATCAATCGTCAGCCAAGTGTTGCAGCAAAATATGGATCAGCTCAGCTTAAATGTCAATACTCTGGTAATCCACAGCCAAAAATCCAATTCTTTAGAGATCTCAGAAACAAATCCGAACTCAAGAGTAATCTTAACACACAAATCAAAATTATTCCCCACTCAACGGTATTTATTAAATTGGTTTTAATATTATATTTATCAAAATTGATTTGCTATTAAATGACTAGAAATCATCGACATGGGTTGCAACTGTCACCATCAATAGGGTCACTGAATCAGATGCCGGTCAATATATATGCATTGCAACCAATGAATATGGGAGAGAAACGGCTGTTATTAATCTTAAAGTTGAATCACATATGTCATCAAATCGTAGCACATATTGTAAGTCTATATATTTCTTTAATTGTATGCAATTAACTAGTTTTGTATCAATCAAACAATCACTTGACAGCCTGTTGTCAAAATGAAGGAGTGCCTGAAATATGTCTACCGGTTTGCAAACAGGAGATTGACTTTAATATGCTATTTAATAGACCCCAATGTTTCAGTGAACTAAACAAATTCATGTTTTGCGCGGCCGGTAATTACCATTATTTCAACATTTTATGAATTCATTTTGAAATAAAATTCATATTTTCATTTAAACAGATGGTAGCGATCATCGGGACTGTTGTCTTCGTAGAGATGTTTCACGTGATTGTCTTCATTGGTGCGCTGGTTATAAAGTCAGTAAACCATCGCTATGTTTATTATCATCTGTTAGAGACATCTTAAGTTGTTTTAAAGAAGGCAATGCTTTGTTACCATCAATGCCTCTCAATGTCAGAGTTGGTGAGCTATTGTCGGATAATAAAGTTGTTATCAGTTGGGAAAAACCTGCCAAAAACTCTGAAGCGGTTCAGTGGTATAATGTTTATTGGAAAAGAGTCGGCTCTAAGGACTTAGATTCAGACCGAACCGATCAACTCGGATATGAATTACATAACTTAGATCCGCACCAAACTTATGAGTTTTTAGTAAAGAGTTCCAACTATTATGGCACCAGTGCTTTAGCAGATCCTCTCGTCATTAATATAAGACAGATTGAGATGGAAAATGAAGATTTTAATAGATCGGTACTAAAGATATTGTTATTTTCTATTATCGTAATGATTATTATGGTTGTAATGGGAGTAATAGGATATTATGCATTCAAACGAACTAATTTGTTAAATAAATTCCGATCTAATGATCCGGGATTTGGTGTGTCGTTCGCTAATCAGGGATATGTTAACGATAGCCTTCAAATGCAAGACAACACATATAGAGACTCTAATAATAACGAGAGGCCTACTGTTGAAATCAGAATGAATTAATATTTAATTAATGTTTATATATATTTCTAATTTATATATAATGTACATAATTGTTAATAAACTTTTTAAAATTGTTATTTTTTAAAAATAAAAGTTATTTAATTTTAGTAAATAAAATTTTTTAAAATGTTAAATTGAAAATCATTTTCAACTAATTTACTGTATAATAACAGTTGTTATGATTGGATTTAGTAAAAATTTAACTCTTGATTTTTTAAATGAGCGATTTTAACATTTATGATCTAATTCCTAATTATGCGTTAATTATAGACAAAAATAAATATTTTGCAGTTATGTGTCCCTAAAATTTATAAAAATTTCATTCAATGCCATAATTTTGCTTAATTTTGTTGAGCAACGCATCACATGTTTTCTTGGCGTCGCCTAAAAGCATAGATGTGTTGGGATTAAAAAATATTGGATTATCCACAGCTGCGTATCCAACACCAAGACTTCGTTTCATAACAATTACCTAAAAAATAATAATATTTTACTAATTTATTTATCATAAATGCATTCATTAATTACTTGTTTGGATTTCCAAACTTTAAGAACAGGCATTCCAGCAATTATAGAGTTGGGATCGTCTTCTGCGGCAGAATTAACCGTATCATTGGCACCGATCACTAATGTCAGATCAGTGTCGGAAAAATCGTCATTTATTTCGTCCATTTCAAGCACCTGATCATAGGGTACTCCGGCCTCAGCGAGCAATACATTAAGTTGTCCCGGCATACGACCGGCCACTGGATGAATACCAAAGCGAACATTTTTACCCTTTTCTTTCAATATCTTAACCATTTCTGCTAACGGATATTGAGCTTTGGCTACACATAGGCCATAGCCGGGGGTAATAATAATATTTTTGGCCTCACATATAGATTCGACGCTCGTGTCTACATTCCATTCGGTATGAGTTCCGGTTATTTCTTTAGCCGGTCCGGAGGCTGTTTGGCCAAAACCACCGAGTATTACGTTAGGCAACGAACGGTTCATTGCCTAAAATACAAATTAAATAATTAAATAATCAAATATATCATTATAACAACAAAATAACCTTGCACATAATATATGATAGAATGGCACCACTGGAACCAATAAGTGCGCCAACAATTGTCATCAGATTGTTATTCAACATAAAACCTTCGGCACAAAGAGCCCATCCGGAGTAACTGTTTAATACAGTTATAACAACTGGCATATCTGCACCACCGATAGCAGATGTCAGAGTAACGCCCATTATTGTAGATAAAGCAGCCGTTGCTCCCAATGATGATAGTCCAGCCATTTGGCTCGGGTCCATGAGATAGTAGGCACCGGCACCAACTGTTCCCAACATAAGTGCCGAGTTTATAGCGTGTCTTCCCGGAAGTAAAAGTGGAGCAGAACTGAGTAGTCCTTGAAGTTTACCATAACTATAAAGTTTAAACATTTTTATAAGTTTTCATTAAAAATTCATTAAAAGAACTAACGCAATGAGAGATCCACTGAAAGTGACTCCACCGATATAAGTGCCTAAAAATAAAGCAGTTTTAATAGTCATTGCCGCCGGATCTGTTGCAAATGTCGGGAAATCGTGAATATATGTCGCAAAACATGTCAATACGGCCGCCAAACCAACCAATGAATGAAAAGCAGCGACCAATTGAGGTAAATCAGTTATTTCAATTTTCTTGGCAATCCCTAAACCTAAAGCTCCCCCACCCGTCATACACGCGGCGATTTGAATGGCTAACTCAGGAGTTATGTCCATTAGACCCAATGTTGCGATCAAACCCGATGAGACACCAATCATTCCCAATGCATTTCCTAAACGCGATGTCTTTTGTGACGAAAGTCCAGCTAAAGCACCGACACAGCACAGGGATGCACCCAAATATGTCATTTGATGAATATGGGGTAAGCCATTAATTGCGGCCAAGGCATAGCCTCCAGTAAATACAGTGGCAGGAATGGCATATAAATAATTGTATTCCGGCGGATCAGTTGGCCTTTTAAACATATCTAACATTCTTTTGGTAACCAGAAAACCACCGGCAATATTGATAGTTGAAATGGTTAGAGCAGTGGCACCTAACGCTTGAGGCAAATTAGTTGGCACAACTCCGCCGCCCATCAATAATAGTCCACCGACTGCTGTAATACCAGAAATAGCGTTTGTCACAGACATTAGTGGTGAGTGAAGAGCTGGTGTTACGCCCCAAACAGTGTGATAACCAACAATACCCGAGAGACCCAAAGTTGTGGTCATTGTTGTAAATGCGGCGTTTGGCGCAACAACACCCAAACCGGTTAGTGTACCTAAAATGAAAAACTCAATTATATATTGTATAAAATACAATATAAATCTTATAAATAAAATGTAAACCTAATCCTCCGGTATATAAAAGAGCGTCTTTTAAAGTGGCCTTAAAGTAATCGGCGGGAAGTAATTCTTTTGGAGGCGCTTTAGCCAGTTTTGTATCTTTTGGTTGTGCAATCACTGGACCTACCTTAGGTGGTGGCGGTGGCCATAAAAGTTGACCATCTTTTAGGATAATAGAGCCGCGAACCACTTCATCCTCTAAATCTACATAATAACTGTCTTTATCATTCATTGACAACAAAAGTTTTGATACATTGTTAGCATAAAGTGTTGACGACTGAGTTGGCAATCGTGACGGTAGATCTGTTAGTCCAATATGAACAACATCTTTATATGAGTAAATTTCTCCCGGTTTTATGGTCTCTATATTTCCTCCTAAACATTATAAAAACAATATTTTCATAATTGATTTGAAAAATTAACAAAATATTTTTACAGTCATATCATTACCGGTTTCAGCGGCGAGATCTACGACAACAGATCCCGGTTTCATAGATTCAATCATTTTTCTTGTTATAAGAATCGGAGCCTTTTTTCCGGGAATAAGAGCAGTAGTGATAACAATATCCACTTCTTCACATTGTTTGGCAAATAATTTCATTTCTGCTTCAATGAACTCTTTTGACATTTCTTTAGCATAACCACCGATTCCTTCACCAGACTCTTTGAAGTCAACCTCTAAGAATTCGGCGCCCAATGACTCGATCTGTTCCTTAACAGCAGCTCTCGTATCAAAACCACGAACAATGGCTCCCATATTCTTAGCCGTACCAATAGCCGACAAACCGGCGACACCGCCGCCAATAACTAACACTTTAGCCGGTGGTACCTTACCAGCGGCAGTGATCTGTCCAGTAAAGAAACGGCCGAAATGATTGGCCGCTTCAATGACCGCTTTGTAACCGGCAATGTTGGCCATCGATGAGAGCGCATCAAATACCTGTGCCCTCGAGATTCTGGGCACACAATCCATGGCAAACACATTCATTTGTTTTGCAGACATTGCATCAATTAGTGGCTTATTCTGAGCCGGATATATGAAACTAATTAAAGTCGAGTTATTACGAAATGAAGTCAATTCGTCAGCAACGGGTTGTCGCACTTTGAGGATTATGTCCGATTCAAATACCGATTTTCGGTCCACAATCTTTGCACCGACCGATTCATAATCATTATTCAAGAACTTTGCCCCTAAGCCGGCATTGGTCTCCACTTTGACTGTCACTCCCTTTTTGATGAGTGTCTGTACGGCTGCCGGGGATAAGGCAACCCTTCTTTCATTATTCCAGATCTCTTTAGGCACTCCTATCGTCAGATTCTTGTAAGGAATTGAACCCAACTTTGGTTCAGCTTTTGGTGTATTCGCCGCTTTGCTTGAAGACCACCGATTCAATGATGGACTGAGATTTGTCGTCAAAAGTAACTTATAGGATGTCGTTATCTTCGACAATGAAGACAATGGGGTCGACGCCACCGATGATTTCAATAATAAATATACCATTTTATGTCTGATTTCTTCAAATTATCACCGATTATGACTAATCTTGTAATTATCAGATCATTGGTTACATTCAATGCTAACAAAATTAAAATATATTTTCAATAATACTATTCAAACATTTATCACATTTGTATTAATATTCATATAACATATTGCAAATAAACTTTAAATTTTCAAAATATATTTGTATTATTATTAATAATTAGACAAAAATATATCATTTATTTTTTTTTATATCTCTTGACATTGAATTAGTGTCTAACCATTTTATATTAAATAAATTAATTAATAAGATATATAGTATATAATATATATGATATATATATTGTAAATAATGAATTAATTCATTTCAATCTTCAAAACTACACGTTTTGTATTTATAACACAAGAAAATATGTAATTCACAAGTGTTTTAGATATCAATTGTTAAGCAATCAGTAATCAAATCAAAATATTGTTGAGTAATATGAAACCAATATATTCAACATATGATATAGTTTTCAATTATAATACATTCAAAATCTAATGCTAACAAATAATATAATACAAGTATATTATTAAACAATTATCGCAAACTTTATAATAATTTACTATTTAATTAAATAAGTTTTAAAGCAATAATAGATGAGATAATTTTGATACATATTAATGAATATGTGTTAAAACAATTAAATTATTTGTAATCAAGTGTTCAAAATATAACTTTAAAACCACTGTCTGGTTAGCAGTTAATGAGATATCACTTAAATGTAATAATTTTAACGATTATAAGCATAAAATCATCTCTAGTTTTGGCACCAAAACTACTGATGCCTTATGACTACATAGACGTCAGTTTAGGTAACAAAACATTTCAATTATTTTTAAAAACTTATTTTAAAGTCAAAGAGTGAACCAATTATCAAATATGACATTAAAAAAGTGAATCAAATTTGAATACCAGTTAATGTAGTCATATATTTGATGTCAATCTCCACATCATATCATATAATATGTTTGAAATCAATACTGTTTTGCAGTCAATTGTTTTTCTTTCAATTGTCACTGATGTTAGTCTTTAACCATTTAATTGTTTGAATCAATTGTTTGTATAATTAATAAATACTTTTTTCTCTCTAAAAATCATAAATACATTCAATTAATAATTCAATTGAATAGATAGTGAACTCAATTTGTGTTGATTATTGTTTGTCTGTTTTGTTAGACATGCGCTCAACCAATACAACCACTACTTGACAACAATTATTACATTATTATAGAGTCTAATACAGTGAACATTTTTGGAATCAACTCGGAATAAAAAATAATAATTCCTTTCAAATACAATGTTTTATAATATTTGTTGTTAAATAGAAATAAATATGATAACGTAGTTTAAGAGTGACCTAATAAGAATACACTATTAATGCTATGCACACACTTAGACCGTAAAGACCTATAATGAATGGAATGATTGTCTAATGCTATGCACACACTTAGACCGTAAAGACCTATAATGAATGAAATGATTGTCAAACTATTTGTATTTTGTTTAATAACATTTGTTGTCATAGTAACACAAAATATATATATAATTCATATTAAAAAGCCCCGAGTCTTCGCTAGATCATAAGGACTGTATAGACCGGCGAAAACCTATACTATCCATCAATTATGTATATATACAGTACAGGTATGAAAATATTAAATTAATTTAAATTAATTTAACTAAATTTTATTCTACAGTATAACTAAACTTAATATAATAATTCCATATTTAAAATCTTTTTATTATAACTTAAATATTATGTATAATTAATTAATTATAAATTTATATACAGTAGTATTATTTGTGCAAAGTTTTCTTAAATATATTATACATAATATATAATAGTAACAAAATAGGCGGAACTAGTTTTTTTTGGCTATAACTTGTTTATTTAAAGAAATATTTAAAATATTTTTTAATTGCAACTATGGTTTTCTAACACCAATACAATGATATTACCATTTCAATTTTGTATTCAATATTACCATTGATCTAGCTCATTTTGCACAAAAACTATTTAATATAACAAGAAATGCTCAAATACGTGTCTAATTATTTTTTATTAAGTATAACTTAGAATTGACAAAATTTTAATATCTCCTATAGTTTCTGAGATATCGTACCTCCCTGAGCTAGCATACCGATACCAATATAAAATTGAAATGGTAATATCACTGTATTGGTGCCAGAAAACAATAGTTGCAATTAAAAAATATTTTTAAAATATCTTTAAATTAAGAAGTTATAACCAAAAAAAAAAAACTAGTTCTGCCTATTTTGTCACTGATTTATAAATTAAATAATTTCGATTAAATTAAATAATCATTACTAAAATATGTTACAAAATAACATTGTATTGTTTATAATTTTGATTTCAATTTTTGAAATATTTCTATAAATTATAGTCTTTAATAAAATTATAAGAATTCAAAGTTTTGTTGGTATTGGTGTGTAGTATACTATACTGTAGTATTGATCAATATTTAATGATATTTAATGATTATAATGTCATATTTGAAAAAAATATTCAATAATAATAATAATAATAATTAGACGACAGTTGAATCTGAAGATGATTTGATTGAAGTCTTTTGAGAGAGTGATGTGTATTGTGTTGAACCATATATTAATTTTTTCATTTTATTTATTGTTTGTAAATCTAATTGTTTGCCATAATTATAATGTTTATCTTTAAAATCGTAACTTTTACTGTAATTAAATATAGAGTCGTGTAGACTATGATAATCATTATTGTAATGATTATTATTTGAGTTTAAATGAGGCATTGATTTGGACTTATTTTTGTCAGACATAAACTTCTTCATTGATAACATTGTCGACACATCTTTTCCCAGTTGTCTTAATCGTCCAAATTTTATAGGAATTGTTTCTAATATAATATATAATAGATTTTACAATTATTTTGATTTTTATAAAAATTACAACAAAACCATAAAATAAAAATAAATAATTTTTATTATAATTTATTTAGAATTTATATATTAATTCGTATTTTTAAAAAATATTATTACAAATATTTATTACTGTAAACATATTTTCATTTCTATTATTAAGTTGTATAGTATAAATGGCAATAATTTATTATAATACAGTATATTATAATGTCTTTAATTAATATAAGTATTATTCAATACAATAAGTTATACTCTATATTACTATTTAAATTTTATATTAATTTTTACTAACCTTTAGTTTCGCTGAAATCACTTTTATTAAATTTTTGCATTGTTTTATAAATTATAAAAAATTTTACTTAATAATTGTCAACTTATAACTGTAGTATACAATTTTTATCCAACTTATAAATATGATAAATATGATATACAATATTCTTTATATATATATATATATATTTATATATTTATTTATTTAATATGCAAAATTTTAATTAGATATTATTAATATATTTTTATAAATCTCTAAATTAATTAAAAATAATATTTATAACATAAAACAAAACGAATATATAATATTTCACATTTTTAAAAATTAATTAATGATATTATTGACGACTTTTGTGACAACTATAAATTGGTAATATTTATTATATACGTAAATAACCATTATTAACTTTTTAATTTAGAAACCCAAGTATATTAACTAATAAATTCAAATTAATTAATGTTTTATATTATAATTATGATAATATAAATTTATATCTTAAATATAATTTTAAAGTGATTCGCATATTAAGTGAACTATAAAACATGTCATTTGACAGTATGATATATAGTGTATATAGTATATAGTATATATATATATATATCTAATAAAATATATTTGTAAACATAATTTTGAAAATGTTAAAATGACATTATTATCTATAATAAATTAAAGTGCTCTATTGATTAGCCAAATTGGTTGTGGCACAGGTATGCACCGTATTGTACTGTATATGGTATACATGTCATAAAACAGTAGTACTTTAGTAGAATTAAACCTATAAATTATTTAAATTAAACGATTTTAAGCTATAGTATATTAATTAAAATGAATATAATAAAATAAAAAATTAGTTATTTATTTAAATTAAACTGGACTTCAATAATAATAATATAAAATATAAAATATAGAAATTATATAAAACATTAATTTGTTTAAATATTGTGAATTGTTATTACAAAAATAATGAAATAAAAGCTCTTAAATAAATAATAATAATATAGTCATAATTCAGTAATGATTTGTATTTTTCTAACAAAATAAGTCAATAGTTGTTAAAATAAAATTATATTTTAGCCAATCGTCCATCTTTTGCATCACTAACAGCACCCCACAAATCAAATATGAAGTCATCGGTAAATGAAAACTCTCGCAAATCCGACTCATCGATGGCCACAACAAAGTCGTGAGGATTAGCCTTGTGTTGACCTAATTCCCAGATTTCATTGGCCAAGTCGTTGTCATTGATACCCATAAATGACTCTAAGAGTTGGTTAATGCGATCCAAAGCCGCGCGAATCACTTCAGTTGGCATCGACTCGACGACCGGCGGACCCTTTTTCCTGATCCTAAGCGTCTCTTTTCCCGAACCGTAAGACATCGATGGCGACGACTTACGTGAGTCACTGCGTGGACCTATACTTTCTGTTTTAGTATTGAATTTGTTTAATAATTAATAATTATGTAAATTTAATTTTTTTAAAAATTGAAACCAACGGAAACTATTTCTAAACGGCTCGACTAATCGCAATATAAATGTCGTTCCCCGAGGTATGTCCTTAAGTGTTTTGGCCACTTCAAAGTGTCGTTTCCCAACCATGCTTTCGTTATCAATTTTCTCGATATGATCACCTGCCTATAATTAAATAAATTTTTGTTGTGTAATAAAATTATTAACATTATTGTAAATTATTTGCAAACCTTAATAAACTGTATAATATGTGCAGCACTTCCTTCTTTGACTTTTTTGATGAATGAATATCCGTTTCCGTTATCAGTGATGGTTAGACCCAAGTATTCCTCATTTTTAGTGATTTCAACTTCTTTTCTTTGACCCTTTCTATGAATAAAAATGAAGTCATCTAAACCTATCTGTCCCCCTAACAGTCTGTCCATATCAACTTTATGTGTGTTTAATGTACAATAAAGAATCTGTTAAAATATCAATTAATTTTAATCAATTATTAATAAGTTATCTTAATATAATAAAGAAATTTTAAAGCATATAATCTATATTTTAAATAATAATTAATGTTCAATTAATTTAATTTAAACATTCACTAATTGATGAAAAGTACTACAAATTGTATGGTTAAATCGTAAACTATTTAAAAGTTCATTTAACTAAAAACCAGGAAATATTATTATTGTTAACAATATCGTTATCATTATTATTAATTTCAATTATAATATTATTGTATAATACTTTATAACCAGTCAAGCAATGGCCAGCATTACATCCGTTTAAATGTTATTGAATACACTATTTTATACTAAAGTGTATTTTTTAATAGAATTTTTGTATATATGACTTAACATTGATAATAGTATAAGAATATGATATATTGTAATATATGATTGAAAAGTAGAATAAAATAAAATAAGTTAACAAAACTGTTCAAAAAATTTCATTTAATTTGGCTTTTATTTGAAGTTCATAAAATTTTATGTCAATTAATTTATTATACTGTTAAGTAACCAAATAATTTTGCTATGATATTTATAATGGTATAATATTTATTTACCAAACTTGCTTTAAATTTTTTTGATATACATATTTGATAGATAATAGCACAACGTTCTTATATTATTGTACTAATAATATATCACTAAAACAAATAATTAATAATTTATTCAATTATATGCTACAGAAAAAATTAGATTAATAATTCAATTTTTTCGACTAATAATTATTTAAATCCCTGTATTTTAATTTGTCAATATACCGGTAGATATATTATGTATTATATTTAAGATATAATAATCAATTTACCTTATTATACTGATATGATATCAACTTGTGGTCAATTACATTATATACATAATGTATTGAAGATATTATTAATTTATTAACTCTAATATTACTAACTATAACTAAATATAACAGTAGAATTAATAAATTAATCATATATTCAATATGTATATTATGTAATTAACCACAACTTGATATCATATGAGTATAATAATTGATTATTATATCTAATGAAAGATGATACAGTAGATTATTTGTATTTAATAATCTGAATTACTTAATATATAATATTTATCAAATAAATTTAATTTCTTTTGGTAGTTATTTTAAAATTATAATATTTATGATATAGATATAAATAAATATTGAAGTAAATAAAAATATATTTAATTTTTTGAGACATTTCAGTGCCTATAAATAGGTAAATTAACTTTTTTTAATGTAATGTAATGGATAACAATCTTCTTATTTTAATGTTTACACTCTTGAAATAATTTTTTTTTAATATAATTACATGTTTAATATATTTTTTAAAAATAAAAATGATTGTTATACAAGTAAATATCTAACTAAATATTAGCAATATTTGCAAATCGCAGCAAAATTTTTATTTATATAAAAAACACTACAATTTAAATACCGTACAATTGTATTATAATATATCTGTATATTTTATTTTTATGATTTGAACGCTTCAATAGTTTAAAGTGTTATATAATTGATACACTGTTTACTATTCAAAATATATACAACAATCATTTTAATCATTCAATCGTTGGTTACTAAATAACATTATTTACAGTACATTTAAAATATAAGCTAATTTTAAAAAGTAAATAATTTATTGTTATTATAAATTATTGTCTAATTTTTGTTACCTATTATTAAACGCCCAAACAATTGAAAGTTTAGAAAAACAACAGTAAAAAACAACATCTAAAATATAGATTATATACACTGTATATATATATTAGATTGGTAGAAAAGAAATTAGCCTCGGTAGCTTAAGACAATTTTATTCAAATTTTTTTCAAATATTATTTAAATATAGTCTCCGTTAGCCCTTATGACACGTTTCATACGGTCGACCCACTTCTCATAGACCCCGCGCCAGTCGGCTGGACTTAGGTCTCCCAAAAATGACTCAATAGCGATGTCAATCTCAATTTCGCTATTAAATACCGTTCCTCTCAGGTGTTTCTTGAGGTTTTTGAAAAGCCAAAAATGAGCCGGAGCCAGATCAGGACTGTACGGTGGGTGTGCCAGAAGTCGAATACCATTGTCTTTGAGATACTTGGTTGTTACCAATGCTTTGTGAGGACGGGCATTATCGTGATGCAAAAAAAAATACCAGTTAGTCCCGACTTCGGGCGGTCCTCACAAACAGATTCAAAGACTTGAGGCAAACATTTCTTCACATACCAGTCGGCGGTAACCTTCTCTCCCTTTCCTAACTTAACGATTTTCACAATACCGGTTGAGCGAAAAAAAATGGCGTACATTATCTTTTTTACATGCACTTCACGTTTGGCTAACTTCGGGATCTCTTCATCTTCTATGACCCATAACTTTGCTTCTTTATTGTTTAAATTGTCATAAAAGTACACATATGTTTCATCACCAGTCACTAATCGATAAATAAAGTGATCTCCGCCATCCGAAAATATCTTTAGGTTTTCCCGGCAGATCTTAACACGAGTGGCCATTTGGTCGGCTGACAGCACGTGGGGTACCCATTTGACACAAACATGTCTTGCATTAAGATAATTGTGTAGAATATGATGGACTCTCTCGGTTGAAATATTCAATGTATATGCCATCTGTATTAGTGTCATTCGTGGATCTACTTGAAGTAGTTCCCGAATTCTGGCCACATTTTCATCGGTGGTCACTTCCGAGGTCGACCTGACTTCGGCATGTCCTCAAGTGATGTACGACCAAATTTGAACTCTCGATACCAATGCGTTACTGTAGAGTAAATAACAGTATTTGATCCCAATGTGTCATTAATTTCATCTGTCGCCTCCTGTGCCGTCAGCGCGCGCCGATAACAATAGGCAATTATTGCCCGAAAATCACGAGAAGCAAAATTTATGGTTTTCATAGACATTGAACACTTTAAGAAGTCACCAAAACTGAACCAAATGAGCAAATGTTGTGAAAATTTTTATTTATGACTAAAAATAAGTGTACTTTTGTTTAATAATAAAAGTTTTGTCATAATTTACAGTTTTGATGCTTATAATAATTATATACCTACTATCCTAATATATACACTGTATTAATACATATATTTTATGCATGCAATCAATAATCTAAATCACTGTTCATAAAATATAACTATAAATTATTATTATCATTATTATAAATATCATGAATTATGTTACATGTTAACAAACTACATGTAAGTAAATACTGTATTACTATAACTATAAAAAATTAAAGATTTATATAAATTTTGTCTTTAAGTAAATAACAAAAATAGTAATTTTATTATTATTTCAAGTTTTATATTTTAAAGATTTATTTACTTAGTTAATTGTTGTCTATATTTCATAAATATTAATTATATAGAGAACAAAGTTAGAAGGCATTGAAGTTATTAATGATTTGAATTAAAATAATTAATGTAAATAATATGATATTCATTTGATATGATAATGTTTTTTCTTAAAATTTTGAAATATTTATTAGAGTTTAATTACTTGGTATACATTAATAAACTCAAAAATTAATGTTTAATATAATTTATCTTTATTATAATTGGTAATTAAAAACTTATACTTTTAAATAATAAAAATATAGAAATTTAATAATTAAGCTATTTATATAACAAAGTAAATAGTAAAATAAATTGTAGTCAACACATAAATCAGATAAATTATGCTGATATTAAATGTAATATTTATGACAATATATCAGCAGATTATTAAAATAAAATAAATTTGTATATAATGATTAGACAATATTAGATTCCTTAAATTTTATTAATTTATTATTATACCATAAAATAAGTAATGATAAGTTATAAAATATAAAAAATTGTTTTTATTTTAAAAGAAAATGAGTATAATATAATTATTTATATATATATATATACTATATATTCAATATAATACAATAACTGTATAAAACAATATTATAAATGTAACAATTATTACATGTAATAATTATTAATTATTCATGTTATTGATAATTGGTATTGAACTAATTTCTATCAATTTTTTAAAAATTGCAATTTATATCTGTATATCATTTAATCATTTATATCACATACAGTACAGTATATACTGTAGACTATTTTTTGTGAATAAAACCGAAATAATAGGCAATTTTCAAAATATAATTTACATGACATTTAAATGACAAATACAATAGTTATTTAATTTGAAAACAAAACCACATAACAGTGTATTATATTTGTTAGCAATGCTTTGACGCAATTTTTTTAGAAAATAATTTGCATAACACTATAAAACTTATTTCCGCAAACACCTAATAGACTTGAAATTGTCATCTCATGTGTTTGTGTAGCAAAAAACCTAAATTATTATATTCATTATACAGTATTATTTTAGTTTTACTTATTTTCCCAGAAAATTAATCATTAAAATAATTCATCAGACATTTTTAAAAATATTTTTTAATAATTTAAATAATTACATAACTAGTGCTCTATATTTTATACTAAAATTATTTATTTTATTTATAGTAAGCTTTAGACATAATAATTATAACCTCTAATGTTTCACACTATAATATCTGAAACAGTAATTTACAGTGCATATAATTTTGTTTAAATTTTTTTTAATAACAAATAAATTTTATAAATAATGTTATGTTAAAAATATATTTATATGGTCAAATATTATAAAATAATTATAAAGACAATAGTTTGATATATTTTATTATATATAATAATCATACAAATATACAACAGTCATATATGATTAAAAAGTTATTGTTTAAGTTATAGTGTACTGTATATGAAATAAAAATAGTGACAAACAAATAAATTATAATTATTTAATAAATCAATCTTTTTAATCAATTTGACATAAACTTAAATTCAGAACAAATATAGATTATAGACAACCAGTAGAAAAATTATTTGACCCAACCAGTTGACCCAACCAGTTGACCTAACCTCTCACTCACTCAAACTAACCTAACTAAGTAATAAAATAACATTTTATAGGTATAACTGCATAAAATACAATACTTTTTTACTGGCTGTCTATAATATATATTTAAGCCTTAAATTTAATAAAAAATCAATTATTATAATTTGAAAATAAATACAAAAATCTATATTTAACAATAATTATTTTCCTTAAACATTGGGTTAAACTAATATTTTGGTAAGATTTTGATACTTTTTTCAATGTATGAAAATAACAATAGGCTATATTAAATTATTGTTAATAAAAATGAGTTAAATATTAATTATATCCTCATATTAATAAGCCATTTCTAAGCAATATAATTTTAATGACTAATAAAATTTAATCAAATATATTTCAAAATTATTTTGATAAATAATTAATTAATTGTTATGTTTTAAATCATTATTTACAGTATATGTTGTGCAATGAATGATAATAAACAAGTATTTCGTGTAAAATCAATTGCAATGAAGTGTTATCGAGAAAACTATTTACTATTGCTATTGTAATGATTTTATCACATAATTTTCACTTTTAAAACAAGTCATTAAATTTTTAATATAAAAATATTAATAAAAACAATTCTCATTGTTTGTTAAATACAACAATAGTTACTTTATTATAATTACAACATTACAGTAGATATTATAAATAATAAGTTATTTACTAAAACTAAAAGTTAAAAGTAATAAATAGCTGCTATACTGTTAACGCAAATTATATAAAGTAAAGTTAAGGATATAACTTATATGATATAAGTATCAAAACTGATATGAAAATAATACAATACTTACTTCATTGGCTGCGATATTAAAACTTTGACCAATCTTTTCATATAATTGTTTAATATTTGAAAAATTAGACACTTGTGTCGTATGACTTCCCTCAGCTAACTGGCACTGAAAGACTAATTTTGGCGGATGTTTACGATTATCGGTCATCATTGACGAGTGGTCACCGTTTTTATGCTTATTGTCATTATTGTTACTATTATTTGAATTATAATTCAAGTTATTATTATTATTAGACATTTTACTAATATTTTCATTCATAATTCCGCCATTGATTGATAGTTCCGGTGACTTTGGCTTACGGTTTCCAAATATTGGCATAATTTAAATCTTATCGTTTCTTAACTATTATGACAATATGTTTACAGTATTTTAAAATTTCGTTAAAACAAAACCTTGTTTTTGTCAAATAATTGCCCAAAGAGTAGAATGTTATGCGAAAACCACTAAATAAGTTATTACAGTATAAAACTTTTCAGCAAACAATACATAGATTTAAATAATATGTTATATTAAACAGTATATTATATGAAATTTCATCAAAAGTTTGCAATATAACAAAATAAATCTTTAAATATTTATCCGATAAGTATAAGTGATATATAAAATATATAATACTTTAAGCTATCTTTATTCAGATTAGATTAAAATCAATATATTGTATGAATCACTTTGTTTATGGGACAGACATCACACACCCATTATTACTATGAGAACAGACAGAGAAAGAGAGAGACAACTGACTGGATGTCCAACAAAAGCAAACTCTCGAAACACTGTTATTATTATTATTATTATTATTATTAGCTATTGTTGTGACAGTTTGTGGACTAAAATATTACACAATTGTTGTACCACTAAGTTGTGGCAAATTTTTAGTTAAAAAGTATGCATTAATACATACTAACTATAATTGTGTCACTATATACACCTGCGCACAGGTAGACTAATGTAATATTAAAATACTTACAGTAATTGTGGTTTTCATAATTTACCGGTAGATTGTAGTCAATGCTTTAGTGATGCGACAAATATTTTTAATTATATACTGTACTGTAGATGTAATATAAATTAATAACATTTTAAGAAATTAATTGTATTTATGGAGACAAATGTCGTTTTCATCACTCAATATGATTTAAATATTAGTTTAATAATAGTTTAATAATAGTTACTAAAATTTTAAAGTTTTAGATTATTAAAAATAATCAATTTCAATTTAATTGATAAACCTTAATATAATTATCTAGATAATTTTATAATTATTAATATTACTTCAGTGACATTTGTCTACTTATATCACAAAAATTAATTCATAAAATTAATGCTTAATTTATGAACATTTAGCGTATTTACAAACACAATATTTTTATTAATTAATTTGATATTAATGTAAATTAATGTTTTGTATAGTATGTAAAAATCAATTTATGATATAATTTCTGTAAAATTTTATGTATAATATTAATATTAATAACTTATATTTATAGAGTCTATATTATAGACTAACACATTATAGCTAATACTGTACTAAACAATAATTACTGCATTCTATTGATATAATTTAATAATAATAATAATAATAATAATAATAATAATAATAATAATAATAATAATGTAGTCTTTATTCATGTACTTGTCATGAAAATTACAAATTGTTAAAATATATAAAATTAAAATAAATACAATAATTAAATATATATATATATATATGAAATATACATGCATTAAACATAATTTTCTAAATGATTAACAAAAAGATTGTAATTTGATTCCTTTATTTGTTTTGAATTATTTCAAAATTAATAATTCATTATCTTGAATATTAATTATTCACACAAAATAGTTATAAACATAAATTATTAACACAATTTTAAATTGATAATAAATGCTATAAAATTTTAACGTTTTAAGTACAAAGTTACAAGAATAATTTAACATATTTATACATTATTTATAGTTACACTAAATTTACTATAATATAATAATAGTTCAGAAATCATATTTGTTTAAAATAAATATTAGTTTTAATATAATAATTGTTATGCTTAATTTACAAATTATTATATTAAATTTAAATGTAACAAAACTATATTAAACATATAATTATATTCATAAAATAAATTTAAAAAATAATATAAATTATGCGTTAAATGTTTATATAAATAAAAGGTTAAATTTATGGAAAGAATAATTACTATTTAATATCATATTATATATATATTCTTGAAAACAAATTCAATTGATTCAGTTTTATTTATATTTTATATTATTGCATATTTATTTAATGTGATAAAATAGTGATAAAATAGTCTAAAATATTTTTATACATAAATAATCCAGGCAATATAACAATCCTTGAAATAAAACAATTTGTATGATAAATAAAATTAATTTATTTTATCAATTATTGAATGTACAGATGTTTGAAATATATTGTGTATGATATTGTCATAGTTTGGCATCACTTCAACTCTATCCATACCCGCATCCAACCACACATCTGTACAAATAGACGGAAATCAAACACAATAATGTCATTAAATAATAATTTTTTTCTATAATTATATTTTTATAAATATTTTATTTCGTTAAATAAGTATTCAAATAATTTATAATAAAAATATTTTCAGTGTTTAATATTTTATGAATACTTTAAAAATAAAAATAAAAATATTATTATTACTATTATTAAATAATTTCTAATGTTTAATAAATTTTGAAAAATGTTGATTTACATGAAATTGTTAATTTTGATGTTAATACATGTGAACCTTTGGGACAGTTATTACTTTCAAGACACAGTACTTTATAATCCAATGCGAATTAATATACCATTTGACTTGAACTACGACTGCGAGAATCGCATTCACAACGATCTGGAGTTCAAACGGTGTCGGGAGTCTGTATATGACAACTGGTATACCAATGATGACAACTATCGGTCAAAATATTCGTGTTGTTATAATTGGGATCATTTTGATTGTCTTGAATATGCTTACAACCAGTTGTGTTCATTTAGGAGTTCCGGTATTGACTTTCGGACATTTGAGATGAAAAAAGAAGAGTGGGTTCAATATTATGAGAGCTATCAGTGCACTGACTATAAATACGGGTCATTTAAATGTCATTTCCCCGGTTGGCTCATTGCTATCATTGTTATCGCAAGTGTCGTATTGATTGGCATTTTAGTGGCCGCTATTGTAATCTTCCGCAGGACTCGATTATCACATAATGCAAAATAATAATCATTAATCATCTAATATATTATAGTATAGTACTTATTAAATATATTTTATTTTATTATATAATATTTTATAAAATAATTATCATCATATTATTATTATTAACTATTAACTAATTTTACAACTTTGTATAATTAATTAAGAATATTTATGTGCACACAAATTGTCATATGTATAATAAATTATTAAATTGAGTGAATTTACATTTTAGTAATTTTTTGAAATTTATTAGAAAAAACAAGATTTTATAGGTTTGTCTGATTAATTTAAATCTAAATCTATTATTTGACTTTAAAATAAATGTAAAAAGTTATAATACTAGTGATGCATTATTTTTTGACTGTTACATAATAAAAATTATGATAATTAATTTCTAATTAATAGTTTTAGCTATATATTAAATTAATTTAAAAATAAATAATAAACAATTTATATTTTTATTGCTTACACCCGTATAATAATGTACTAATAAAAATAGAGTAATAATTTGATTATATTATATTCATGTTTTATATTTTTTAGAAAATATTTGACAATTTAAACAAATGATACAAAATATACTAATTTGATAATCAAAGTTAAGCATTTCTTAATTAATAAATTTAATGGAAATAATTAAAACAATTGTATTATTAAAAGTATTATTTGTATGCCTTTACAGTCTGTCTTCAAATAGACAATGTCCACAAAATGAAGGCATATTTGCCGATCCACTTGATTGCCGCACATTTATATTGTGTAATAATTATAAACCAGAGATCAACAACTGTCCAAATGGTTTATACTTTAATCCACAACTAAAAGTGTGTGACTTTCCCGAGTATAGCGGTTGTAATGACGGTCAAAGTGGTGCCCAACTGTTTAGTTGTACGGAAAGTGATGGTCTCATTCAGGACCCCAATGACTGCCATTTCTTCTACATGTGCGCTAACCGTCGGTCATATAGATTTCAATGTCCGGCAGGACTTATATTCAATCCCATAACCAATAGATGTGATTATCCAGAGATCACTGGTTTTTATTGTTTCGACTCTCAAAACAAGTTTCCAAACACTAGTGACTGTCAGTTGTATTTGGATTGCGAACGACCTATATATGGATACGCCTGTCCTAAGACATGTCCCGATGACCTATACTTCAATAGATATCTTGAAGAATGCGTTAAACCTGAAGACAGTTGGTGTACTGACAATGACGACGACTTTAATGACAAAAAAAATAATATTGATTTTACTGTAACTGATCCACCTTTTAGTGATAATACTGGTAGTAATGAACCGGACGTTAAATTAATAGAAAAACGTTTTTATTTATAATTATAGAATTATATAAATATTATATTAATAAAAATTATATTTGTTTATAATATTTGTAATAAAAATATTATATTATATATGTTTTTAACATTATTTTATAAATATATATTTTTTATTAATTACTCAGTGATTAGTTATCAGTAAAAATATATAATAAAATTTTTTATTTTATTTATTATCATTATAAGTTATTTAATTTATTTTAATTAATGATTTAATCAAGATAAAATATTAAATCTAGATAAATTAGTATTAAAATTGAATAAAAAATATATTATATTTTCATGAATTTTGTTAAATTGTAAGTTTGAAATTAAAAGTATGAAATAAAATTACATAAAAATTATATTATGAAAATAAATAGTTTTAAATTACATTAATAATGATTTAATTATAAAATTAACAAAATTATAATCAATATTTAACATAATTATTATACATTTTATTATTAATATATTTGTGTTAAATTTAAGACTAAGAAAATCCAAATATTTGTTTTTAGTTTTTTTAAATTTTATCTATAAATTGCTGAAAATATTTCACAAAATTTATAAATTTTATTAATAGATTTAATTAGTCAAATAAATAATTGTTTGAATTAATGTTTAATTTTATTTAAATTATTTGTTAAACTTTTTTATACGTATTTAAAGTACAGATGTTTTAATGGGCTCTATCTTAAAATCAGACATACATCAGACTCCCGACTCGTGATTTTTTGTGAATATTAATTTAAAAAACTGTCTCACTTTATGCTAAACCAAAACAATAGCAGGCGCACCACAAGTACATAGATTATCATAGATTACACTTAATATATATACATATAATATAGCTTAGTGTGTATAATAAGTCATTATATATTAATGGTTTATTATTAATAACTATGCCGTGTAAAGAATCCGCCCCCTAAGCATTAGACTTTATAATATTGCGCGCATATATATACTACTGTACTGTTATATTGAAATTATTGGTTGCCATTATTGTTTTGGTTTAGCACAAAGTGAGACAGTTTTTTATCTAGTAAACCATATTTTTAATATAAAAACGACCACAAGTGGCAATGTTATAGATAATGTTATACTGAATTTATTTATAATTGTTCATTTATTATTATTATTATTATTATTATTATTAGCATTATTAGCCAGATAATGGCATCAGACCCGTTATAATAGGTCTATAACATTGCCATTTGTGATAATTTTTATATTAAAAATATGGTTTAATAGATATTCACAAAAAATGATGAGTCAGTCGGAGTCTGGTTTTAAGACAGAGCTGTAATAGAGCTGTAATACATTAATCATAATAACAGACAATAAACAAAACCATAGAAACAACACATGTATTGACAATCAATTTGTTTGATAACTGTTTGTCAATACATTGTAAACGACGTGAAGTTAAGTCAATGATATTATGATTACTTATTACTCAAGAGTTGGCCACAAGTTGTCCACAATATAGTGATGTGATATTAGTTGATCACAAACAGCGACTACAATGTTATCAAAGGCACAGTTTCTCAAACATTTGTCACTATTAGTGTTGACAATACAGACGACAACATTGGTGATGGTGTTGAGGTACTCGAGGATCAGCTCCGGTGATAATTCTGGACATTATGTCAGCTCTACTGCTATTTTGTTGAGTGAAATCATTAAACTGATGGTCTGTTTGTTAATACTCTTATATCAGACAAATGGTAAGTTGTTTTCTAATGTATTTACCGATAGTCGACAAATCGGTAATGACTTTCATATCATATGGTCATTGATAGGTTCGTTGACATCATTGACTCAGTTATTGAGAAAAGAAGTTATGGCTAAACCGGGAGAGACGGCCAAACTGTTGATACCGGCGCTGTTGTACACCATTCAGAATAACCTGTTGTTCTTAGCTCTGACTAATTTAGACGCCGCAACATATCAGGTCTGCACCGGTCAGTGAACCGGTATGTCTGACATGACATTAATTATTGATTGAATGCATCGACAGGTGACCTATCAGTTGAAGATTTTGACGACCGCTCTATTCTCGGTGTTAATGCTTCACAAAAGACTTGCTTTAAACCAATGGTTATCTCTTGTATTACTTATGATTGGCGTAACATTAGTTCAATGGCCACAAAGTGAAACCCAAAGTCAACCGAAGGACATATCTAGTGATGAGTTAGAGACAGCTATTAGTGTTGTTATTGACGAGCCGTTAGGCAACCGATTGATTGGATTGTTGGCAGTGTTGGCCTCGTGTTTCTCGAGCGGCTTTTCGGGCGTTTATTTTGAAAAGTTAGTCAAATATACGTCTCAGTCCTTATGGATCCGTAACACACAACTGGCCCTATTCTCTGTCATCACGGCTACCATTGCAATGTGTGTTCAGGATTTTGATCTCATTTATATAAACGGATTTTTTCAGGTTTTGATTCTATATTTTTAAAATAAAGTTTTTTTTTAATTTACCGTAATTTCTAACCATTTTTAAGGGATATACGACATTGACATGGATTGTGGTTTTACTTCAAGCATTTGGTGGTCTAGTGGTTGCACTGGTCATGAAATATGCCGATAATATATTGAAAGGCTTTGCAACGTCCATATCGATAGTATTGTCTACAGTTTGCAGCTATTATTTGATGACTGACTTTTACCCGACCACAAGCTTTCTGTCGGGCGCTTCCATCGTCATTGCGGCCAATATTTTGTACGCCTTTTAACACTGAAACTCATTAATCAATTATTTAATTGTTTGTTTAGAAGAATCAGCTTTAATATAAATATAACCAATAATTGTTAAACACTTATTATTTATTTAAATCAAATTATTACTTTATATAATATTTTATTTTCAAATATATAGAATAAAGTATAGAGTAAAGTATATAAAGTAAAAATAACATGTATTTTATATTTTGATGAATTGTTGTTAAATTTACCTAAAATTAGTTTATTATTGATATATAAAATGACTTATTGATTGAATGAAATTATAATTGAAATACCGATATATACACTAATATAATATAAATACTGTAATATAACAAATTTGACGACAATTTTTTATCCAATTTGAGTGGACTGTTAACTCTTATATTCAATATATGGTTTGCACTGTTTTCTACTGTATTAGTACATCGGATAACTGATCGCTTGAATGTCAATATATTAATAATATACTGTACAGTAGTATAACTAAAATACATTCAAATTGAAATACAATTTCATTCAACTCATATTTAAATGCAATCAATTAAAATCATTACTTAAAAAAAATATTACCGGTACAGTATTATTTATGCATAGGCATAAATTAAACATTATCTTAAATATTTTTTGACACATGATATAAATTTTATAATAATAATAATTAAGATATTTTAAATTATGTTAATTTTAAAGTGTTTTATAGAATTGTTATAAACAATTGGTTAATTTCTAAATAAAATTTAGTGTCAATTTTATTATTGCTTATCAATATATTAAGGAAGTAATAAGTAGTATACAGTATACATATTATTGTAAATCCTATCTTTATTTAAATCAATGCTTTTCAATCAATCGTTTTATTTCAATTAAGATTTACTGTTATTTCATTTAAATGGAAAAAACGAGAACTTCTTTAACAAAAATGTTTTTTTGCTCTAATTTGATAATAAAAAGTTGTCCATCACTTAAAACTTTATATGCTTTATAAAGCATGAAATATCTAACTTATACTGTATATGTGATATATATATATATATAGGTATTATAATACATTATATACCTTATATATGTGTGATTTATATAACTTTATACTTTTTACTTAATTACAGTTACTCTTATACAGTATTCAAATAATGTGTATATTATTTAATATAGATTTTATTATTTATTTTATAACATTAAGATGAATACAGTTTTTGAGATTAAATTAATATAAAATTGTATGGTTTGTGTCCGTAAAAAATAAATTTCTAACGAAATATTAAGATTTCTTTTAAAAATCTAAATTTAACAATATTTTCAACGCACTAAAAGTTTCTATCCTTTGATACTAAGATAAAAATATCAGTATAATATACTATATATATATATATACCTGTAGTTTTATAATGTATTTTATAGTTTATTAAAAATAAAATGTAAAAACAAATCAATGTTTATAATACATTTTTACTTTTTACATATATAATATTATATATATAAATATATATATATATATATATATATATTATATTGATATATATTATAATACATTTGGTATAATATATTGATTACATTAATTAATCCATTAAACCACAATTTGTTAATTTTTATATTTAGCCAATTTTGTGTCAATTTGTTTATACAGTAGATTATAGTAGTGTAAAAAGTATAAGCTTTTTCATTTATTTTGTAGTTAAATACAATAATTTTGTAGTTTTACAACAATAGTTTGTAATTTATAACATGAAATTGTAGTTATAAACTACAAACTATTGTTGCAAAACTACAAAATTATTATATAAAACTACAAAATCAATGAAAAACCCTGTATATTTAAAATATTGTTTTATAGGAACTAACAATTGATTTAAATTATAATATCTTAAATAAAAGTTTAATTATTTTTAGTAAAAAATCTATTAAAAATAACTCATAAAATGTGATATTTTTAATGCATGTAAAATAGTGACTGATAGCACTGTGACTTACTTAAAAAAGTTAATGTATTTTTATATTTAAAATTTATAATAATTTAATTAATGGCAAATCTTTAATCATAATAAATAAAAAAAATTATAAAATAAAAATAAACTTTTAGTAGCAGATAATTGAGTAGATTTGCATTTTTGTGGACCAGAAATAAAATTTACTATAAAATTAACCACAAAATTAAAGCATATTTTGTAAAAATAAATCTATGACTTATCTCTCTTCGCCATCAAAAACTATAAGAGACTAAATGTCACATTTTTATATTTAAAAAAAAATCATTTTTAAATTTAGTAACGATTTAGTTTAACCAACATTTGTGAAAGTGATATATCTTATTGTAGTTATTATTGTGTTGTATATAAATCCGGAAAAATAAATGAATTTATTATTTGATAACAATCTAATAATACTTTTACTGACTTTTTTTGATAAATTAATTAATTGACTCGTTTGGAGACGTCCTACGGGTCTTTAACACAAACTATATAAGCAATAGATTCTCAAACTTATTCAACAAATAGTGTTTTATTTATATTTTTATAGTTTTTTAGAATTAAAATATATGTGAAGTTTTTCTCATTGATTTTGTAGACATTTAAAACATTATAATGCTTTTGAAAGTAAGTTTAAAAAATATAATTTTCCAAATTATTGATTTTGTTAAATACTAGGTAATAGTATCATGTTTTGTGGTCACTTTGGTCAACGCCGGTGATTATCAAAATTCTGGCACATTATCATCCAATGATTATGGAGGAAACAGTTTTGACTTAAGTACGAGTGCGGGCTATATTTCCGGCTATAACTCGGGCTATAGTTCTGGTGATAGTTCTTCACTTAACTCTATTAGCGCCGGCCTATCAAATGCTGCAGTAGTTTCAGCCCCAGTATCGTCAGTCAGTACCTTATCAGGCGGTGATGGTATCGTTTCGGCTGCATTGCCGACCTCAACGACTACATTAGGCAGCGGTTCAACAGCTAATTTTGGTGCCGGTTTGGCCTTAGCAGTGCCACAATTTTTTACTGGTTTTTCGGGCTTATCTGGATTTCCTGGATCTCCCGGACGAACAACAGCTGCTATTCAGTCGCGAAGAACTTTTGAGATCAGACCAATTCCTGTGTCACAAGAACCGGCTGTACCTCAAGTGATTGAAGTAGAGCCCAGTGAACAACCCGTTCAGGTTATCTTTAGATCGGTTTCCAGTCCCGTATTAGTACAGCAAATTCATACTCCCGGTACTCCCGGACGGGTTGAATCAACACGATCTGAGGACGAACCCCACCGCGTACTCCATGAAGTGCTCAGACCTGTCATTCAAGAGGTTCGCGAAGTAATTCAACCGTACAGACGAGTTACGCAAGAAGTGAGACCAGTTCTCGAAGAAGTGCACACAGTTGTGGCTAAAGGAGAAAAGGCTAATGGATATGGATCTGCTTTTGGTGATAACGGTTCATATGGTGCTAGATCTTCATCACTACACACTTCTAGAGCAAAGTTGGCCAAAGCTCTCAGTGCTTCCGGATATTATGGAAGAGCAGCCAAAGGTGCAAAAGCTGCCGCCAAAAGAGCCCGCGCTTAAGGATATTGTTTTTAAAATATATTTTTGATATTCACATTATATACTGCAATATCATTAATCAATGTCATTATATACACTTTATTTTATTCATTAAACAATTGTAAATATTAATTTTTATAACTAATTATTTGTATAATAAATTTTTTTAATGACTACTTTAAAAATCATAAAATTGCAAATTTTGATTTTATACTTTATATATTACATTATATATAATTAATAAATAATTTTATATATTTAAGTACTAATTTAAAAAACTTATAAATGCTTTTAATATTTCTAATATTTCTAAAATATTTTTAATTTAATGAGAAAAAACAATATTTTTGGTATATTTATAAATTATATATGAAATTTAAAAAATAAAAATAAATTCAAGCTTATTTAAACCAATATATTATATATTAAAAATAATAAGTTTTTATTATATTATATAATTCAAATTCTTTGAAAATAAAAATTATTATTACCGTTAAATGTTACTTAATTCCCCGTTTGGAGATATGTAAGTCATAATAAATAATACGAGTTTTTTACCAAATAAAAAATATTTTGTGACTTAAAATACTTGTGATTATATTTGAATTTTCCACATGTTTTTATACATTTTAAAGATTTACCACCCCTTGTATTTAGACGTCTCAAATAGTTCCAAACCCTTTGAATATGCTATTTATTTATAACTATTTATTTACTACTATTTATGAAACCGATTTATAATATGTAAAAATACTGTAAACGTATACAATTATGTCATTTATTGTTAAACATTATTATAACTAATTAATTACCGGTAATAGTTATCTAAATATACCGTATTTAATAGATTACTGTTAAATATACATTACAGCTCCCCATTCCTCCATTTTTGTTTTTTCACACTCTCCTTTAATTTACCATGGTGGTTAAAAAAAATTTAAGTTTATACCTATGAAAATGTTATTTTTCATATTTTTATGAATTTCATTCGGGGTATTAAACAACGAAAGCGGTAATAATAAATAATTAGGATATTGACTAATACAGTACATAATATAGTACTATAGTACATATTTTAATCTGAGTAGAATACATCAATTAGTACATATTATATGTATATATATATACTGTATATTAAAGGTGTAAAACATGGACAGGACAGGACAGGACAGGACAGGACAGGACAGGACAGGACAGGACAGGACAGGACAGGACAGGACAGGACAGGACAGGACAGGACAGGACAGGACAGGACAGGACAGGACAGGATGAGGACGAGATTTTCGGCTCAACTTACACCTCTACTGTATACCGGTATATGATATCACACCAGTATGTAATTTACTACACACTGATGTGATATATAGTCGAACCAATTGATAGTACAGTATTAATATCTACATTATTTAAATAATTTAACGTCAAATTGTCTCAAATTTTATTAATATTATAATATAAAAAATAATTAATTCCTTAATCTTTAATTATGTTTTTTAGAATATTAATAAATTTTGGGTAATTTTTTAAATAAACAAATATCAATATAATTAAATGATTTGCCGGAAAACAAATAAAATGTTTTGAAGACTCTAGGATTAAAAATTGTATTTTGTATAATAATATAACAGTAAATACTTTTTATATGTTTGTCATAAATTATAAATAATTAAAAACTTAAATGAGATTCACTTTCACAGCAGTCGATATCCATAACAGTTTTAATAGCATTTTTGTCTGTATTTAAAAACTTTTTTTTTCAGGTTATCTGATATGCCATTCACGACAAAATATCAACCCATCATCTCATTTACTATTACTTCAAACAGGACTTAATGTACATTAAAACACTAAACTATATATAAATTCAATATAATATTTAAAATATATCATTACTTTGTGTCTCAATATACAGTATATACTCATATAAATCGAAAGTGCAATAAAACTCAATACAAAAACTTGTTTTTTATTAAATCTAAAAATGTAGAGCTCACAAATTTTGGGAAATAACCAAGGTTTCTTTTTTATATTATCATTATAAATTATATTCAGATACAATATAATATTTAATAAAAACAATTTTCACTTAAATAATATATAATAACTTAACAACAACAAAAAACTAATAAATTATAATAAATTAGACATTATTGAAATATTTTAGTTAAAATATATTATTTTTAGTTAATCAATTGGTAATACAATTGGTTACCCCTTTTATATATATATATATATATATATATTGAATCAATTAGCAAATAGCTTATATCGTTGTCTCCGCTATTCAATGACCTTATGGACAATATTATGATTTAGTGTCAACACATCCCTAATAATACTTCCTTTACTAAAAGCTTTTCAATCAACTAATTAGTCGTAAAACAATTTTTTATGTTATTTGTACTCTTTTTGTGATCAATTTTTGCTATATAAATGAAATGAAAAATTGGATTCTCTATTCAGTCATTTATAACAAATTTCAAATACAAATTGAATCCAATCACAAAATTATTTTACAACATGTTTAGAGTAAGTTTTCAATATTAGACATTAAAGTACATTTCAAATAATTTAATATAAAATTTGTCAAAAAACAGTTTATTATAATATCGATGACATTTGCTTATTGTGCGGCCAGTGCTGGCTATGGAAGTGGAGGTGCATTCGGTCTAAGCGGTGGATCGCTTAGAGCTTCGCTTTCAAATGGCTTATCTTCAGCTTATGGTTCAGGACTAGCCATTGCTTCTCCATATGCCGTTTCATCTCCCGGTCCTTTATCAGCAGCTATCCAAACACATCGAACCTTTGAGGTTGTTCCAGTGTCATTGCCACAGGAACCACCAGTTCCTCAAATAATTGATGTCGAACCAAGCGAACAACCTGTGCAAGTAATTTTTAGATCAGTATCGAGTCCCGTACTTGTACAGCAAATCCATACTCCCGGAGCTCCTGGAGAAGTGCAATCAACACAATCGGAGGATGAGCCGCATCGCGTACTCCATCAAGTTCTCAGACCTGTTATCCAAGAGGTTCGTGAAGTTATTCAACCGTACAGACGAGTTACTCAAGAAGTGAGACCAGTTCTCGAAGAAGTTCATACTGTGGTGGCAAAAGGCGAAGGAAGACTTAAATCAGCTCAGATAGCATCTCACACTCCAATAGCCGATCCAAATCATCTTGTATTGGACAACGGATATCAAGGCTTAAACTTAAATTCAGGTTTATATGGTTCCGGTGGCTCCGGTAGTTTTGGTCTGACCAACAATTACAAAGCTAAAGCCAAAAAAGCCGCTTAACTTTATATAAATTCACTTTTATATCTCATTTCAATAACATTATATATCACTAATTTAACTGTGAATTTGTAATTTATAAACATATCATATTTTGAATAAATCGACTTAAACTTAATTTTGTATTCATTATAAAAAAGTATTATCCATTAATTTTGTATATTCTGTTTACAATAATTTTTAACCTAATTTAATGTTTGATAATATTATGAAAACTAAAATTTAAGTGAAACAGACTGTAATTAAACTTATATATATTTTTATTTAAATTATTTTTCTTAATGTTTTACAAATGAAGTTCATTTAAAATATTTATGAAATTGTAATAATAACTAAAAAATAATAGTGTAATAACTCTATTATGGATTTTACAATTTTGTATTTATAAAGATGTATAATTTATTACAATTATGTTTTAGTTTAAAAATAAAAGATAATGAAAATCACTAAAATCTGACAATTTTTTAAATAACTTATACAGTTACACTTATTTCTCATTATAAATATAAAATAATAAAAAAATTAAATATTAAACCAAAACATTATATCAAATTAGTTATTTTATGATTGTTTTACAGGATTTTATTATAAATATATTTTTTTATAAAAATTACTAATGTTTTGTAAATAATAAAATAATTAATTTGAGAATCATCAAAGAAATATTTAAAATTAATACATTATATAATTAATGATTCAAAAATTTAAAGAGAAACTAATCACAAATTAATATATTTATAAAGTGGTGTTTATGTATTTATGAAATAATTGTGATTATTATAATAATAAACCAAAATATTTTAATAATTAACTTTTAATTTTCAAATATTCAATGGTTTGAAACAATAATTTTGAACAAATCATTGATTCAATAAACTCTTCAAAAATTATCAATTGTTTTAGTAAATTGTATGTAAATATATTTTACAAAAACAATTGATATACAATCGGACAATAAGTCAAACGTACAGATTATTGTAAATTTTTACAAATTTTATCTCAATATAGATCATTCAAAATAACTTTATAGCAAAATCATTTTACTAACTTAAATGTTGCCATTAACTTTAAACTACAATTGATTTAACATTCATTTAAATAATGTTGTTATATATATTTTTTTTTAATAATAAAATTTAATTATAGAAAATAATGTCCCAAAATCTGGTCAATTCGTAATCTAAATGATTTGAGACAATCTTGTAATCATTTTTGTGTTTACTTTTATCTAGAGTTAAATGTCTACCGAAAACACTTAATATAACTTTTAAAATACAAATTTATTTTAACTTAATTTATGGTATCATTTTACATTTCAGGCAATTGTAAAATATATGAATGACAGTTAGTTTAGATGTTAAAAATATTATAAATATAATAATAACTATTTGTTATTATCATAAATAATAATTTTATTCATATATATATAACTTATATGAGTTGCAATTCATTCAAATTCCTTTAATTATAAATTCCTATCATTTTAGAAATTAATTTTCATTAAATCAACTAAATATAATTACGGTAATATAATTCATATCGCAATAAGTATAATATATATTAAACTAAGAATTAATTTGATTATTTTATAAACCAATTATACAATTATATAAACCGTTATTTTTAATTTTATTTTTCAATAATAAACTGGGATTCAACTAATATAATATTGAAAATATCCAAAATAACGTTTTTCGTCATAAAAGTAGTCTAAACGCCACCAGAAATACAGATAAGAAAGCAATATATGGATTGTGGTGTATGTTATGTATATATGTATTGTGTTGTCAATGTGTTTATAATAATAATAGTTTTTAGTTGTATTTTGTCTAATAATAAGTCAGAAAATATCGAAATTAAAATGAAAACTAAAATTATTATATAATTAGTGGTAAACCCTATAACTGCGCGTCTTCTCCAACAGCAACTGCCGAAAGATCCACTGCCGTTGTGTCCAACCTTTGCTTTTTAAACGCCGGCTCAATACTACTATCCACTCCGTTGTCAATACTATTCTCTTCAGAAACAATGGCCGGTCGCGAGTCCTCACTCTCGACACACTCCGATCCAAAGTCTTTACTGTCTTCACTAATGAAGTTTCCGTTGCCGTTCTTATTGACCACAATTGATGAATCATTAGATTTGTCCTCCGACTCTAATGAAGGACCCGACGAGTTGTCATCAGAAACTGAGTTATTTGGGTTTCCATTAGTGACGGGAGTGTCTGTCGATGAAGTAATGTCTGGAGTTTCTGTTGAGTTCTCTTCTGTGCTCTTAATGACATTTGGTTCACTACCATCAGCTCGCGGCATATTTTCAAGAAGCTCGGGCTTATTTTCGCGGGACAAGTAGTGACACCATAAAGCTGTGTCTATTTTATGAGGCGTCCATTTACCCTCAGGATCTGATTAAATAATATTATTAATTATTTAAAATAATACTCAATTAAAGACAATCGACTCACCGCTTGCTTTAAGTCTTTCGCAACAGTTCTTGATTTGTTCGCTATAATTGGTATACTCTGCCAAAGTAGAGTCGGTAGCCTCGACTCCAGGTGTCGAAAGCATGCCCTCATCAGACATGAATGGAGCGTATTCTGGATATGCAGCCGACAGGACAGCTGTTGACATAAAAACAATAAAATCTTTAATAATTCACGGCTTAATTATTATCAATTAATTTTGTATTAATAACATAATTAACTTCAAATAATTTTTAATTAATCAAATAATTGAATATATAAATCAATATATAATATAAAACTGATTGAATTACCGGAAGCAGTGGCCGGTCCGATACCCTTGAGTGTCACCAATGCATTGATGGCCTGTTGAAGGTTTTTCTGGTGATACAACTTTCTGAATGCTTTCTTACTTGTAGTTAATACTGCAGTTTCTGTGTTTATTCGCACCAAATCTAAAAGTCGCGGACGATATTTGCCTCTCTGTTAACAATAATGACAAAACAAAGACATTAGTTATTAAATAAATAATTGGTTAAACATTTTGAATACAATTACAGGTTAACACAGACAATATATCAACTATATTAAGGACAGTCAGGCAAACTTACCATTAATTTCCATTTAGCAATTTGAACCAATTCATCGTGTAGGATATGAGGATCTTTACGTGAATGGATCAGCTTAGGTAACTTTTCCCGGTACCTGATTCACATTAAATAAACCAATTATTATTTAGTCAAAATATATTTTTAATTGTTATTTTAACTAATCAATTATTTACACTACTATCTCTCTATAAATATACTGGTACATTTATTAGTGCAATATCATTTTTAAGTTTAATCACAACAATAAACATCTCATATCTATTTATTCATTTAATATAGATTAGATTAATTGTGTTTAACTGTTTGTAAAACCAATATATTTAAACTAATTTAATTTACTAAAATTGTATTACGATATTTGTTTCCAATTTTACAATTATTAATAAATTAGCAAATATTTTTTTAACTGTTATTTAATTTTTTAAATCTACATAAAATTATTTCATATATAATTGAAATTCTATTAATTTTAATAATTGAAAGTAAAAACATTAATTTAAATTCAAACAAAAACTTTAGTATAATTTAACAGAATTTCATGTCTTTGATAAAAAATTCTGGTTTTGTCGTAAATAATAATAACAGTATATATGACAACACAAACAAAATTTATTCAAAAAAATTTTGTGGCGGAAAACATGCGATTCGAGTGGAAAGGGAGGTAATGTGACTGAGAGTATGTATATATGTGTGAGTGATAACCAATAGGCCTTTATCTGGCAGTTTTGCTGAATATCTCGATCGACAGCTGTTCTGCACTTTTTTGCAATAGATTTGCAAATCGACAGCAAAAACATAGGGTAGGGTATGGTATGGGTATAAGTTTGGTGTGGGGTATGGTATGTGGAAATATATATACACTGGGAACAGATAGTCGATCACAGGCTGTTTGGGTCTACAAAACAAACTGACTATAACTATAAAACTTGAATGACATACAACTGTCTCTTAGTATACGTGAATGTCATTCAACTTGTGTTATAACAAAATCACAATAAAATACAATACTATATAACATTAGACACACACATGAGTTCATTGTGTGTCACAAACATTACGTAATGATTATCATTACTAAGTATTTTCTGCACTAAAAACACTGTCTGACTAATTGATATACTAAGCAATAGGTCTATGCATTTCAGTGCATATAAGACATGACTTATGTATCTTTAAGACATGACATACTATATCTACCTATCAATACATAAACAATTCAACATTTGCTGTGCAAATACTAAGTAATTCATATCTCATTATATAATGTCATTCATTTGAATGAATGTTATTTAATATATAGTATTATTATACAAGTAATGAATAAATATTTTATATATAATTGTATGAAATCGTAGGGTAAACACATAACAGAGTGAATCGTTTGACTAACACATACATACAAAGTATTACAAACAAACAACAAGTGGTTTCAAAATAGTTTGAGATTTGTTACAAATGTTTCAAACAATACTAACTTTTTTGTTTTATTTCTTTAGTCATTCACTGCTATAATACAAATGTTAAATCTCTAGTGATTCACATTTTATAGTGAAAACCCATTTGTTAAGCAATCAAATAGAAAAACAATAAAAACTGTGATTAAAGGCTACAAAAATATAACCAAAACATTGTTTTGTTTATTTGTATACAAAGTTTTGTTGTGTCGAGTCGTGTGTTGTTTAAGAGCAGATGTTTTGATGCCTTTTCATATAAATACACTTTTCTTAATCACCTAATTCTTGACTTATTTATATCTAATACTTTTAAACAGTCTTTTTATTTTAATTTTTAAATAATCAAATCCTTTAAAGTGAATAAAATATTTGTATAAATATGTTTAGCAATAATCTAGTATTTCATCAAATTATTATAACAAATGAGTATCATTTAAAATAAATAGTATAAATATTGAATTAAAATTTAATGGCATATATAGAGTATATAGCAAAATGATTTTTTTTATCATTAATTATTTACAAAATATTCAGTAATATGAATGTCAATTATAATCAAATAAATTGTACAATTGTGCTAATATGTCTAAATGTTAATATTAAATAGCTATATATAAATAATTTTTTAATTAATGTATTTAACTTATCTAGCTTATTTAATGTTAACTGATATATCTATGAGTCAATTTGCCACAATTGTATTAGTTGTATGATTATAATAGTCATTAATAAGAATATTCTGTATAAAACTAATATAAAATACAATGATTTACAAAATATGACGCGAATATTATTTTTTCAAAACATGTATGTATTCACACAATAATATTATCGTCACTAACAATACTAGTCATACACTTGATTGCTATACAACAACATTATATATAAATAACAATTCCTGCGAAACAGGTTTTGCCGCACAAATAGCTATACATTTACTCATAGATTGAGAGATAGAAATAGCAAACAATTTTTCCTTTAATATTGCAATTCAAGTCTGTTGTGAATATAATGTTTAAGTTTATTAGATATTCTATCAAATATTATTTGCAGAGAGAATATTATTTGCAATCATTTTATTTTCAAATATTTTTTATAATAATTTGAAAATAATATAATTACTAATTTCTAAAATATATAATAATCTTTTTTCGGTCTCAATAAAGTTGTCTGAATTTCAGAGACTATGAAACTTATTTGATAAACATATAAAATAAATACACATATATTTGAAAAACTGCACAATTCATTACACATTACAAACACAACACAGACTCGCATTGGATTGAAATTCAAGGCTTTTTCCTAACAGAGAGAGAGAGAGAGAGATATTTAACTATAGAGTGAAGAAAAATATATTTAATTTTTCATTACATCTCAAATAATGACAAATAAATGTGGATCAAAATACTATATATATTACACTCTTCTAAAATATAATATACAATTGACACCAAATTTTATATTACATTATATCTATTTATAGTAAAATAAAAAAAAATTCAATAATTATTAACTATTTATACACATAATTTAAAAATATATATTTTTAAAATTAATATAGTAAATAATTAATTAAAATAAAAAATAAATATCTTTATTTAAATGATTAAATTATAGAATAATTATATTAATAATATAAAATAATAAAAACATATTTAATGTATATAACGCCCTAAACGCAGTACACTATAAATGTATTAATTAGTGACAAATGTATTGATGTATTGAATGTGATGTATGTGTGAAAACACGTGAGAATATTAGGCATCAAAACAAACATAAGTTATCTCATGTGCTCTCAGAGAGTCAAAGATTAAATACAAAAACTTTTTATTTTCATTCAATTTTGTCAAATAAATCCATTGCAGACTCCCATAGATTTTTAGTACTATAGCTTATGTATGTAATGGCACAGCAAATGTCTGACGTCGACAACAAGCACTGGTTGTTGTTAAGCCTTATATATACTGTATTTCATCTAAATATTTGAAATTAATTTATATTTTCAATATTCAATCAATTTTTGTGTACAATTAGGTCCTAAATAAGTGCAAAATTGGAGAAGTATTGTAACTTTTCATATGATATTTGCCATAAAACTTGGCTATCAATTCAAATGAGTCACTAGTTTTCCATAGAAATACATAGAAAAAATGTAATGCATTGCAAATACTATGAAATGGCAGTCATGTTAGTGGGAAAGGCAGCAAAAATGGCGGACAACAAAGTAATACTATATGGTTAGCATTTTCAACCATTTTTTAATATTTAAAACCGTTTACCGACACAATCAGTGGTCAAGTGGACGCCGGTAATCATAATAATGTTGTTAGTTTTGGTGCGCTTATCATATAAAATGCATGCAATGCTATAATGTATTGCTTTCACAATAAGGTATTCCTTGTGTTTGTGCGCTAAACAGTCTCTCTCTTTCTCTCTCTCCCTATATATAAATATCTATCGTTTCTCGCAATGAGTCTAACACTACAACACATAACACAGGAATATATGGACAGTCAGTCAGTGCTGTGTTTAATGCATTGAGAGCTAGATTTGTGTGAATTTGTCTATTGATCGCAACGTTGAGCTCTCAAATGCTATATAGCTATAGCTGTGAGTGTGGGCTACAGTGCACTACACGTAACCCACTTAAGGGCATAGAAACGCATAGCAATAGCATTATAAGCATTGATAGCATATAGTAGTCAATGCATTGAATGCCTGTTTTATAGTGAAGTTGAGTGGAGTCCACACAATCAATAATAAGACAGAAAGAGAGAGAGAGAGAGAGAGAGACTGTAAATAAAACATATGAACCGTCTATCTGTTGGGCACAACACACACACACACATCATGTGTGAGACATGGCATCACATTTTAGGCAACACTTTCACAAAGTTTTCATAACATTTCATAACAATTCAAAACTAATATTTCAAATTATTTGTCGCTATTGTCTCAATACTATCCTTGAAGTCAATGTACAAAAGCAGTGCTAAACTATAGTAAGTGTAAGTCTATATACTATAAGGTATATAAAGCTTATATAATACAAACCAAGTGTCGAGTTTTATGAGTTCCTCGGGTCCACCCTTTTTAGAGTTGCGCTCCGATGCCTTTAATTGAAGCACTTGGTTATAGATGGACAGTGTGTATGACCACTGTTTCGGTATGGCTTTGGTGAAGAAGGCCAGACTTGAATCGCTGGGCTCAGCCATGTTTGACATACAACCGATACTAACGATACCAACGATACTACTGTACCGACAATACTGTATGCAACCAACGCATAGACACTTACATACACTCGCTATACATGACTGCAAACTTTTGGCTTATCGATTGAAATACATTATTCAAAACACTATCACTAATGACACCTATAGACACACATTCACACTAACATACAATACATATGATATGATATGACATGACATACATTACATTAATAATACATTAATCTTTAATTATAATCTAATTAAATAATAATAATAATAATAATAATAAATACATTATTTTTCAATATCAAGTACTAAATAACAATAAACTATTATTGTGTGTATCATATAATGTAAAATTTATCAATAAATAAATATTGATTTTTATTCATCATTTTAGTATATTTTTAATTAATTACTGTATTTTATTTGAAATTTAAATTAATGTAAAATTTAAAAACTATTGTTTATAATAATTAAAAATTGCTTTATCTGATAACATAAATAGTTGTAAATATTATTTTACTTAATGTGTTATTTAATTGATAATAAACTATTTATTTCATATAATATGCGAATTCATTGTTTAAGTCACGAGAGGACAGTAATGATTGTATGAAACATAACATTATTATTAACTTTAACTTAAATTAAATCTTATATTATTGACAATACTGTAGTATTCAAATAACTAGGGTTGCCAAATAAAAATTGACAAAAAGGAGTACTTTCAATGAACTATGTTGAAGAGTATTTATATAAAGTACACATTTATATTTTTATTAAAATTACTACTAATGTACTTAAACTACCAAAAAATCATTTTTATAATTAACATATTAATAAATTTGATTTAATTTTTAGATTTTATAATTTTTTAGTAATCTATTGGACAAATTTATAAGTAATTTTTTTTAATGTAATCTAGTATTAACAGTACTATTGGTTGATTTTAAAAGAAATATTTTCTATTAAAAGATTTATAAAATACAATATACAGTATATTGCTATTAATTATTAAGAAGAGTGAAAATGAGTACATTTGTCAACCATAGTAATACCGGTGTCAATAACTTTAACACAATAGTACAGACATCTAGTGTATAGAAATAAAATAATTATATAAAATGTTAAAGTTTAGTGTAATTTTGCATAAATTATTCAAATATTGTTACATATATGTAATGTAGACGGAGATACAATACTATTGTTAAATTATATCATATTTATTGTATAATTAAATAAATTTATGATATTATACTGTATTGACTAAAATCTAATACTGTATTTACCGGTGAACTAAACATAATTCAATTTATATCGATATAAATATATTTATTTTTTATTAAAATAAACTAAACATTTTTATTTGATAAATTTCAATTTTAATTATCTAATTTATATGTTTTCCAATATTGATTTTTTAACAAAAAATAGATGTCTCTATTTTAGTAATAATTAAATCTTAAATAAAATTGATTTATATGATGTAAATATACGAGAGAACAATATTTGAGTTAATATTATAAATATTTATTTAAAACTTTATTTGAAAGTTGTAGTATATCTTCATAATAAATATGATAATAATTATTAGATTTATATATACTTTTAGTATTCACATCAAAGTAATGGAATAAATAATTTTCTAAATACTCTAATACCTTGTTTTTATAAACCATTATTGAAAGTATTTCGCTTGAAGTAAAGTATAAAATCGTTTTGATTAAGATATACTTTAGCATTACATTTATAATTATTTATCATTTAGATTTTGATTTTTATATTGACATAAAATAATAATAAAAAAGTTGCAAATAATTTAATAAATACAATATATGTGTTACGCATGTGCTTTACTTCATACACTTTAGTTAAGTCGATATTTTAACATATTTTCCATTAATATCAATAATATTATATCATTACTGACAATGAACTTATACTACAGTATAATATTTAATACAGTAGTTGATTCATACAGTACTGTACAACCATATACTGTATCATAGTTTATAATAGTATATAAATTTAGTAAACTTTAACAAATAATTTAAATGTCTAAATCACTGATTGCAAACTCGACTTATCATGATAACTTTTTTAATTTAAAGATAATCATTATTTATTTAACCACACTTCTAAATATTAAAAAAATATACTAATTTATAATTTATAATATGTATGCTTTAATTTTATCAAGGTATTTTACATAAAAGATTTTTTTGCATTTTTACTTTTCAATTACTGGTCTAAATATTTAATAATAACTTATTAGAATAAAAACATTTTGTAGTCAATTATATTAAACACCAATACAATATATACTAAATTTATATTTAATTATTAAAAAAATATAATTGTTATTAGATTTATATTATATAATATTTTAGATATTTATAAGTACTTAAAGAAAAGTCTTAATACGGATCCAATCGATATAATTAGCAATTCTAGTATAGACTCCATAATATCCGGGCTGAGCGCACGTCTGTCCGAAACCCCACGAAACGACACCTACAAGAGTGCCCTTCCAGACAGCAGGTCCTCCAGAATCTCCCTTTATATATATATATTACACATAAACGAAGTGATATGATTACGGGTAAAATGGATTACAGAATAATGAATTGTCAAGTTTTATATATACTTTAATACCTGACACGAGTCTAGCCCTCCCTGTGCCAGACCGGCGCAAATCATATTATTAGTGATTTCATTATAAAATTTAAATGTTTGTTTGCAAACGTTTCTGTCGACGACCGGAATTGTAATCTTCTGCAATATGGGTGACAACTGTCCCTCTTGTTTGGTAAAACCCCAACCCGTTATTGTCACCATTTCTGTTGCTGTTATGTCTGAGTTTTGTTTGGGAAGTGCTATTGGTTTGGCATTAGTAGTGCTAAAATCTATTGGAGTAATGGTTTTGATAAGAGCGATATCGTTGTCAAATGTGGCCTCACTATAGGCCGGGTGAGTGACTACTTCTAGTACTTGAACCACATGACCACCCATCTCATGGAATATACTATTATATCGTATGGAAAATACATTGGCCGTCCATCTGTACAGTTGTTATCATTTTAGACAATTTTTATAAGTGTTTAACCTTAACACGAGTTTTATGCCTTAAGCTATCAGTCCTGTTATGTTTGCAAATAATAGGGTTTAACTCAAGTACTCAGTTATTGAGAGGGACTGTAAAGTTTATATTATAATTTATAAACTTAAGTTTTATACAAATAAATAACTTATTGAAAACAGCAAATTCATAGACAATCTTAAACAGTATATTAAATAAATATTTAACCCATCATTCGTCCATTAAAATTATTGTTTTTTTAGCACTACTGTACATATAAATTATTGTTAAATTACCATTAATTGCTATAAAAAACAAGACTCTTCTAATTGTTGATTAAATTATATTTGTTGTTTAATTTTTTTTTTTAAATAATAATATATTGTCACAGGACCTTGACCAATGAACAATTTGCTCCAATTTATCATATTTTATAAAAATACAAATTACTTATATAATACTTTACTGTATATACTGTATTATAATATAACAACAAACAAACGTTATGTTGAAGGAAATGTAATATTGAAGGACAATAATAAATTGTAAAAATAACAAATTTACAAATAATATACATATTTATCGATTTAGAGAAACTGCAGTTACATAATAGTAATCGATTGCAATCAAAGCACACAAACACAACACACAATGATATTAATATAAGAGATATATATACCCCTGAATACAATGTGCGGCCGTCACCAGCCATTGGGGGCTTATAATAGAAGCGCCGCATATATGAGATGAGACCCTCTGGAAGGACACATGATATGGGAACTCGCCGTCTATAGCATCCTCTCCCCCGACAATCAATGGCTGTAATTCCCGATTGGTTTGGAGTTTCATAACAAATGAAGACCCATTTGTGGTCAATTCAAAACCAAATGTTGTTTCAATCAAAACTATTGATTGAATGCAAATAAAAACTTTGGAAATGTGTTTGTAATTCATTTTTGGAGTTTTACTTGAATTTGTCGATTCAATATACTTTGAATCACATACAGTATTATCAATTATATTATACGATATTATTAATCAAATAAATTATAATTTTTTTACAAATTTGTTACTCATAGTTGTTATTACTTTTAACCGAAAAAAATGACATTTTTGATTAAAGTATTATTGGCTTATATTTTTGCAACTTTTATAAGGCTCATAAATTTTATTTGTAGATTATTATATTTTGGACTTCAAAATAAATTATTACTAAAAAATTACATTATTATAAAATACATTTGTAATTGAAAAGTTTATTTTATTAAAAATAAATTTAATTAAACATTAATATATTTTTTTAAATTTTTAATTAACTATTAATAATTATTGCTTATATGTAAATTATATAATATAAAGAGCTATATATTAATAATTATTTTGTTGATTATAATTTATAAGTTATAAACCTATAGCTGTCACCAGAAATTTACAATTATTTACAAATATATCATTACTACATATGTATAAATCATTTTTATCTTTTTATCATATTTTGTTAACTTATAAAAATAAGGACTGATATTTCAAAGATTTAATATTTTATATTTTAACAGTAAATTTACGCATATAATCTTATACTAAAATTATAATAATTACAAACCATGAAAACCAAGCAAAATCAAAAATAAATAAATTTTTAATGCATATCTAATTATTAACAATAAATATATTTTTATGGTTTTTATTTAAATAATCCCTCAAAAGATCCTAAAGCTTTGAACCGAAATATCAATTTTATAAACTATTATAAATTCAATATATTTAGTGACGACTATAAACCTTATAAATAGTTATGACATTTGGAGACAACAAAACAGTTGAATCGCGTATATAAGTAACAGATGTCTGTTATGTGCCACACATGAAGTGCACATCAATTGACAAAACTCGTGCCAAAAGGGGTGTTAGTATTGTATGAATTGATACTACAGTACTGTTTATTACAGTGTATAATACATACAACATTGTATTACTGGTAAAAGTATGTTTCACTACTGTTATTGTATATTTAAAAAATAATATTTTTTGTCAAATTAGTTACAGACATTATTACCTATAAGTTGCTAATTTAATTAGCAATAATTAATGCTAACAACTTTAAACGCAATGCATAATTATATTAATAATAATTGCCATATTGTATATATAAGAAATGCATATACAGTATATATATATATATATATATTATGAGTTATGAAATAGCAACAATATCATTTTAGTGTTGAACAATTTAATTACACTGTATTTAAATGTTATTGCCATTGTTTTGCATAATTATTCAGTTATATATAAACATAGGTAACAAATAATGACAATTTTGGTTATAAATCATTTGCAAAAATATCACTTTTATTTGCAAATTGAAAATTAAAGATTAAACATAAGTCTGCATTGCATTTCAAGACAAAATATAATCTGCATTGAGTTTAGATAATTTCTAAAATACACACTTTTATTTATTTTTATATAAATGTCATGGACCTTTTAAACTATCAATATTTTATATTAAATATACAACTATATAATTTATATATATATATATTTATTTATTTATAAATATATTGCAAAAATTGTCTTTTTATTATTAAATATTCATATATAGTTTAAATTACTAATTTGCTTTAAATAAAAATAGAAATTTTAGAGCTATAGAAATGATATCTAAAATGTATTTTATAACTAATATATTAATGAAACTCCTATTATGTATAATCAGTAATTGCAATATTTTTTAACTAATTAAATGCATTTTAAACACATCTAATAATAGGTATTTTAATTAGATATTACGTCTTGAGAGACGCTTTCAATGTTGTTATAGTAAATAAAAATAGAGTAAATGAATAATGAAATACAAAAATAAAGGAACTTTCTTTCAGGTAATACAAATCGAGGGAATGATTGAGAAAATAAGTTTTTTATCTTTGGATGACCTGACATATACTCACCAAATCATACCTAATACTGTATAATAATAATAATAATAATAATAATAATACTCCAGACATGTCTATAGTTATTATAAGCAATCATTTATAGTAAACTTGTTTTTATCAATAATAAAAGCACAAAAAATGTTGCAATAAGTATATTTTTATAAGGTTAAAGATCGATAGGACAGGGAGTTTTGGAAATATGTTTATGTAAGTCATCTCTCTTATCAGTGAACCATTTATTATGGTTTGTTAGAAAAGCGTAAAATATATGCTAAAAATGATAGCCAAAAGCCTAAAATAATTCATTTAGGATTCACATAAAAGTGAAATTGTTCTCAAAAAACAACTTTCAATTGGTATTAATTTGAAAGCACTGGCAGATAAGCATTTCCTTAATAATACAATCGCCAGACAGATAGACCTCTAATATTGCCCCACAAAGATGTAAAATTACTTTTATAACTGTTATATCTGTTTTATTAGACAATTGTAGGCCAAAACAACCACTCCCTGATCAGCGAGTGATGGGACTATAAAAATGGTCATCAAATCGTATGTATCATACAATTCAAAGCAAACATTCATTTTGATCATATCTCCAAAAAAACTTAAAATTTAACAAAATGTTTAAAGTAAGTCAAATAATTTAAACTTTTTATGACTTTTTTTATTATTGACATATAATTTAATGAATGACTTTTATTTGTAATGATTATATACACTACCAGTTTGTAGTTCTAACCCTCGCCATCGCATATGTCAACGCCGGCACTTTAGGTCGCAATGGTTACGGTGGTTATGGCGGTGAAGCATTGGTTGCTTCGGCACCATATGCTGCTCCGGCTGTTCGTGCGCTCCCAATCGCGACCGGACCCGTCAACGCTGCCATTCAGACCAGCAGATCGGTTGAGTACATCCCATTGGCCACTCCATTGGAAGCGGTCGCACCACAAGTCATTGAAGTTGAGCCCTTCGAACAACCCGTACAAATGATTTTCCGCTCAGCCACCAGTCCTCTGCTCATCCAACAGGTCCACCACAAGGGAGCGCCCGCAACACACGAGGCCACCCGATCGGAGGAGGAGCCGTCACATCTGTTGCATGAAGTCTACAAACCAGTCATTCAAGAATTCCGTGAAGTCATCCAACCATTCCGTAAGATCATCCAAGAAGTCAAGCCAGTGCTCGAAGAGGTTCGCACCGTTGTAGCCAAAGGTGAGGGCTATCGAACCGCTTCCGCACCACTGCTCAAAGCTGAACCCGTACTTTCAGCCGGACCATTGCTTGTCAAAGAGGGCCCACTTTTGGCCACAAAAAACTACTAAATGACTCATATTATTGATGTCATGACTGATACTCAAGAGATAATGATTTTTTATTTTTCTTTTATTGAAAAATTGATTATCAATTATATATTAATATAACTTTTATTTTGTCAAACAATTAAATAAAATTCATATTCATTATAACATTAAAGCCAAAAATCGTGTAATTATTATTATTATTAGCAAAACTAATAATAATTTGTAAAACAATTTAATAGAATTAATTGTAATCTATATATATATTATTGTTTTAATTTGTATAACAATACTTAAAGTTTTGATATCATATCAGTTTATCAAATGGTATTTCAATGCAATGCTGGTAACAATACACATAATACCAAACATAAAGGGTAAGCATTAGATAAAAGTCATTGAGTTTTCCCATTGAATTTATAATAGCATACAATATCTGTGTGGTATTGAAAGCAAATTCAGCCGAAAAGTAAGTCAATGCAAAAAAGTGGGGAACTGTTGGCTGAAACAGAAAACCTTAAGCCCGGGCATTGGGGGCGGAGATAGAGAGCTAACGGGGAAAACAAGTTTTCATATGTGGTTCAGTCAGCAACAGAGCATCGATATATAGTTGTTGGTAATTGTAATAAATTGTGTTCAAAATAGACGGCTTATTAATTAGGATGACGTGATTGGCAGCGGCCAAGTGGGTCAACAAACAGATATAACAACACAATCAGTAATATACGAGACATATGCAAACATATCAATACGTATAAACACATTATATTATTAATATATCTGCCAATAGACCTAATAGTGACTGCCATTAAACTGCTATTTTCACCAAACAGTTGGTCCCGCTTTCGGTTAGCAACAGATAAATGTTTGCAATTATTTATCAAAAAGTTGGTTACGTTTAGTGAACTTATTTTTTTTACTTGTATTTGTTTCAAAGTTTACCGTATATTACATTTTGATTGGTAATTATTGTTGCAATTAATAAGTAAATCTCTTCCTTGTAATAATAATAATAAATTAATAATAATTTGTGAAATGTTTTCCTAAAAATTTGTCATTCAATTGCACCGTACGATGTATTTGGCATATCATTGGACGGGTGCACACTATTTCATGCAGCACTTGGAGACACATTTTTGGCATTCCTCGGGACCAAACTATTCAAAAAACATATTATAGACGTAACGTTTTTTTCTGGAGCCCTGATATATGCTAAACATAGCGTATAATACATTTTATATATAACTTTATATATATATATATATATAGTATATACTACTGTATATAAGTGCACAATAATTAAAGCGTTCTTATTTTGGACATTGAAATCCAGGAGCTATTGCTGGTAATGCTGAGACCAGATGTATGAGGTGTATGCTAATGGTATGTATGCCTACCTATTGATAAGCAAAGTTAAGGTTAAATTTTTGAGTGTATTGAGAGGGGAGAGGGAGAGAGAGTTGTAGAGTTGTGGAGATGTGGAGAGGGAAACCATCAGGTAAAGTAGTCCAGGTGTTTAAGGACTAACTTTAGATAATAAATTGCACTTAAAAAACATAGCGCAGTCAATGAATGAATGAATGAGAGAGAGAAAGAGAGAGAGAGAGAGAGAGAGAGAGAGAGAGAGAGAGAGAGAGAGAGAGAACTATGAAAAGGGAGAAAACCTGAACATATGCTCACTTTAATAGCACAGAGAGGCTGAGGGCTGAGGCAGAGCGTGTGCCAGAAGTTTTGGTGGCAGTGGTGGCAGGTGTGGGACACGAGCCCAACACACGTCGTCGTCGTCTAACAAACGGACGAAACATAATATACACAGACAGAGAGTCAGAGACAACAAACACACACATCAACCACTCTCTGCATTTACATCCAAACTACAGATGCACTCACTAGAAGACTGGGAGATACCGTTTGGTGAAATATATACAGGACCTAGAATTGGTTCGGGATCCTATGGAACAGTCTACAAGGGCTATTGGCATGGACCGGTAGCTTTGAAAAAACTTAAAGTCAATCCGACCTCTGCCCAACTTCGGGTATAAAACTATATCTCAGCAAAGATTGTTTGAAAACTTATTTTTTTTTTAATTTTTAGGTCTTTAAGAATGAAGTGGCTGTCCTTCGTAAGACACGTCACGCAAATATCTTATTGTTTATGGGATGTGTTACTCATAAAGAGTTAATAATAGTTACTCAATGGTGTGAAGGGTCATCACTTTACAAGCACTTACATGTCTTGGAGACCAGATTTGAATTATTGCAACTCATAGACATTGCCCGACAAACAGCACAGGGAATGGATTACTTACACGCAAAACATATCATTCATCGCGATCTCAAATCAAACAGTAAGTTATTGTACACTTGTGTTGTTTTAGTTGAAATAATATTTAATTTTTGTTGAATTAGATATTTTCCTTTGCGATAATATGACTGTAAAAATTGGTGACTTTGGTTTGGCAACTGTGAAGACTCGATGGCAAGGCTCGCGTCAGTTTAACCAACCGACGGGTTCTATCCTATGGATGGCTCCAGAAGTCATCCGAATGCAAGACCCAAATCCCTATACATTTCAAAGTGATGTCTATGCGTTCGGTATAGTCATGTATGAGATGATTACTGGACAGTTGCCATACAAACATATCAACCATAAGGATCAGCTCTTATTTTTGGTGGGACACGGATTAATAAATCCAGACCTTAGTTTGTGTCGAAAAGATACACCAAAGTTACTAATTTGTTTAATACAAGATTGCATTCGCTATTACCACGAAAAGCGACCACTTTTTCATGAGGTAAGCAATACTCAAATTAACAACAAATTAGGAAAATTCATAAAATATTTTTTATTTTTATATGAATTATATGACAGGCTTTGGAAATATTGGAAAATATTGAACAATCGGTTCCTAAGATTCATCGGTCGACGTCAGAGCCAAATCTAAATACAAGTCAATTACAATGGGATGACTTCTGGGGTACGGTTTGGGTACCGCCTAAAGCACCTCTCAGTTCACCATTTGGTGCCTTTCCCTTCTTCACAACCGGAGTGGTCTAAAAGCAAGTCATCCAATGTAACAACAATTGCCATCAATGTTGTCATCCATTTATTTCTAATGTTAAGTGTTTGTAATGATTTAGTTTCCTAATCATTTGATTGTTATAAACATTTTTTTAAATTTTAATTAATTTAATGTAATGTAAAATATTTGTTAAAAATATCATCAATTATAAAATTATTTATTTTTTAATAAGATATATAATTTTATATACAGGTATAATAATAAGTAAATTATGCAAATTATTAAATTTCTAAATGGCACTATTTTTGATAAATATTTTATAAATTGTATAATAATTTTTATGTACATATTTTCTATAAGATTCTATAAAAATCAGGAAACTAATTGAAAGTCCATTTACAAAAAAATGTCAATTTATAATGTAATTTCTGTGATATGATTTAGTATTAAATAAAGATACTAATATTTTTCATTAAATCAAAAAATTAAATTTCAATGTAAATAACCACTTAATTCTTAATATTATACCTGTTTTGCAATTATTCAATTTTATGATAAAAAGCATAGAATAGATTTATATAACAATTTAAAATCAATGAAATTTATTGTGTATATACTGTAGAATATAATTTTGAATATATTACCGGTATATCATATTTTATAAGGATTGTAGAAATAAATTAGAAATAACAATACTGTTAACAATTATAAACAATTGCAATAAATTATTTGTTATAATTTACAAATACATTATAATAAAGCACATACAGTATTATCGGTCACAGCTTATTGTTAATGTTATTATTAGTAACTACTAGTGTTGGCAGAGACAAAATGTTTATATAATACAAAGCGTATTATACAGTATAATACAATGTATAATACATGACCAATTTGGCTTACAAAAAAATTAGCGCCACATAGTGTTAAAAGCATAAATATAGATTTAATATTATTTTTTATTGAATTTCATTTTTCATTTTAAATTATTTCATTATTATTTAGAAACAACGATAATAATAATAATAATAATGCATTTTCTAGAAATTATATTTTTACTAAATATTTTAACATAATATATATATATATACAGTATATATATATATTACTTTTAACTATTGTATAATACTTGCAGTACATTGTATTATACAAAGTTAAAATTAAAACCCTTATATTTTCCAACCCTGGTAACTACGATAACGTTAATGTATTATCCCAAAATAGGTGTTATAATTTTATTTATAATTTCTACCCATAATAATATGTAATAAATTAATAAATAAATTATAATTTAATTATCAAAAAATAATAGGCATTATCTATGAATCCTACTCTAGGATATACAGTATTTACTGTACTTATAACAGACAATAAGTTATTATTGATACAATAAATAAAAATTTCAGATATGATAGCTGAATCCACCTGGGCTATATATGCATAATTATTAATAAAACAAACAAAAGCAAATAGTTCAATCCATAACAATTTGCAAAAGTATTCAAATTATTTATTAAGGTCATTGACATTACAAATGTTTAATATTACATTAATAATGTTATTTTTAGTAACAATTCATTATATTTAATAACTGATTTCAATAATTTAAAAATCATTATTATTATTATATTATATAAATGATTGAAAATGACAACATTGTTTACAGTGATTAAAACATATTTAAGTTTCTAAATACAGTAATAATAATAAAAATGAGATTTTAAAACCAATTGCGAAATTCAAGTCAAATTTAAGCCAAATCATAATGACATTACTAAATATTAAATATACCATTTGTTTGTTAATATACTCTGCAATAAATGTACAAACTTTGGTATATTTATGTACCATATGATCAAAATTATTGGCTTAACTTTGTTTTTAATGATTGCATTTGTGTAACAATTAGGCACATACTGTATAATATTGTTTGCATTGTTATCGTTAATTTATTTTATTAAATAGTTACAAATTGTGTTATTTTAAAATAAATATTTATACTTTATTAATATTGTAAACTTGTGGAAATTTTCATAGCATTTAAATTTTGAATTTTTTTGTAACATTTGCATTAGTATAGAGTAATTATAAACAATTTAACAAATATTAGAATTTGTTTATAAAGTCAATTCAAATAGTATTATTCAGTAATATAGTAAAATTATAATAATTTATATAACAGTCAAAAATTAACATTAAATTAAATTAGTTACCGCAATATATTTAAATAAACTATTTGATAAATGTTTTAATATCTAATAAATAAATCCTAAATACATACGTCCATTCAGTATAATAATTTATAACAAAATAAATAAATTTAGTTTACGTTTTAATAAAATGTCATTAATTATCAATAAAATATTAATCAAAAATATATGTATATAGATATCAATATCGTAATTAACAATAGAATTGGTGATCGATTTATATAATTTATTATAATTATTGCTAATCATCACTAATTTAGTACAACCTGTTTATAGAGAGAGTGTAATCATGTGATGTATGGTCACAAATACAAGTATATGTTAACTATCAAAATTGAGTCCCAAATGTGTGAGCTTTGCTGATAAAAATGTTTGCAACAAAAATATAAAAGGTTTGGGATTCTGAAGTAAATCCAGTTCCTGTCAATTAAATAAAATTCATATTAAATAAAATCAATTTACTGTAAATAAAATCAAATAAAACCTTTTGGTCTTCTCCATGAAATTCTAGCCAAACAATACGTTTGCTGTCATCGGCGGTACTCTTGAGCTGTTCAAATGATTTACACCACAAAACATTGTTCGACTCCTTGTCTACTAATGTAAAGCCGGTCTCTATGTTTATACTGATGTAAGACTCGTTATTCTTGTAAATGCATGCTATAATGGTTACAACAAATTGCAATATTATATCAAATTATTGATAATTAAAAATAATAATTATTATTATTATGTCATATACCAAATGAGATCTCTTTTCGTGTCATTGCAGTTTTATGTGCGGCCTGTACAATATGTCTGGCCCAATTTGCCAGATCCCGGTGACTTTCAGCTTGCATTGTATGACAATCTATACCATGTCTTGTGCCAACTCTTACTGTAAATGTAATATTATCAGAAATTCCGGGTGCAATGATAGCACCACCTGAATTGGTCGACTTGGATGACATAGTTAGGCCAATATTTGTATTATTATTATTATGTACTAAACGAATGTATATTAATGGATATGTATGAACCGGTACAGCCCACGCCTCCCGAGTCCATGGAACTAAATCATAAAATAAAAGATCTCTATCGGTAACCGCAAGGAATACTGGATTCCACTTCGGGTGTGGACCAACATCTTGACTCTAATTTAAATATATTAATTTTAGTAAATGTAATATTATTTAATCTATACAAACAAAATATATACCTTTTCACTGAGCCAACCCATATGTGTGAGTCGGGCGCCGTCCAGAAATTCAGTTAATAGTTTGTTGGTTTGGATGACTGCTTGTGCCATAAGCTTACAGGAGGCCGAGTGAATGGCACTAAACCATACGTTACATTGAGCTGAATCGGCACATCTTAACACACATTTTGATTGACGATTAGGTGAATAGATTACTATTACATTCAAATTATCGCTATATTTGCCATTATTTTGTTTATTATCTAACAAACGTGTCAAATGACAGAGCAATAGTGGGACTGATTTGGTATCACTTCTATGTGGTGTTTGATGTGTCGGATCTATAGTTATATCATCAGAATTGTGTAGAAATTCTTCGCCATTGAATGACCAGCCGATGTCCGCCAAAATGGCTGCTTTCCGGAAGTATGGAATCACTTCTTTCAAATATTTGACTGAAATTATAGAAAATGACGGCACGACTGATGTTAGTAGTCATCAAAACATTTGTGATCAACAAAATCATTAAACAAACAAACGTTTGTATATTTTTCAGGCAAAAGTTATTAGTAGTTTGTTTATGTTTTTAATTAAATTTAGTGTCATTTAATTTTTGTATGTTTTAATGATTGCATGCATTATAAACCAAAGTAATAACCGTAACGACCATTAAATCAGAGAACATAACAAAACCCAAATCATAAAAATCATAAATAAAAATAAAATTAATTTTTATAAAATAAATAATTACATAAAAATTTAAATAAATCTAAAAGAGATAAATAGCAAAATCCAAAATTTAATAGATTTAGATACAAATTTGTAGTAAATTAATGAAACAAATTTTTATTATAAGGAAATTATTATAAATAGACACTAATTATATCAATGCTTTGAATATTATATTTGCAAATCTTTTATTATCATTAATATTTAATATATCCTATATTTAACTTTTTTATATACACAGTATATTATACAGTAAATTTATATGTGTGTACATTACATGTAACATATGATAATAAGTATTAACAAACGGATTATTTAATATTAAACATTAGAGCTTATTATATACAATATATTTGTTTCTTTATAGTTGTCAAGTATTAAACATTTGTTTTAAATTTTCAAACAATGCTTTTAAAAATCGTTTATAATAACAAAATTTGATATCTCTTGTAACAGTTAGTAATAAACAGTTAAATAATTACATTGAAATTTCAGCTATTAATTTAAGAATTAGCCATTAAAATAGTCAATAATTAATTATTATATCAATTTCCCATAAAACACAAAATACTAATTAATATTATCTCTAAATAAATATAATAATTTTTGTTGAAAACGGATATTTAAAAATAGCATTAAATAAATTTTATAAAACTAGTAATAAATTATTACTAATAATAAAAGCTTAGTAATGAAAAAATATTATTAAAATAGAGGATAATTACGGAGAAAATAATGCTTAAATAAATTGAATATAAAGTTAAAGGAAAATAAATGATTAAAATGTAACAAAAATTATTTGTTTAAAAAATTACAAAAAAGAAATTAAATGACACAAATGGGTGACAATGAATGACAATACAAGACATATGGGACAGTCGTATGAGTGGACATACCTTCGAGAGTGACCACATCGCCGGCATTCTTGAGAGCGCGAACTGCTTCGTCATGAGTGGCATCTCTGAGATCCCATTCATTATTGACAGATAGTATGGCGTCGCCGACAAACAGTTGACCGGTCAGATCGGCAGACATACCCTTAAATATTTTGGACACAAGAATAGGCATTTTGTTTTCACGACCGCCTTTTATACTGATTCCCAGACCATTGCTGTCCGACTTCTGGATGCGAACAATACGTCTTTTGTGAGTCAAACTGTCCGACAGGTCGGGCGTCACAAAAGAGTGGCCATCGCTGTCGTCTTTAACCGAATTTCCGTTACATTCCGTTTGATTAAACGTGTCATTTAAGAGGTGGGCGTTCATCGACTCGAAGTTTTCATCGAGAGTTATATGAAGATAGTTGTCGTCCAGTCTGACCATCACTTTATACCAATTGTGTCGCACAAGGATTTCCAGATACCCGGCCCGATAGTGGCCATCGTGTGAGGCCATTGTCGTCCAGATTGTCGTTCGGCAGCCAATCGACGGGTAAACACAGGTGTCGTCTATCTATCTATCGGTGACACCGATCGACTCAATCACGTGTCACACATGACATCACTTATACAACACATTCACTCAATTGTAACACTAATTCACTAATAGTTTAGACATTAATTCAATTTAAATGAATTGAAAAAATAGATTCAATTAGTTGTGAGTCTTATTAAACAAATGTGTTATTGAGTGCGCAAACAGTCAATACATTTACAGTATTAACGGGTTCTGCGCAACACAAATGTTGTTGACTTTTGCCGTACATTTAACATACAAATTGTCTACAAATTATCTACAAATTGTCTTATCATTACTTTCAAATAGAACTATACTAATAAAATGGTACATATGTTTCACTAATTAAGTAAAATATTTGTACCTTTTTATGGAATAGAGTGAATACCAGATACAACATTATTAATAGAAAGTTGATTACAGGTATAAACTATATTAATACAGGTTTTAACAAATTAATAGACAAACAGTTATACATGTATTATATGATATGATATTATGATATAAGTTATAACATATAAGTATAACTTAGTATAACTTTATATAAATCATATGTATATATATATAATACAATTAATCTCAATATCAAAAACTTAGATTTTTTAAGTGACTTTTTTTTAAATAATATATATTTTTAACAAACTATTATAATATTGAATTCAAATGTATAGCAAATGCCATCCAAAGAATATTCCGGAGAATTGTTTTAAAAAACATAATTTAATAATAAATTTAAAAATAAAATATAATTTATTATAATATACTATTAATTACAAAATAAGAAAAATTGATTTAAATAAAAAATATGTTAATTTATTACAACTATTTGTTGGAAACTTATTGTGTAGTTCTATAGAGAGCACCGGCAGTTGCGTGATCGACAGTTCCCGGCTCATTGGTCACAACATGAGCCTGGAATCCATTGACAGCGTCGGCCGTATACTCGACAGTCCTGCCGATGCCGTTGGCCTCGCGGTACGAGTACGACCCGCGGACATTTCCCTGTTCATCACCCGATTCCTGTCGAGTCCATGTCGTACCAAATTCATCGGACGCCGTATAACCATAAGAGTATGGCTCCGGTCTCTCGTGTTGAACGGGAACGGCAAGTGCCCGGGCTATTGGCAGTCCTCCCAATTGACAGTTGCAAACTGCTATCAGTGCCAACAGACATACAATTGACTAAATGTATTAAAATAATCAAATTTTCACATAAATAAACAAATTATAAATCATATAAAACAGTGATAATCACTAATACCTTAAACATTTTTAGTGTATTTAGAAAATTGGTTAACAATTTAACTGTTATTAAACAATATATTTTGAAAGACTGATGGGTTGACAATAAAATTTTTGCTCTTTTATACTGTTTTACTATAGAAAGGTAACATCCCTTTTATATATATATATATATATATTGTATAACTGTATGACCAAACTTTTTAAATCAGATTAAACATTATAATTTAAACTCATTTTACAGCTGATTTACAGTTGATTACAGTTTACTTTTTACAGTTTTTTGCAAGTTTTTTATAATATAAAAACTAGTAATTGTGGACAGTGAGGAATTCGCTTTTAAAATCGATAATCTATTTTAATAAAAGTAATACAAATTGTCAAATATTGCATTAAAAATTTTAAATTATATTAAAAAGTAATTAATTATTAATAAAATATATTATTAGTATCCTGTTACTATAATTGATAATAGTTTAATATATAATATGTTTTTTATATTTATAATGTAATATTATATATAAAGTAGAGCATAACTTTCCGTTTTAATATAAAAACAGTTTATATGTTTAATAGTTTATACATCACTGTCCATAAGTGTAGTTAAAGCGTTTTAAAGGAAAAAGCGCTAATTTATCACATTTTTTATATGTATACTAATATTAATTAATCGATAATAAGATGAGTAACAGCTTAATATTGTTTAGTTAACTAAATTTTTATATAATATAAATTATAATAAAATATCCTTATTTGTTATTTTAGTTAAAATTAATCATTTTTTTTATTAAACTTATAAGACCTCTAATGTCCTAAAAATTATTATCTTAGATATTATTGTAGCTTAACTTGTATTGTTTTAATAAAATTATTTGTCATATTATTATCGTAATTAAAAATATTAATAATTATTATAATTTATAGATTTTATAGATTTTATTTCAAATTAAGTGGTATTTAATTATTAATTATCTACAAGATGTACATCAAATACAAATTTTATAATTATTATTTGTTACTCAAATTCATTTCATTATTAATAATGTTTATTCTGATAGTCCGCACAATGTTTTTTGTGAACACATTTAAAAAAAGCAATTGAAATATCATTTCGACAATATTTCTAAATTTTTTTAGATATAATTCTTAACCTTTAAAATCTTTCTAGAAATTTACTTTTTTACAAAACTCTATCTGTATATCATATTATCTGTCATATTGTCTTACAAATGATTATTTTGAGTCTATTTGTACTAACATTATACTACAGTATAACAAAAAATATAATAAATAAACTTTTTATTTATTAAATAGCTATCATTTTAAATACTGTATATTATTGTATAATATCTGAATAAATCATTTTTATTAAATTGATTTTGTTATAAAAATATAGTTTAAAGTTAAAATTTACAATAATTTAGTTTTATTTCATGAATATCAGTTGAATTTTTAATTTAATATAAATTGTAATTAAAATTAAATTAAAAATACTAGAATGAGATATTAAAATCTTTAATTATATTTATATGGTTAATATAATCAATAAAATTACTCATATTTGTCATTTTTAGTGAATTTAAATAATTGTTTAAAATATGTCAAATTCTTGAGTTTAATTCAATACTTAGAGTCTGATTCAACTTAAATAATAACATTTTACTTTTAAATAAAGTTAGAAAATAAAAAATAAATGTTTATAGTATTTATAAAAATTATATTTTAGGTTAATTGCAACAAATTATATCAAAGCATTATACTGTATGTAAAACGTTTGTAATAGTTTTTAATTTACTCATTGATGTAATGATAATATGGCATTGATTAACACGTATTCATTACCCACACATTTGATTTCAATGGATAGGCGTCTATAAATTGAAAGTTAATATTGTAATTTAAACATCATTTGTAAATAATATACATTTAAATGAATAATTTATATTATTATATTACAAATATTTATTTATAATTTTATATGGCAATTTTGATATTAATAAATTTATATTTATTTAGATTTTTATTAAAACAAAACAAAAATAATGAATATTAAAAATGCTTATTATTTACATTAAGATTATTTTTATTTAATGAATTTTTCTATCAAATATTAATTAACTTTTATGTTTAGTTATTATGAGCTTTTATTAGTTGTATACCTTGAATTTCAATTGTATTTCTTTTATTTATCATATTAATTATAAATGTATATGAGATAGCTTGCAATGACCATTGCATCTAAATTAATAATTATTTAATTTGCCTAATAATTGAATAAATTTTATTTACATATAAGTATCTATTAAATCATATAATAAAACATTATATTTCTATACATTTAATTTTTTTTATAAGATTTGAAACAAATTATGAAAAAACATATGTTAATTGATATTAATGAATATGAGTAGTAATAAAAACAATAACAATAAAAACAATTACTTTATACAATTAAATAAATAAATAAAAATGTAACATACTATAATGTAGAAATAATGCATTATATGATAGTTTACTTTACTTAACTTAACTTAAAATAGTTAAGATTTTAAATAATTAAGAAAATAATATATAATTACATCACATTTCAAACTTTTATTTAATATTTAATACGTATCTATAGTATAAATTATATTAGTTAGTATATTATGTTCATTGTATATAATTTAAAAAAATTATAATTTACTTATGTTAAAGCGTGATTAAAGTTACTTAATTCAATCATTGTTAAATATTTAAACGTAATAATAAAATATGATGATAATAAAAATAATAGATAATATGTGAATATAAATTATATCATATTGATAATTGTATTTTTGTTTTGTTTTAATTCAATCACGAATTCTATCACAAAATTTATATATTTTGAATGCATTAGTTTATATTAATATGAAATAGTATTATATTATGATTTGTAAATTACAATTGAAATAAAAATTATTTAGAAAAAATTATTAACTATTAATAACTAAATGTAAAACAGATACACGTTTATTAATACATATGCAATGTATTGTTAACTAATAAATTTGTTTCTATTATTATCATATTATCTTATTGAATGTTTTTTTAATAAAATATTTTTAGACTACATTTATTAATAAACGTTTACATAAGAGATGAAATGTTTAGCATATTATTATAATTTCAATTTCTTCCTGTTTTATTAAAATATAATCTAAATAATAACAAATAAAATACTGCTTTTTCTAACTCTTTTATTTGTTTAAGTGAAATATTATTAATTATTAAATAATAAGTACTAATATAAAACATAGAAATGATGTTCAAAAATGTGAAATTAATCAACTTTTTTTGGTCACCTATTTTAAGCTTAAATTTAGGTCAACAGTTAATTATTATTGCATTTTTAATAGTGAAAATATGAGATTTGTTGCAGACATCATATTGTACTCGCCCTATACTATATCTATGAATTACATAATTTTAAATCATTATTCACAGTGACTAGACAATTATCAATTTTAAATAATTTAAATTTATAAAATATTTACACAATTTACTTAATATAACAACTATCTTTATTATCTTTATAATTTTAAATTATTAAACGTTACTTCATTAAAACAAGTTAATTCTTTACATATAAAATCTAAAAAAATAAATCCAGACTATATGACTAAATTTTATATAATTTGGTCACCCTATTACCTAAATATAATATATTTTATTTTTGTTTAATTATTAAAAAAATTTACATTTTATAAGTAATCATATCTATTAAAAGAGAAAGTCACCAAATAATGTTGAGGACTATAAAGCCTACAGTTTATACATCTATGTCTAAGCCTAACCTGTATTACCTTCACCCTCATTAATGGCTGACAGTTATTGCTATTTCTTTAATTAATTTCAATCCAAATGTGACTTAATGTCACAAAATTGTACAAAAAATAAAATCATTTCTACTTTTGAAAGTAAAAGTTAAAGAAAAATAGTGAACCAAATGACAAGTATATAAACTGACAAACTTTTTAAAACATTCATTCAGTCATTAAATAACAAACTTTCTTGTATTACAAATCAACTATAAGTTAAATATAACTTTTCAAGATGTTTAAGGTATTGTAAAGTATTGTTTATTTATACAATTTTATTACATTAATATATTTTTAAACTATAATTTTATATTTAAAAATTTGATTTGATTGCAAACTCAGACAATTATTTGTATGTCATTGTTTGTTGTGTTGTGCACCGGAAATCCAAACCGACTTGGCTTAGGTTTAGTACCACAACCGGCTCTTTTGGTGGATGAGAGACCAGAACCGTATCAATTTGGTTACAATGCCGCCGATGAATACGGAACTCAATGGACTCGTCAGGAAACTGCTGATGGAAATGGTGTGGTTAAGGGATCCTACAGTTATAAGGACGCCGCCGGCATCTTCAGGACTGTCGAGTACATTGCTGATGATGTCAATGGTTTCAGAGCTCAGGTGCAAAGCAATGAGCCGGGTTTGGTCAGTAGTGCACCCGCAGGTGTCGTCTATAATGTTGCCAACAAAAAATAGACACTTTCTATAAAACATATAATGTTTTATTCAATAATTGTTTGTTTCTATAAATGTTTATAAAGTATTTAATATGTTTTATACATTGCAAACATAACTTTTCTATTTAAACAATTTTTGTAAGTTTTTTATGTATGCAAAATATTATGTAATTGTCATAAAATGTGATCTGAAATAAAAATTTTTTTTCTGTTTATCTGTTTGTAAAAACAACTATTTTTATAAAAATAATAATTACTTAATTATAAAATGAATAATAATTATTATAAGATTGTAACATTTTAGTAGTGGTTTACAAACGATAAACTAAAATTTGTAAAATTTTAATTTTTAATCAATTGTTAACTATTAATTTGTAATGTGAGTATTATATCATATTGTATGTTAACATGAAATTATAAAATTTAAAAGTATTATAAGTTAAAAATTTATTAAATTGACTCAAATGACTGCAACTGAAATAAAAAATTTGTTTTTTAAATTATAAAAACTAAAATTTATTAAAAGTTTAACGTTGTCTTTACATATTGTATAAAATTATTGTTATTAATGTTGAAAACTAATCAAATACATTATTCAAGAGTGTATAATATTTTTACAAATTAGTTTTGAATTTTAATTTCACATTAGATTCACTTAAAATGTAATGTTTATAATATTCAACAAAATACTGTAAATCACTTTATCTTCCTTTAAAAAGAAAAAAGTCTTCATATTTTTTTTTATTAATTTTTATAAAAAGTTGTTTACAAAAGCAGTTTCCTGACAGAGCATCGCTTGGTCTGAGAATTAGGGCCATACAGTCAGGTCAACAATATGTCAATTGATGACTGAAAATCCCTGTCCACCCATTTGTAAAAATTTGTAAAAATTATATTTATTTCAATTATATTTTAAAAATAACAATTTACTCAATTTCTTTTGAAATAAAAACAAACAACAAAATTAACTATCAAATTGTTAGTGATGTATGATATAAAATTAGCATTGATACTAATGTGATGAACATATATGAATTAATATAAAATTAAACAATTTTTAAATAAAAACAATTAATATAAAAATACATTAAATTTACATAAACACAAACAAAAGTCCTTCAATTTTTCTAAATAAATGTATTTTTTGGTAATAATAATAATAATAATAAACATAATTTTATAATATATCACAATAGAGTTTAGGAGAGCATTATAATTGCAAAGTATTGTCATTTTACGTTAATTGAAACATTTTGATGCTTTTTATGGATTTAAAATGTAACTTTTGAATAATATTTGAAATATTATATAATAATACAATATATTTGTTATTTATATAAATAAAGATTCTTTAAAAATTTCTTTTGTTTATTTATTAAAAACCTACAGAAAAAATATTTTCAAAAAATATATAAATTAAGCAACAAAATTAATTTGAATCACAAAATGGTTAATTAATTGTAAATTTGCATATAATTATATGCTTTGTCGGTAAATAAGTAGATAGCCTTCAAATACTCTATAAACTACTGAATATCAAATCACATATTTTTTAATAGTATTCATTAAATGATGATTTAGTAAAAAAATAAGTTTAATATTGAGATGACTATCCTATATAAAGGATTATCTCTAAACTGATTGTATCTCACTTTTCATTATATGTTTACATTAATTTGTCAATAGTTTACATTTAATATCTGTCTTCTGTTTTAAAGTTATTGTATTCATTATGATTAAAGTAAGCTATTATTGTGTATAAGATTTATATTTAAAGTAATAGTTATAATTTATATTGTAATTATTGTATTTATTGTATTTATGTAAATTTTTATATTTATTCATCCACATAATTAATTTATTGTACAAATTAAAATAATTTTAAACTATATAATTAATGTTTAATTTAATTATAATTGTGCTTTAATTAATTTAGGTATTATTAATAACATTAACTGCTTTTACAACAATAAGTTATGGCCAACATTGGAACCAAAGACAATTGGGAAGTCAGGCTTATGGAGGATATGGAGGAGGAGGAGGACAGTCTACATATTCAAATTCAAGGCCTGGTCAAATAGCATATGGAGGAACCATAAATCATGGAAACACTGGAAGACAGGGAAATTATGGCTTTTCTCGATCTGCAAGACAAGTTGGTTACCCTGCTGCCCCTGCCCCTGCACCTGCACCTGCACCTGCACCTGCACCTGCACCTGCACCTAGAGGTTATGGTGGAGGTGCTTCTTATGCTTCACCAAGATCAACATATGGTGGAGGATATCAAGCTAGACAAGCAACAGGTGCTGGATATGGTGGTCATAATGCTGGTTATGGTGCTGGATTTATTGGTGGATATAGTGGTTATAGTGAAGGCTATAAACCATACAATTTTGCTTATAATACTGTTGATGAATACGGGACTCAACAGGGAAGACAAGAAAATGCTGACGGAAGTGGTAATGTTAAGGGATCTTATAGTTATCGGGATCCGTACGGTCAGTATCGACAAGTGGATTATGTGGCCGATCAATCAGGATTCAGGGCTGTCGTCAACACCAACGAAGCCGGTGTTGTTCCCCACCAACCGGCAGATGCCATCTATAATGTCGGTTAAATGTTTATCAAAAATAATTCATAATCTTTATTAAAGATAAAATCTTTAAAAACTTTACTGTAAATGAATTGTTACTTTGCGGTAATTTTTTTTATTGAATTAGTAAGTATATATATATATTATTTTTAAAAACTTTTACTTTTTTATAATTATAGCAAAACTTGTATTGATTTAATTTTATTAAAATTTTTATTACCATATATACATTATATATAATAAATTTATAATACATATTAGTTTTTTTACTTAATATAAATCTTAATTGTAAGTCTATATTATATCATTACAATAATACCTTAGATGATGTATTATAATTTATAAATAATGATTTTCTTTATGATTTAAAAAATCAAATATCAGTCAATGAATTTGAATAAATTCTTTGTTAAGTATAATTGGTTTACTTTATTATACTGTTGTTTATAAATTGTTTAGTTATTTTGTAAAATTGTATAATTTAAATGCAATATAAAACCAAAAATTGTTTTTTGGAAATCAATTTTATATGTAATATGTGTTATTATTTTTAAACAAAAGTTTAGATTTCAATATCAATGAATAGTTAAAAATTGTAACATTTAATAGTGAATAAAGAAAGCAATCAAAATTATAAATCTCAAAAAAACATTATACTATTATTTGATGCTATGATTGAATGGCTAACTGATTGAATGATTAAATACTAAATACTGTTTTAGTTTTCAATTTTGCAAACAAAACAATATATCTTAGATTAACAACAACAACAAAAAAGATGACGCATACCATTGAATTTATGGCACAAATGTTTTAATATATTATAATTACAAAGTTTTGGTTATTTTGTGGGAAAAGAGATGAAATTGTGAGTAAATGATTGAACAAAGAAATGGAGAGAAAGTGAGTTGAATATAAAAAAGTAGTAATTGTTTTGTTGGTTAAGTAAATTGTATTTCAAGTTCATATAAATATCGAGTCTTATAACTTATTCTCTCAAATACTGATCTGAACACTACCTGAGCTGCTTTGAGAAGAGACAACAAAAACCACTTTCCTCTCAGAGCTAAACATTATTTATCCAAAAGTTTTGCAAACAATACAACAATTTATTATTTAAAACTGCGTTTGTGTTAAAAGATAACTTTACCAACAATTGAATTGCAATTTACGATCACAATGTTCAACTTTAAGGTAAATTAATTTTTAATTAATATTTTTTTATTAATTATTTTTATATTTATATATTTGAAATAAAATATTCAATAAATTTTATTATTTTAAAATTAATAATTTATATAGTTTTTAGCATTTATCTTTTAATTTATTAATTATATAGTAAACAGTATTTTTACTCACATTTATATTTTTCTTAAATTGTTTATTATTATAATAATATATAATAGTTAAATAATATAATTTAATGTGATTATAAAATTTTAATTTAATTAAATATATAAATTTGCTTTTCATTTGACTTTATAGTTAGCATTACTTTTAGTCACATTAGTTGTGATAATTAATGCCCGCGACTATCAATCTCCTGGTCGTAGAGCTCGTAGTAGATCTCGTGTTAGTCACCGCAACCCAGTGGCCTCCGCCTCATATCGAGCACCTGTATATTCATCCTATTCCTCAGCTGAAGCTCCAAAACGAAGATCCGGTTATATACGACCAGTTAGACAAACACAACAAGTAGAGGAAGGGCATCCGGCACCCGAACCATACAGTTTTACATACGATACAACCGATGAGTTCGGCACTACATTGACACGTACGGAGTCGGGAGACGCCAACGGACACGTTAGGGGAAGTTATCAGTATAGGGACGCCACTGGATTGGTTCGTACAGTTGAATACGGGGACGAAGGCGCAGGATTTACTGCTGTCATCAATACCAATGAACCGGGAGTTATATCACACAAAGCTGCCGACGCTGAGTATATTAAATCATAAAATAATTTTTTGTTTCAAACACTTTAAGTTTAATTATGTGATAAAATAAGTGTTTATTACATTTTATTTACTTTTAATTGTTAATATTTTCATTGAATTGATACAATATATTTTAAAAACATTTTAAAAGTGCGATAGATTTGTGATTTTTAAGTTTTATTCAATATTATTCCCCTATATTTAGTATACAAGAAGTATTTAATCATTTATTATTGTTATTAAAACATTTATTTATTAATGACTCGCATCTGTGAGTTAATTATTTTTATTTAGTTATTATTTTATTGTTATACTTAATGCCATTGTAGTATTGTTTTATCCATATAAATATATTATAATAATATTATACTTTCAATCACTGCTTTTTATAATTTGCTTAAATAATGTTATTACAAACATTTTTATTTTTTTAAGTGTTATTCACATAATATATTTTAAAATTTTATTATCTAAAATTTTTATCACAATTATTATTATTACAATAATAATTAGTAATTTTTTGTATTTTATACAATATATTTCTTAATATTAAATAAAATTTATAATAAAAACTTTTGTACTAAACAAAAATTAAATTAGCTTTTATTTAAACTAAAACTCACTATAAAATTGTTTATCATTTATTCATATAATTTTCATTTCATTTATGGTTTTGGGTTTTTGTATGAAAATAAAATTGAAATGCATTTTAAATTTACTGTACTTTTAAAACGATAGTCCTTTTCGTGGATTCAGTGATTACTTTTAGCGACCATTATATTCAATACACATAAATGGGTTATCCTTTTAATTGAGGCCAAAGATTACTAACAATTTTGTCTGTTTTATGTGTCATTACGTAACAAAAGCTAAGCTACAAATATGATTGCCTTTATTATTATTATTATATAATTTAAAATAATATATGTATTTAAACGACTATTAGTTACAATTTATTTGTTTTAATTACTGTCCATATAATATTCAAATGGTTTATTATAACAACTTTGAAATATAATATATCCAACAATAAGAAACAATATAAAATTATTAAAAAAAATTTATTTATCTTTTCTATATTGATATAATAAATATTTATACAATAACATAGACAATTATAATTATATAATATAACAATTTGCACGTATTAGTTTTGTATATTATATAAGATAGCTTTAAACTTTATTACTGTAGGTCTCAATTGAATAATTCAAAATGTGATCATTTTTGCTAAAATAATTAAATAATTATTTATTAATGTTTTATAAATGTTATAAAATTCACGGATCAATTAATTTAATCCGTGATAAATGGATAGTATTTTTCATTTAATCGGACCAACAAAACGTTTGTTAGGAAACCACAACTTAATCATTATAATTAAGTCTCATTTATTGTAATTTTTGAAAACAATATTTTCTCAGACCATTAGTAAAAGTGAATACAATTATGATTTTTAAATAAATGATATTTGAAATTGAATCCTTTTATTAATATTAAATTTATTAAAATTTATAAAATTTATATTCAAAACACATATAACCTTGATTAAGTCAATATTTTTGTATATTTATTTGCTTGTATTATATCTCTGATTAAACAATAATTGTCCGGAATTTCCAACAACGTGTAGATAAATCATATAAATGTTGTCTGAAAACCATTAGACCATTAAATAAATACAAAATCTAAATTTTAGTGCAAAAAGCAAATGTTAATACATTGATTATCTTTGAATAAAATTACATTTTTAATAGTTTACAATAAAAAATTATAACTAATTGCATTTAAGTAGACATAAACTTTGTGATTCAAAACTATTTATTCTAATATTTATAAAACAAAGACATATTTACTGTATATATATATATATATTTAAAAAACTTTATAAAACAAGTGATATTTTGAATATCTACTAATAAGTTATAATAATAAACGTATATTTATTTAAATGTTATATACAAGCAATAACTAACAATCCAATGACAAATCAAATTGTTTTTAGCCATCATATCAATTGAAATATCTAATTGTTATATAATTATCTTTCATTCATCCTTTTGTTATTTTTAACATTTTATTCAATATTTTAAGACACAAGTGTTATCAACTAAATCAAGGTTTAATATATCACATGTTTTCTCTAAATTTATCGTCAATTATATGGTTTATCAAAATAACAATTTATTGATTTATTATTTAAAAAACAATTAAACGTTTAAAATTGATACTACCTTGAAATACACAAAAAATTATAAATAAAAAGTTTATAAAAAATACTCAATAATTTTGTTTATAAAATAACACATAAGTTTCGATAATATTAATATACTACATATTTATATTTACTATAATTATAATAAAAATGTATAAATTAAGTAATTCATATATTTATAAATTTGGTTAATTGATTAAAAATCATGTCTGAAATAATAAATGATTTCATGAAATAAATTAAAATAAGATTTAAAAACTTAAATGTTATTGAATTTACTTTTTATTATTTATATATATATTACAGTCGTTTAATTAATAATTAGTTAAAATAATGATTTTCTATTTATTAACAGTGATTTTATTATTAGTTTTTTAAAAAAATACAAAATATTAATATTATAAAAGTATTTATTATAAAAAACATTTATTGGTATATTTAAAAAAATTAAATTGTAATTAAATTTAGAAACAATTAAAAATCTCAAGTATTCAATAAATTTGTTTTATAAAAATACATTCAATTGAAACAATCCGTCATATTTTATACAATTTATTTTAAATTAGTTTAAATTAAGTTTTCATATAAATAAAACAATATTCTAATTTTTATTTTCAATCAATTACTATTTTAACTTATTTATTACAAGTGTTTTATTTTTTATTAAAATTGCATATAATTTTATTTTTAACATTAATTGAGGACGACTTGTGTTAAGATTAAAACAATAACTCAGTAATAGATTATTCTTAAAAATATTTTGAAAATATATTATTCATTTAACTGTTTGTTAGAATTTTTGTTATTATAAAAATTTTGAGTAAATAACAAAATAAAAAACAATAAATTATTATAATATAAATTTTTAATTTTTGTTTGTATTTTAAGTTTTATTGTATTTGAAAACAAATAGATAAATTTATATAACTTCACAGTTAATCAATTTTTTTTCTATTTTATTGTTTCATTTTGTTAACCATTTCTATTGTATTGATATACAGTTTATATTAAATCCTATTTTTTATATAATATAAAGCATTAAATTATTTATAAAATAGTTTTAATATCTATTTTTCTAATTGAATATTCTTAATAATTAATATAACTATTAACAGACATTAATAACTAAATTAATATATAATAAATATAATAATTACATATATGAACACCATATTAATGTCTATAATATGACCTAGTTTATTAATTGTAAACTACAATTTGTATCCTCAAAAAATATGAATTACCGTAAATTATTAACTCAAAAATGTACAATATATACAGTATATACAGTATATACAGTATATACAGTATATACAGTATATACAGTATATACAGTATATACAGTATATACAGTATATACAGTATATACAGTATATACAGTATATACAGTATATACAGTATATACAGTATATACAGTATATACAGTATATAAAGTATATATATTTTAAATAGTTTTTAATGACATCTATTGAGACTTTTTGCAGTTATTTCTAAAAAAATAAAATAAAAGATTTATTAAGATTTTTAAAGTTTTTATCACATTATATTAAGTTTAACTTACTTTGACAACACTTACTGTATTAACAATTATTTAGTTGATTTGTGGACAACTAGTGCTAAATGAGTACCGAAACACTAATGTCCACAAATCAACTAAATAATTGTTGTTATGATATAAGTGTTGTCAAAGTAAGTTAAACAATATTTTTAAAATTTTAGTTAAAAATTACTATTTTCTTAATATTTAAAATCTGTTTAGACTTTTCGGTACAATTTATACTACAATTTGCAATACTGTCAATACATTGATAGCGCTATTTCTTTGTCTACTTTTCATCAGAAGGTATCGAAAATATCAAAATTGTATTTCAAGAAAATTGCAAATTATAACTAAATTATAATTTCTTTAAAAATAATTATTATTTTATTTATGAAACTTTTATTTTAATTTATACTTTTAAATTCTTGTTTAATTCATATGATTGAGTTATATTAAGATTTATGAATACTAAATAAAATTATTTTTCTATTTTTACTATACTTATTAAATATATGAATATAATATAAAATAATTCAATAATTTAATTTTTTAAAGTTTATAAAAGTAAATTATTTACATATTTGTTATATACAATTGTATTCAGTAATGTTTTCATCTGATAAACAAATATTTTACTATTTATATATTTTTCACGAACTCCTGAAAGGATTTTTTGAGGATAATATTTGAATTCTTTATGTCCTTTTGTCTGATTTTTTTTAATTTGGAATTTTGATTTCATATTTGGATAAATCATCAAAAAATAAGATATAAGGGATCAGTATTGAAATTTTTATATATCTTCAGGAATATAGAGAAAATGGCGGTCAAATATAAATATAAACCAGTTGAGAATGCTAGAAAGCATTTCCATACGAACTCCTTAACTCACAAATGCGAAAATTAAATTTTTAAATCTTTATGGTCTGAATTGCGTAGAGCATCAAAAATAAGTTAAAGAGGATCAACATTAAAATTTTTATATCATATTTTTTAGTTATATCGAGTCATTGACCTTACATAACTAAATTGAGTTTATTTTATTATACTAAATTATATTATATTGTCACAATGAGTAATTTGAAATTCTAAGTGACTAAAGTTGAGTTTATTTTGTCATACTGTCATTTGATACCCTACATGACTAAAGTTGTTTATTTTGTTATACTGAGTCATGTAATACCTTTCATGAGTTTATTTATCTTTATTTTGTTTTACTGAATCTTTTGATACCTCTATTTATAAAGTTCGTCTATAAATGTTTTATAGCATTCTCAACTGGTTAGATATGATATTTTAAATGACATCACTCTAAGTCATGTATTTTTAAACATTGTTTTAAATATTGATAATTATAATATAAGTAAAAATAAATCTTTGATATTAAACCAAATTTACGTTAAAATATTTTTAATTATTTTAAATTATTTATTTAAACTTACATTTAATAAAAGTTATATTTTTTTATTTTATTATAATATTAATGTAGAAAA